ATCTTTCCAGAGGATTAAAGAAATAAAAAAACTATTAGTTCACATTTAAAAACTTTTCAATTTCAAAGAAAGAGGCCTAATTAAAATATTGTTTTATTATGCCAATATTTTTTTTAAAAAAAAATCAACAATGTTTAAATAAATAAAAAATTAATTTTTTATTAAAATATATAATTCAAAACATTTTTTCAAATTATTATTATTATTTATTGATTAAATTAAAAAATAAAAAAAGAATAATAATAATAAAAATAAAAAAAATAATATTAAATATAAAAATGATTTCAGAAATTTCTATTATTGTTTTATTTTCAAAATCTATAAAACTATTTTTTTTATTTTTTTTTTCTTTAAAATTTATATAAATATATTTTATAGTTCATATTAATATTTATTTTTTTTTTAATTTTTATTTAATTTTTTATTTTTTTATTTTTATTTTTTTTAAATTTTTTTAAATTTTTAAATTTTTTATTTATGAAATAGTATTAATATTGAGATTTATATATATACATAAAAAAGTAGTAGTGTTCAGAAAAACGACTTATTATTTATTATTATTATTTAAAAAAATCAAAAAATCACGCTACATTGCCCAGTTTAAAAAAACAAAAAAAAAAAATCACACATTAATTATGGCTAGTTTAATTATACTATCTGCCTCATTATTTATTTCTCTCCTGCTGCCAATTTCATTTAAAGAGACTATACTAATTATATTCTTTTTAATGATACTATTTATCCATCTATCTCCTTATTTCCACATTAATAATAGTGGCACAAGTAGCAGTAGATTACCAAGGAGAACAGTCCCAATTTCACCATCAATTAATAAAAAAATTAACTAACCATTATATAATATAAACAATAGCAATTGTAATTTTATAGCAATAATATAGATATTAATAAAAATAATAATAATAAAAGTAATTATAATAGTTATAATAATAATAAAATAGATGGTCATCGAAAAAGAAAAAAACCGAAAAAAAATAAAAATAAAAAACAAATAATAATAATAACAAGTAGAATTAGAATAGGGTTATTAATAATTTATCGACAATAGAAATGTAAAATATATAATAATAATTTATATTTCAAATATGAATTCTTTTTTTTAAAAAGAAAAGGGTAAATATATAATTATGTTTTATAAAAAATAAAAATATATAAAAATCCCAAATTCTCTAATTATTATTATTTTTATACGTTCAGAACATAAAATCAAACGAGTTTATTTTCATAAATAATTAGTTAGGAATATATTTAATTCCAAAAAAAAATAAAATTAAATAAATAAAATTTTAGAAATTTATCCTATATATTATATGTATTAAAACATATAATATATATATATAAACAAATACAATCCTTTTTTTTTTTTTTTTTTTTTAAAATTTTTTTTTTATTTTTTTTTTTCTTTTCTTTTATTATATTATTATATATATAAAAAAATTTTAAATGATTTTATAAACAAAGAAAATTTTTAAACATTTTTTAAACTGTCATTATCGTTACTATAGGTGTTAATTGTTGTTGTTATTGTTGTGTTGTTATGTTGTGTTTTAATTGTTGTTTTGGTGAGTTTTTTTGGTTGTTGTTTATTTATATGTGTGTGCATTATTTATTATCGAAATTTATATTATTATTATTATTATTATTATTATTAAATTGTTTAAGCAACTTCTAATTCAGCACCAGAAGCCTTTAATTTAGCAACAATCTTATCTGCTTCTTCTTTTGAAACTTTATCTGCAATAACTGATGGAGTTTTTTCAACAAGACCTTTAGTTTCCATTAAACTGAGTGATGGTTTAACTTCTCTTAATTCTTTAATAATCTTGTATTTAGCACCATCTGGAACTTTAATGAGTTTAACTGAGAATTCTGTTTTAGCAGCAGCGGCTGGAGCAGCAGCAGCAGCTGGGGCACCACCAGCGCCACCGCCACCACCCATTTGTGAAAAGTCCATATCTGGGACACCTAATTTGGCCTAAAATAAAACAATAAAAATGATTAGGTTAGTTTTGGTGGATCTAATTATAACTATACTGCTTTTTTTTTTTTTTTTTTTTTTTTGCTCATCATTAAACTTTAACTACCATCAAACAACCATTACTACTTTAATATTTTATAATACATTATGGATATTTAGTTTGAATAAATGCTGTACCACCTAAATAATCTTTTCATATAATATCAATGATTATACTAATATTGAATATATTTGATGGATTTTATAAAATGCTGTCATTAAAAACAGTTACAGTTGATAAGGTTGGTTGTGTGGATTTCTTTTTTTTTTTTTTTTTCCATTTAAATAGTTTTGCTATATTGCTGAAAGGTCGTTACTTGTAACTATTTGATGGTAGTTATGATTTTTGATGCTAATAATAAAAAAAAAAAAAAATTTTTAAAAAACACATACTTGTAATAATGAGGTTAATTCGGTGACTTGTAATAATGAGAGTTTTGAAATTCTTTCGACAATATCTTTAACTTCTTCACCACTTTGAGCACCGTTGGCAGTTTTCTCTATTTTAACATCAGTTGAGTATAAACGAGTGCTGGCTCTATATAATTGGTTTTTATTTAACCTAAATAGAATATAAATGATTTTATATGAATTAGACAATGTTTTATCTTTATCGATTGATTATACAGGTGATATTATTATTTATTTTATTATTTTTTAAAAAAAAAAAAAAAAACTATAATTTTCGATTATATGCAACAAAACTCAGTTTTTGTCATATAAATTCGTAATTTTTTTTTATTTATTTAAATGTTAATGTTTGCATACTTTTGAACAGTTGATAAACATTTATTGAGTGATACTCTTGAGATCATTTTTTATATTATATATATTATTATTTAATATGAAAAACACAAAAAAATTGTAAAAAATATATGTGTATGATTTGATGTCGAAAACATAAAAAAAAAAAAAAAAAAAAAAAAAAATTAAAAAAAATAATTTTAAAAAAAAATAATTTTAAAAAATAAAAAAAAATTAGTTTTTTTTTTTTAAAAAATGATTGAAATAAATAATTCAAAACTAAAAAAAAAAACGAAAAGAACTTCCTGATATGAAAATTCATTCTTTTAAAAAAAATGATTATATTAAATTTTTTGTTTAAATTAAATTTAGTAAAAATAATATTAGATTTGTGAGTGTGTGTGTGTGTTTGTGAGTGTGTGTGTGTGTTTGTGTTGCTAATAATACAAAAAATTATTTTATTTTATTTTGGTTGTGTAAAATATAATTTATTAAGGTATATTTTATTTATTAATTTATATTTATTTATTCTTTTAGTTTATTTGCAAAAAATCTAAAACATTGTAAAATTATATTATTTTCTGCAGATATTTCCCTTTCGTATAATTTTGTAAATAAAGAATCTCTGAATTGATTAGTGGCACTTTCACTCTCTTCCTTTTGAGCTGGTTTTTTGTTTTTATTTTTATTTCTTGATTTTGTTTTTTTGTGACCTTTAATCTTTGGGAAGCTAGGTTGAACAGATTTAACAATTTCGGGTTGTTTATTAAATTCAAGTGTTGATGGTGCTTCCTCAACGACTCCGGTATTGTTGTTATTATCTATATTATCTATAGTATCCATATTATTATCATTATTATCATTATTATTATTATCACTATTGTTATTATCATTATTATTATTACTATTTATATTATTATTATTATTATTACTATTGCTATTAATGTTTTCATTGCTATCAATATTATTTACAATTTTTTGTTTTTTAACTTGTGTTTCGTCGTTTATCACTTTATTGTCATCATTTATTGTGTCTTTATTACTATCTTCATCAGGTGTATTGATTTTTGTTACAGTTTCAGTCTCTGTTGATGGGTTTTCTTTTCTTTTCTTTGGTTTTTTTTTATTATTTTGCTTATTCTTTTCTTTTTGTAAAATTTCACCTCTTTTTTTAGCTTCTTCCTCTTCTTTCTTCTTTGCTTCAATATTTTCTCTTGATGGATACCTTTTTCTTCTCTCTTCTAAATAACGTGCAATATCCTCTGGAGATTCTTGAATTTTAATTTCTTTTAATCTTTGGTTAAACATTTTTATTCTTCTCATTTCTTCTTTATCCTCATCATCATCGTCATCTCTTCTTTTGTTTTTTTTATTTTTATTATTATTATTATAATTATTATAATTATTATTATTATTGTTATTTACAGAGGATCCATCATTGAAATTGGAATTTTCTGTATTGTTTATATTTTCATTATTGTTTGCATTACTTGTTGGAGCATTACTATCGCTGCTATTATTATTATTATTGTTATTTTTGTAATTGCTATTATTTCTTTTATTATTCAATTTTTTTCCTTTATTGTTTAGCCCTTTGTTTTTATTATTATTGTTTTTATTATTAACAGTATCGCTATTATTATTGGTATTATTATTATTATTACTATTGCCACTTGTCGAATATAAGTCGACCAATTCAGACAAATCCATATCTTACAAAAGTTCTCTTTATTGTGCGAAAAATAAAAATAAAAATAAAAATAATAAATAAATGAAATATTTTAAAAAAAAAAAAAATAATTAATTTTTAAAAAAAAAAATTAAAAAAAACGACAGACCCAATTTCTTTTTTTTTCTTATAAAAAATAAAAAAAGTAATAAGTGTTACATAATCATTTATTTATTTTTTTTAATAATTATATGATGGCTAAAAACAATTTTCACAAATTTATAAAAATCACTAAGATAATTTAAAAAATCTTTTTTTTTTTTAATAATCTGAGAATTAATATAATGGGTAACTTAATTTCCAAATTTTATTATTGAAATAATTAACCACATTGCTTTTCCTTCATTTAAAATAACATAACAGTTGAATAATAAATAAAAAACTTAAAAAAAACAATCAATAAAATGTATTATATTTTTATCAAATTTAAAATGTATTTAATTAATTTTATAAAATTTAAATTTATTAAATTAATTTTATAAAATTTAAATTTATTAAATTAATTATATTACCATATATAATTAAAATGTATATAACGGTTCAGTGACCACCTGTGTTTTGGAAAAATAGGGGTTTACAATAATGCCCGCAAAGTTTATTTTTTCGAGATAAAAAAAAATAAAAATAAAACAAAAAAAAAAAAAAAAAAAAAAAAAAAGATATTTTGCATTTGTAATGATGGGACTATATTTTAAAAAAAATAAAAAAACAAAAATAATTAAAATAAATTTTTTTTTTGTTTTTTTTTGTGTTACAATTTTTTGTGAAGAGTTGCAGTATCAATAGAAATAATACGGAAACAAAGAAATAAACAAAATAATGTCAAATAAATCAATTCCCAAGTCATCATCAATGTCATCGATACCAACATCAGATTTATTAATATCAGAGCCCATTTTCGATATTCCGATCGAAAATGATATTCATTACTATTTTAATTTATTGCTAATCGGTAATTAAAAGACCCAAAAAATTATTATTATAAAATTATTATAGCTATATCTAATCTTTTTTTTTTTTTTTTTTTTTTTTTATAATTTTAGGTGATCACGATTTGATAGATGTTGATAATAAAATATATAGTAAAAAAAATATATGTATAGATGATAAATTTATTAGGGTTTCTATATTCAAGCATCATGCAGCAAACGTTAGCTGGGAAAGATTTAAAACTATTAGGGACCTATATTACAAGAATTTACACGGAGCAATATTTGTATATGATATCACTAAACAAGAATCTTTTCAAAGTATTATCGATGTTTGGTATAAACAATATCAAGACTATAAAATTTTAAAAATTCACAATATATCCGACAGTCCCTATTACAAATCATTAAATAATTTTAAACCATCGCTACTCCTACTGGGTATCAATACAGATAAAAGAAACAGTACCAACTACAGTACTTGTGTTTCGACGGAAAAAGTTGTTGATTTTGCAAAATCGATTGACGCTGAATTTTATGAGTTGCCATCAGTCAATAAAAAAAATATAGGTTTTGCAATTTTCGAATTATTAAAGGATATCAAAAAAAATTATGAAGCTTCAGGAGCTAAAACATTTCAAGAAATTGATAAATCAAAATGTATAATAAACTAAAAATCTATATATAACAATAAAAATTTTTGCAAAAATTTTTTTTTTAATTTTTTTTATTATATTGTATACAAAAAAAAAAAACCTAATTTTTCAATATTTTTTTTTTTAAACTTTTTTTTTTCTTAATCTTTTGATAATTATTTAATTTCATATCATTTCATCTATTTAGTTTATTTTTTAAAGTACATACACCAAAAAAGAAAATAATTACTTTTTTTTTCTAATATTTTAATAAATAAAAAATTGAATTCTGGTTGGATGTTTTTGGTTCCTTTGGAATTTTTTTTTTTTTTTAGAAATTTTCCTTTCTTTTTTCTGGGTTAATATTTTTTAAATGTTAAGGTTCATTAGACTCAAAAAATCAAAAATATCTGATGGTTATTAAAAATTCGAAAAAAAATATTTTTTTTCTGGTTTCCAAAAAATATTATTTTTTTGGTTTTTAAAATATTTTTTTTTTTTTTTTGTATAAAGTTTTTTTTTTTTTTTTTTTTTTTGTTTAAAAAATAAAATATTTTTATAAAAAATAAACAAATAAAAATTTAAAAAAATGAAATATAATTACATTTTTTTAACAGTTTTTTTATTATTAAATTTTAATAATATTATAGCACAGATTGTATTTAATAATAATATAATTAATACATGTACTAACGATAATCCATGTGACTTATCATCAAAAGAAGTATGGACTAATAATCAAGTTCCACTCACAAACGATGATGTTGTTATCGATTTTTCAAGTGTAGAATCAACTTCAAATATTTATTTAGTTGCCCAAAATTTTCATATTTCATTAAACTCATTCAACATTACTGGGCCATCATCATCCCCATCAATAACCAATCTTTTAATCAATAACTCAAATCTTACAGTTTCAGTATTTACTATGAGTAATTTAAATGTTACAATTGATGGTACCAAGGGTATCGTTTATAACTTGGGTAACTTCAAATCATATAACACAAACTTATTAGTTCAAGGCAATGGATATATTAATGTAACACAAACAGAGATTTTAGGTGAGATTCCAGCAAACTTTATTGGTAATGTTTCATTTGTTAGCAATGGTCCAGCTTCTTTACAAGCCCCAATGAATTGGAGTAGCCAAATTGGTTTATTAGAATTTAATGGAGCCGTAGAAATTACAGGTCCTTTCAATATTGCTTCTCCAATCGCTTTTTATCAATGGGTTGAAATTAGTTCTAATGGTACAATGAATCAAGTCTTTTTCTCTGATTATTTTACTATTGAAGGTGGATCATCAGTTCATATTGATCAAATTGATTCTTTATTGAGTGGATCACTTGTCAATGTTATAGAACAATCATCTCTCTATTTAGCAACTCAGCCATTTAGTCCATTAAATTTTTTCACCATCGAAGATAGAAGTACACTTTATTTACCATCTGGTGGTCTAATTAACGATTTATTCAGAACAGGCAATGGTACCCTCGTTATTACTGACTCTAAAAAGGTTACCACTTTTTATTTATATCAACCATATTTATCAGTTACTTCACTAGGTAGTCTCGAACTCATAGGTAATTTAGATACAGTTACAGTTACCGGTCAAAATTCAAATGTAACCCTCGAAAATGTTTCTAATGTCAATAGTATTTCGGTTAATGGTCTCATTTTCATTGATATTGCTGGATCCCTCACTGTTAGCCAACAAGCATTAGCCAAAAATGTTTTAGTCAGTGGTAGTTTGACACTTTATGGTGGTATTTCAAGTAATAGACTCGATGTTACCATATTTTCCTCTTTAATAATTTCAAATAATTCTTATGTTGATTCTTCTGTTAATTCATATGGAAGAACCACTATCGATAGTGGTTGCAAAATCAAATCAATTGTACAAAAAGCTGGATCCACCTTAGCCATTACTTCCCCAGGTATATCTATCTTAGATGGTTTTACAATGGTCAATGGTTCATATACTACCATTCAAAATGCTTCCATCAATAACAATGAACCTATTATCAAAGTTAATCAATTTAATCTTAATAATACACAATTCGACATTCAACTTATCCAAGGTTCCAATCCAGCCGATAATGATACCATTCTTATCGTTCAATCCAGTGATCTTGCAAACTCAAATAATATTTTCGAACAAACCAGTATAATTATAAGGATAAATAGTCAAACTCGTTATACAGCTTTAAATTACAAAATTGAATCAGATTCAAATGGAAATGTCAGAGCTATCTTTTATAAAGAAAAGAAACCAACTAATTATACAGGAGTTATCATTGGTACCATCTTTGGTGGTGCTGTTTTAATTGCCATAGTCGTTACTATCTTGTGTTGTGTTTCTAAAAGAAAGAAAAGTCATCATCACTACCATCAACATGAAAGAAAATCATTAATTCATAATTAAAAAATAAATAGTTTTTAGAAGCTATAAAAAATAATTAAATAAATTATTTTAAAATCCCTTATTTCTTTTTCCCTATTTTCATAAATAAGATCATCATTTTACAATTTAATTAATAATTTTTTTTTTTATCAAAATTTTTTTTTATTAAATTTTTTTTTTTTTTTTTTTTATTTATTTTTTTTTAATTACTATCATTTTTTTTTATAGTTTTCTTTTTTTTTTTGTGTTTTTTCTGTATTTTAATTGTTATAAATATTTTTTATTTTTATTAAAAATCAAAATTTTTTAAATACAATCCAAAAGTGTGAACAGTTTAAAAATAATAATGGATAATGTTTTTTTTAAAGTTTGGAGAAATAAGTAATAACAATAGCATATTAGTCAATTGTGAATAAATTGTAATAAATACTAATGATTTATTCATTTATTTATTTTTAAATAGGGTAATAAGAAAAATAATTTTATACCACACTAAATTATATAAACAAAATCGATTGATATCAATTGAATATATTGATAAATTAAGAAATTTCCCACATAGAAACTATATATTAGAGTTAATTGTTAAAACTTCGTCGGGTGATGCTTTAAAAGTTGGAGATATACCAGCATCAGTTCAAAAAATTAGTTTTCAAACATATTTTTATCAAGAGATAGATATAGGTTTTTTCCCAAATGGATTGAAATCATTAGATTTTGGGAAATGGTTTAATAAAGATTTAAGTGGTGGTAGATTACCACCATTGTTAGAAACTCTCAAGTTGGGTCGTTCTTTTAATCAAAAGTTTTCACATGGCGATCTTCCAGATTCACTTACAGATATTCGTTTTTCATTTTCATATAGCTTCAATCTAGGTGGCGGAATAATACCAAGAAGAGTAAAGAAATTAAGTTTGCCTTCATATAGATTTAAAATAGAAAAGGACGATATTCCAGAGACAGTTCAGAAGTTATGGTTGGGAGGATGCCAACAAATACAACCAAATACTTTACCTTCAAATCTTCAGTTTTTATCATGTAAAGTAGACTTTGTACCTGATGCATTACCTTTGTCTTTAAAGGTATTAAAAATTAAAAATTCTTGCCAGCTTCCAAAGTTAAATAAAGGCGATATTCCTCCATTGGTAGAAGAGCTAAAAATAGGTGGCATTTCGGAACCATTAGAGCCCGGTGTCCTTCCTCCAAGCATTACTAAACTCACATTCACCTCTAGTTCTTTGTTTACAAAAGGTACTCTTCCACCATTTTTAAAGGAGCTGGTGTTTGATTACTACAACGAACCAATATCAAAAGATTGCTTACCAACTTCATTAGAAATCCTCTCATTTGGTGATGTTTTTGATCAACCACTCAATTTCATTCCAAATAATTTAAAGAAATTAACTTTAGGATTCTTTTATAATCAAAATATCAATGTAGGTGATCTTCCTTCATCGCTGACCAGTCTCACATTAAACGGTTATTATAATCCAGATACAATGCATATTCCCGACTCTGTGACAGAATTAATTGAGAATTATTAATAGAAAATAAAATTTATAATAATTATATTTTATCAAATGTAGAATCCATCAAGAAGAAATGTTATTTTTGGATGAAAAAAAGAATTATTAAAAGATTTATTAATTTAAGTTCTTTGTTTAAAGTAATCTAACAACATCTTCTACGACGACGGCTAATATCTATATCGATATTGATAATATTGCTGTTTCCACCACTGCATGGATTAAAGCATGGATTGAAACCACATGAACCACCAAAACTATTACCGAAGCAAGCTGATTCATTATTAGAGAACAAAGTACTTCCTGATGAGCTTAACATTGATTTAGTTGAGGCACCATTGACTGGGTTCATTGATGAAATAGATTCTATATAAAAAAAATAGAAATAAAGGTTACTATATAATATAAATATTTATTTTTTAAAATATATTTTTTAAATATTTACTAATAATTGACATTTTAGAATTTAGTTTTTATATTTATAATATAATTTGTTTTATTTTAAAATGAAAATAATAATTTTTTTTTTTTTTTTAAAGCCTTGTAAATTTATGAAATGATTGTTCATTTCAATTTCTAAATTATTTATCAATTAAAAATAGTGATTTGTAAGGTTTTTTTAAAATGTGTGTTCATTTAACTGTCGTAAAAGATACTAAATAAATTTTTCAAAGTGGAGGGGCACAAATACCAATTTTTTTTTTAAATCAATTTTAAATTATATTTACTACCCATAGTTGAAAAAATTTCTTTTTTATTTTATTAAATTTTGAAAAAATTTTTTAGAAAATTTTTTAATTTTAAAATTTTGATGAAAAAATTTATTATCAATAAATTTTTTTTTTTTTTTTTTAAATTTTTTTTTTTTTAAAAAAAATTAAAAAACCATATAAACCATTTTATAAATTTTTTTTTTATAAAAATAATGGCAACAAATAGACAATATGATACTACATGTTTAGAACATCCCCAAAAAACTATAGTTTTTATATGTTCAACATGCAGTGATAATATTCCGGTATGTAACAAATGTATTATAGGTAGTCATAATGGTCATGTTTTTAAAGATTTAGAGGATATCGAAATCAACCTTAAAAACAAAATAAACAAAGATTTCAAAACCCAAACTTTACCACAGTTAAGCAAACTTTTGGAAAATAACAAAAGTCAGTTAGAAAAATCAGATAATCAATTAAAACAAATTCAAGAAAATCACACAAAGAATTTAGAAACTTTAACAAATGAATTTAAGAAAATTAAAGATATTGTTAATATTAAAGAAAATGATTTTAAAAAACTATTAATAACAAAACTAGATGAAAATATAGAGGCTAATAATAATTTCACATCAGCAATTGAAGATAGTAATAAAAAAGTTAACAATATTTTAAATACACAAAATAACAATAAAAATAACAATCAAAATAATAACCAATTCATAGAAATAGTTAAGCAGAGTCATATTTGTAAAAAGTTATTATCCAATTTTAACAACTATCCACAATATAATGAAGTATCATTGCTCACTAAAGAGTCTAATTTCGAGTTAGTTAAAAAAAATATTGATGGGTTTCTTTCTTTAGTTCAAAATCAAAATAATGCTAATGGGTCTAATTCTTTAGATCAACATCAAAAATATATGGTTTGTAAATATTTCTATATATTTATTTTTATATTATAGAGCATATAGTAATACTTTTAATAATTTATAAAGATAGAGGCCTTAGATTTTTCGTATATAAAAATGGTTGCAGTATTGAAAATTCGACCAAATTAATTGCCATATATCCCGGTAGCCATTTACCACCAGTATTTCCTCCAAACGTATCCGAGATTCTATTACCCGATGGTTTTAATCAGTCTCTTGATTCTTTACCCCCATCAGTAACAGTATTATACTTATTCAATATCAGTTATCAACTAAACCAAGATTCAATCCCCCATACTATTCAAACTATATATTTTGGTGATGGCTTTTCTCAACAATTTCATTTTATTAATAACCAATTTGCCAATAATTATTTTTCAGCATTTCCCAAACAGATCTTTTTAGGCAATGTAGCATACCCATATTATGGAAACTCCCAGTATTATCACCAAATACATGTACATTATGACAAAAATTATAGGTTTGGCAAAAGCCATGGTTGGACTTTGTGCGACACAATAGGAAAATATTCTTTCAACCAAAATCATTAAATAAACTATATTTTATAGAGGCTTTTGTAATACCTCCTCACATTTTATAATGGTTTCTCTATCATTTTTTTATAAGTTAAATATATTTTGTGGTATAATAATACATTGATATATTTTATAAATTTTTTAGTTATCACTTGATTTTTTTGACATAATAAGCCTCTAAAACTTGTATGTATTAGATGTTGCCTCTAAAACTGTAGTCTTTATTTATAAATATATTTATACTAAGAGAATTGGAGTATATAGTAGCTTATAAAGATTTTTATAATAAATCTCCATCATGTGAGATCAAAGAAACTTTTATTAAAGTTAGGGGTATTTATAGAGCATTAATTTGTGTACTATTGCTTTTTATAATGAATTTAAAAAATAAATTAAAAAGAAAATTATATATTTTTATATTTTTTGTTTTAATTATATATATATTTAAAAATAAAAAAGAATATTATATTTAAACATAAAAAAGAAAACATATTTAATTTTTTTTATATTTTTTTTAAATTTATTTAAAATTAATTCTATTACTTTATTGAATAATTTTAGAACAATAAGAAATTTATAAAAATTTCAATTATTTTATTTTTTAAAATATAAAATTAAAAAATCCGAATTTCAATTTGAAGATTTTTTAAAAAAATATAATTTTTTTTAAATTTTTTTTAAAAAGAAAATCTAATAATTTTTTGGTGGATCTCGTTGGTGTAAAAGTTTTAAAAAAAAATTATTTTTTTTTAAAAATTAATAAATTATAATTAACTATTGTAACAATATTTTAAATTCAAATATTAAACTATGTCAAATTACCAACTATATGATACTAAATGTTTAGATCACCCCAATGAAGATATAATTTCAATATGCTCAACTTGTCCAAATGACTATCCTGTATGTATAGATTGTATTACTGGTATTCATAAAGGTCATAATTTCGAAGAATTAGATGATATAAATTTAAGAAATCAAATAGAGGAGGATTTTAAAAATCAAACAATACCAAAACTAAACGACTATTTAGAAAATAATAAAAAAATATTAGATGAATCAAACAATCACTTTGAAGAAATTAAAGATAACCATACAAAGAATTTTGATAAAACTTTTAATATATTTAAGGAATTAAAGTATATTATCAATGCAAAAGAAAATGATGTCAAAAGATTATTAATAACTAAATTAGAAGAAAATACAGATGTAAATAATATAATAACAATAACAATAGAAAACGATAATAATAAAATTAATTCTGCTATTAAATTTAATAGTGATATTGATAACAATAAAAATAATATTGGTTTTATTGAACTTTTAAAACACAATCATCATTGTAAAAATCTTTTATTAAATATAAATAATAACAATAACTTACCAGAATATAATGATACTCAAGTAATAACTCAAGAAAATAATCTTGACTCAATCAAAGATTTAACAAACAGTTATATAGAAGTAAATGACTCAAATACAGATTTTAGTAACATTAGTTTAGAAGAAAATGACTTAATCAAAGATCTAACAAACACTTATTTAGAAGTAAGTGACTCAGCCAGAGATCTAAAAAGCAGTCACTTAGAAGAAATGGATATTCCTAAATATAAAAATCCTCAATTTATAATTCAAGAAAAAAATCTCGACTCAAAGGAACATAAAAAAAACAGCTATTTTGAAGAGCTTGATGATATTCCTTTAGTTAAAAAAGATTTAAAAAAACAAAATTGTAAGTTTAAACATTAAATTTTTTATTTTAATTTTATACTAATTATACTTAAATTAATTACTTTTAATAAAGTTTTTAATTTAGAATTTACAATTTATGAAGAAGGGTGTGATATTAGTCATTTAGAAATTAGAAATCTTGCTATTGGACCTATCCAACGTTTACCCAAAGTTTTTCCAGAAACAGTTACATATTTATTATTACTTGATGGCTTTAATCAACCACTTGATTTTATATCACCTATGGTAAAATTTTTGTATTTTCATAACATCAAATATCAATTATTTCCTGGTTCTATTCCAAATCATTTAAATGAGATTGGATTTTCTAATGGCTTCTCTCAACGTTTTACAAAAGGTATTATCCCTGACTCTGTATTATCTATAATAATGGGCGATGTGGTCTATCCTTTAACACCTGACTCCATTTCAAACCCTGATATATTTATATATTATAATAGCAACTACAGACATTCAAAAACAAAATTTAAAAAATAAAAAGAAACTTTAAAAAATAAAATTATTTTAATATTAAAAAATAAATTTTGGTAATACTAAAAACATTTTTGGAGATATGGAAACACTAAATTAGCACTTCAAACAACGGGTGTGGTTTTTTCAGTATAATGAATTTAGATGTTATAATCTATTTCCCTATTAATATTATTTTTATAATGTTAAAGAATGACAGTATGAATTTCAATTGGTGGAAAAAAAAATAAAATTAAAAAAAATATTAATTTTTTTTTTTTTTTTTTTAATAGATTTTTTAAAAAGATTTTAAAATTTTTTATTTTTGGATCGCGCTAATGTGAAAATTAACAAAAAAAAAAATTATTGTTTTTATAAAACACTTTTAATAATAAATAATTTTTGTAAAAACCATATTTTAAATTATAATGTCGAATAATCAACAATATAATATAAAATGCTTATATCATCCCCACCAAGTTATAATTTCAATATGCTCAACTTGTCCAAATATCACTCCTGTCTGTATTGGTTGTATTACTGGTATTCATAAAGGCCATAATTTTGAAAAATTAAATGATATAAATTTTAGAAATCAAATAGAACAAGAATATAATAATCAAACAATACCAAAACTAAACGACTATTTAGAAAGTAATAAAAAAATATTGGAAGATTCAAACAGCCACTTTAAACAAATTAATGATAACCATTCAATGAATTTTGATATAGCTTTTAAAAATTTTAAGCGATTAAAAAATATTATCAACGCAAAAGAAAATGATATCAAAAGATTATTAACAACTAAATTAAACGAAAATACAGATATAAATGATATAATAACAATGACAATAGAAAACGATAATAATAAAATTAAAAAAGCTATTAAATTTAATAGTGAGGTTAATAATTATAATAATATTGGTTTTATTGAACTTTTAAAACACAATCATCAATGTAAAAATCTTTTATCAAATATAAATAATAATAACTTACCAGAATATAAAGATACTCAATTAATAATTAAAGAAAATAATCTCGAATCAATCAAAGATAAAATAAAAAGCTATTTGGAAGTACTTGATGATATTCCTTTAGTTAAAAAAGAATTAAAAACATTAAAATGTAAGTTTTAAAATTAAATTTTTTATTTTTATTTTATACTAATTTTACTTATATGGATTACTTTTAATAAAGTTTTTAATTTAGAATTTACAATTTACGAAGAAGGCTATGATATTAGTCATTTAAATAATAATTGCCTTGCTATTGGGCCTATCCAATGTTTACCCAAATCTATTCCAGCAACAGTTTCATTCTTATTATTACTAGATGGCTTTAATCAACCACTTAATTTTATACCACCCACCGTAAAATTTTTGTTTTTACATAAAATCAGTTATCAACTAACACCTGGCTCAATTCCATATCATTTAACTCAAATTGGATTTTCTAATGGCTTCTCTCAACGTTTTACAAAAGGCATAATCCCTGACTCTATAGCTAATGTTGCTATTGGCGATGTGGTCTATGCTTTAGATTCTGACTCCATTTCAAACCCTAATCATCGTATTTATTATTATTCCAACTACAGACATCCATTTTTAAATTTAAAAAATTGTGCTTATTATAAAAAGGAACTTTAAAAAATAAAATAAAAAAAAAAAGTAATATTAAAAAAAATAATATCTTTCTGTAAAATTATATATTTTGTTTGAAATAATTATTTTTAAAATAAAAAAGGAAGCATATTTTTTTATTATTATAATTAGAGTTCTGGTTTCTATAATTTATATTCAAACAATGATGTAAGTATCATATTAGATTTAATATTTTATGTTTTCATAAAATATAAATTACTTTTTTTTATTTATTTTCGGATGAAAACTAAAATCATTTCATATGTTGCAATTGATCAATCAAAAAATAATTATTAGTAAATAAATTCAATATTTGTTGTAATGGGATTTGTAAATATTTTTTTGGAAAAATAAAAAAATAAAAAATAAAAAAATTTATTAATTTTAAATTTACATTCAATATAAAAGCTTTTGTGTTGAATGTAAAAAAAATTTAAAATTAATAAATTTTAAATCTTTACACAAAAGCTTTTATATTGAATGTAAAAAATGTGTGGGGAAATAAACCCAATTTTTTTTTTTTAATTAATTTTTTGTTTTTACATTTTTTAAAAAATTAATTTTAAACTATAAATTTTTTTCACCATCATCACTGTTACAATTTTAATAAATCTTTAAAACAAATCCATTTCAAACAATATAACTTTCTACAAAAAAAAAATATTAAATATTTCAGATTATCAATTTAAACAAATTCAAAAAATAAAAAAATGAGTTTTGAAATTTTACAAACAACAACTTTTAAAATAAGTTATTCATATGGGGGGACATGGGTTTGATAATAGTATATTGAATTTATGAGTATGTTTATTGGTTATCTGTATTGTTATGAAAATGCATAATTTCTTGTATTTCTATTTTAAAAGCTGTTTAAAATTAGATAAATTCTTTAATTTTTAGGTATAATAAAAGTGGTTCAAGTTTTCCCACATATTTGTTATTAAAAAATTTAGTGCGAAAAAATGTTAAAAATTTGGTGGGTTTTTTTTTTGTTATTCCAAATTTGCGCAAACTTGAACCGCTTTTACAATAATTTTGTGTTGTGTATTGCAGTTAATAAAGAGAAATTACATATATTATTTAATTTATAAAGTTTTTAATAATTTTTTTTTTCTAATCAAAAATTAAGCAACTTAAATTTAAATTTTGTGTGAAAATAAAAAATTAATAATTAAAATTTTTAATTTTTTTAATTTTTTTAATTTTTTTATTTTTCATTCTTTATTTAAAATTAATATTTAATTTAATCACACCAGAGAAATTAATTTTAATAATAAATAAATTATAAACCATATTTTATATTCTAAAAAAAATAATGTCAGAAAATCAACAATATAATATTAAATGCTTATATCATTCCGATGAAGATATAATTTCAATATGCTCAACTTGTCCAAACATCACTCCTGTCTGTATTGATTGTATTACCGATATTCATAAAAATCACTGTTTTGAAAAATTAAAAGATATAAGTATAAGAAAAAAATTACAGCAAAATTTTATCATAGAAACAATACCAAAACTAAACAACTATTTGGAAAATAATAAAAAAATATTGGATGAATCAAATAATCACTTAAAAGAAATTAAAGAAAAACATACAAAGAATTTTGAAAAAACTTTTAATATATTTAAGGAATTAATAGATATTATCAAGGCAAAAGAAAATGATGTCAAAAGAATATTAATAACTAAACTAACCGAAAATACAGATGTAAATGAAACAATAACAGCAACAATAGAAAAATATGATAATATAATTAAAAATGCAATTAAATATAATAATGATTTTAATAATAATAATAATAATAATAATAATAATAATAATAATAATATGAATAATAATATGAATAATAATAATATGAATATGAATAATAATAATAATAATAATAATAATAATATGAATAATAGTATTAATAATAATGGATTTCTTGAACTTATAAAACACATTCATCAATGTAACAATCTTTTATCAAATATAAATAATAATAACTTACCAGAATATAAAGATACTCAATTAATAATTCATATAAAAAATCTTGACTCAATCAAAGATTTTATATCCACCTATTTAGAAGTACCTGAAATTCCTTTAGTTAAAAAAGAATTAAAAACACAAGAATGTAAGTTTTTTATATTTAATTTTTTATTTTTATTTTTATTTTATATTAATACAAATTCTTTTAATAAAGTTAATGGTAAAGATTTTACAATTTACGAAGAAGGGTGTAATATTAGTGATTTAGAAACTTGTTGCCTTGCTATTGGAGATGTCCAAATTTTACCCAAAACCAATCTAGCAACCATTTCAGAATTATTATTACTTGATGGCTTTAATCATCCACTTGATTTTATACCAAGCACCGTACAGAGCTTGTTTTTACAAAACATCAAGTATCAATTAAAAAAAGGTTCAATTCCAAAACATTTAAATATTCTTGGATTTACCAATGGCTTTGATCAGGAATTAACAAAAGATATTATCCCTGACACTGTAACATCTATTTTAATTGGCGATGTGGTCCATTCTTTAAAGCCTGACTCGATTTCAAACTCAGAACAAATAATTTATTATTATGGCAACTACAAACATAAAAAAATTAATTTTTATCGGTCTCAAAGTAATAATTCAAATTTATAGATATTATTATTGCTTTAATATTTTTAATTAATTTTAATATAGCTAATTTTTAAAATACAATCTTCGTTGCAGCACTTATATATGTTAATAGAGCTCTCAAGAAAAACATCAGAATCCCATGAATCATTAAAAATTGATTAAGTCCCAACCCTGAACAAAAAAGCATTCGTTCTTTTAAATACAGACATCAAAAAATGCCTTGTATGGGCTGATTAGACGAGAATCTATAAAAAATAAACAATTTATGGTCTTTTTTTTCTTAATTATTGCATTTAGAAAATAAAACTTTAAAGGATATATTGACAATGATATTACTCTTTTATTAAATACATAGAGTGTGTATTAATAATAAAAAGTATTTTAATTTTATATTTTAAAAATTTTTTTATTTTTTTATTTTTTTTAATATTTTTTTTTATATATAAATTAACATATACTAATAAAATATATATATTTTACTCGAGTGTTTAAATATTTTTTTTTTTTTTTTTTTTATTCTCTTGATTCATCAACCCAACCTTTGCTTTGTTCTTCTTCTTCTTCTTCTTCAGTTTCTTCTTCGATTTGATCAAAGGCATTTTCTGGAACAGAGTAGAGAGTGATAACATTACGATTTGGATCACGATGGAGAAGATATTTACCATTGGCTAATTTCATACAGGTTTGAGCAATGTGTTTAATGATACCCCAACAGTTCTTCATATCAACACCATTTTGTTTATTTAAATCAGCAACTGGATAGAATTGAGTACCTAAAATAACATGATTATTATTGTCACGGACTGAATCTCTTGAAACAAAACCTAAATTCATCATTTCACAACCAGCTAAAGTTGATTGAATTGACCATTTAGCAAACTAAATAATAATAATAATAATAATAATAAATTAATATTTTTTTTTTTTTTTTTTTTTTTTGTAATTAAATAACTATACATACTTTAGTTGAATTATTTTTAATTTCGGTAGCAAGAATAGCAGCTCTTTGTGTATCTAATTTCTTTCTAAACTCAATACCAAATCTGTTACTGTCGTGTTCATTGATAGCTTTAATTGAAATGAATTTTGGTTCACCAGAGGCATCTTCGATGGCGGCATCAATTTCGGTTCTAGCTAAAACAACAATATCATCACCGAGATCCCATTTCTTGTAAGCATAACCAACATCAACAGTGTTTTCAAATTCTTCACCTTCTGGTAATTCGTTATCTAAAGCAACTGGTTCAGCATCGGATGAAAGAACTTGTTGCCAATAGTTGAGGTTAATTTGGGTGGCTTCGCTTGAGAGTGATGCTGAGGTATTGATTGGATCTTTTTCATCTTGATGTGATGAAACATTTTCGTTAACAGTTAATTGTTCGGATGTACCTGGTCTTAATTCAAAGAAGAGACGAGCACCAACTTTTTGAACAACAATATCCCATGAGAAAACAGATTTTTGAGCACTCATTAAAATTGCTAAAATACTGTCAGTAGCATAGACATTACCATTCATATATTCGCTTCTAATAACTTTATCATCACTAGTTGGGATTAATGGTACATTAACTTCACTCTTTTGTAATTTCTTTTCATTCTTTGTATTAATTCTATCATAAACTCTATTATAATATTTAACTTTACCATATGTTCCACTGTTTTATTATTATTATTATGATTATTTGATGATTATTATAAATATATTTGAATTTATCATTTCATTTTTTATAATTTGTTGATAAATTAATAGTTTTAAAATTTTAATAAAATTAAATTAGTATATATTTATAATTTTAATATGAATAGTTGATGTAAAATAATATTTATCACATACATAGTTTCTGATTCTGGTAAATTTTCGAGAGTATATTGTTTAAATGTTTGTAAATCAAATTCTTCTTTTGATTCCCAGCTTGAACCGATTTCAATACTGCTTTCTCTGTTTCTTTGTCTTCTGTCATTCCAATATTTATTAGCGTATCTACCACCTCTACCACGAGCGGCACCTCTGTTTGATGAACCACCTCTTTTGCTTTGTTGATAGAATTGTTTTTGATAAGTTTTACCTTTATTCTTAAGTTTAGCTGAAACTCTAGTGTAATCGACTAATTTGAAACTATCTTCATCATCTTCTAATTTAAATGTAAATGGATTGAAAACATTTGAACCATAGTTTTGACGTTCTGTTTTTATAGAAAAAAAAAAAAAATCGTAAAATTAATATCGTTGGATTTATTTCTTTTGTGACACTATTTTCTTTTCTATTGCTATTGCTATATCCACTGCTATTTTGATTTTAGTATTTTATTAATGCTATTGTGTGAAACATACGATAATTTCTGACATTTGAATTCCAATCAGAGCATTTACCAATTTTATCACCTTTGCTGAATGGGGCATATGGGATATCGGTGAATTTTTCTAATTTGGTAATTGGACCCCAACCACTTGGATTAGATTTAACATTTGGTAATTCTAATGACATCTTTTTTTATTTTTATTAAAATTTATAAATAAATAAAGAAAAATAATGAAGATTATAAAAAAAAAAAAAAAAAAAAATTTTTAAAAAAAATTTATAAAAAAATTTTAAAAAAAATTAAAAAAAAAAAAAAATAAAAAAAAATTCACAAAAAAAATTGAAAAAATAAATAGTTTTTTTTTTTCGTTTTTGAAGTTATTTAATATGTAAAAAAAAAAAAAATATATGAATAAACTGTATTCTAATTTAATTTTCAATTATTTTATTTTCATTTAAATTAATATTGGTATTTTTTTCATTGATTAATTTAATTAAGTGTTTTGATAAATTTATAAAAATTGGTAAAATTGAATTTTTGTCATTTGGGTTATTATTAATTTGAATATCGGATTGGATCGATTTTAAATTGTTGGTTGAAGTTGGTGATTCCAATAAAATATCGGATCCAATAGAACTGAGTAAAGTGCTTTTTTGTAACATTGATAATTTTTGGTGATTTGGGTCGTTTGAAAATTGTTTAAATTCGTTGTTATTTAATAAAGAGTTGAATAACATATTCATATCTGATTGTTGCTGGTAAGTTTGTAATTCTAAAGATTTGGTGTAAATTGAAAATAATTGCTCTATAGCTTTACGGTAGTTGCCACCCCATGTATTTACAACGTGGTTACCAAACACTGATAATATAGCTTCAGTAACAGTTGGGTGAATTTTGGTCGATAATATTGGTTTCCACAACCATAGATTAGATAAAACTTTGTTTCTGCCACTTTCATAAACTAAATTATGTGCCCATTGTAATGAACCAATTAAGCTTTTATCTTGCAATAATGTTTGTTGTAATACTGAATCTTTAAAAATTGGGTTGTTGCTTTCTAAATGAATTGCTATATTGAATGCCTCTTTTAATTGGGTTTGAATATCTTGGTCGCTGTGATTTGGTACCATTTCGAATCTGCAAATACTGTTGTTGATGGATTCTATGAATGAGTTTGGTGAGTTATTGATGGTTGAGATTTGATTCTCTTTTAAATATTCGTACAGGTTTAAAGGTTCTGAGGTAGTTTTGCTTTTATATATTTTATTTACAATTGCTTGGTTTTGATAAAGATTAAATGGATATTCAATAAACAAAAAGTGGCTGAGATTATTATTATTTTTAATTTCAACTAGTTTTTCGGCTGATAATCCTGTACCATCACTATCGCTAAAATCATTTGATGAGATACCATATGATTGAATTTTACCTTTTGATACTAAACTTTGCAAATGTGGGAAAATTTCATCTTGTAATATTTTATAAATGTTGACATTGCCTTCTTGTTGCTTAACGATTTTCATAATGTTGTTTAGGTCCAATATAAAAATATCGATTGTTTCCAAAGATATATCTTGAAAAGCTTTTTTTATTTGTAAGTCGATTGAACTGACTGACAAAGGTTCTAATAAAACTGAGCTATCTGTAAAGTTTGGTGGTAATGATGTTTTTAATGGTTTTGATTTTTTTATATACACTAATTCTGATCTTTTAATTTCATTATTATCTAATAAATCTGATAAAACATTTTGTAGTAGTTTTGATTCGTTTGTTGATTTTATAACATTACATCCATTTTTAATTGATTTAATTCTATTAATATATAAAAACAATGTTAATATTTTTATTTATATAATGAAACTATAAAATTTTAATCAATTTTAATTTACTTACAAAATAGCCTTGTGTTCATTATCATATAATGAATAATTATCACTATCGATTGCAATAGTGCTTAGTGATAATGGCAATATACCATTATTTTCTAAAGTTTTAAATGAGAGTTTACTATTTACATTTTGTTGTTTATTTAATAAAAATGATTGTGTTGATTGTGCTGTACCACCACTACTATAAAATCTATAAAATTTATTTATATTTAAACTATTTTTAAATTTTAAAATTTTAATCATATTATTATTATTATTGTTTTTTGTTTAAACACAAAATAGAAATAACAAAAAAAAAATAAAATCTTTAATTGTGGAATGAAAAAATTATTTTAAAAATTTATGAAAAAAAATAAAAAATAGTTTGATAAAAATTTTATGTAGTTCGTCATATGACAATTTATAAAATATTTGAAAGAAAATAAAAAAAAAAAAAAAAAATTAAAAAAAAAAAAAAATAATTTTATTTTTTTTAATTTTTTAAAAAATTATTTTTTATCATTTTTTTTCGTTTTCCTTTTTGTATATTTCTTTATTTTTTTTTAAAATAAAAGTGTGTTTTTTTTAGTATTAGTTTGATTTAAATTAAATTAAATAATAGTTTAGTCATTTAAAAATCCATATATACCTATTTATAGTATATATTTGTAAATAATATTAGTAATAATATAAACCACACCCACAAAAAAAAAACCCACACATAAAATATATATAGAGAAATGTCAAGATCAATTTTCAAGGTACATTATCACCAGTATAATAAATATAACACGATTTTATAATAAAGAAATTAATAGCAGTGGTTTCAAATTTGTACAAAAAATATATACATATAGTTATAATAATGAAAAATGATATATTCAGTAGATTATATGCTTTACTAAAATGAATCATTTATCTTAAATAATATCATCATTACATTATTATTATATATGTTATTTTATACAATTCTAAAAAACTACTATTTTTATTATAAAATGTAAAATATAAAATATATATATATTAATAATAATAATTTTTTTTATAAATTTTAGAATCCATTGACATCATCACATTTATGGCATGTTATTGATGCTGAAGGTCATCATGTTGGTAAAATAGCAACTAAAATCGCCAATTTATTAAGAGGTAAACATAAGCCAATTTTCGATAAATCAGCAGTTCAAGAATGTGGAGATTATGTTGTAGTATTGAATGCTAAAAAAGTTGAATTTTCAGGTAAAAAATGGGATCAAAAAATGTACAGAAAACATTCAGGTTATCCAGGTGGTCTTAAAGAAACACCAGCTAAAGAAATGAATAAAAAAGATCCAGCACACATTATTCGTCATGCTGTTATGGGTATGATTCCAAAGAATGACAGTAAATATTATTTAGCTCAACGTTTAAAAATATATCCAGATTTCCACAACCCACATCAATCCCAAATCTCAAATATACCAGTTTCACCATTAACTCAAAATATAGGCAAATATAAAGAAGCTGAAATTAATATCCCAGAAGAACAATTCCAAGAGTATTATGCTGGTTATAAAGTTAAAATGGACGAAGTTGAAGGTAACTTTAGAGTTATTGAAACTATGACTCGTAACCATAAAGAATCTCTTAAACGTGAAAGAAGATTATTAAGAAAGAAGAGAGTCGGTGAATTAAAACCATTAAAAGGTCAAACTGTCAAAAAAGATAAATTTTAAACCAATAACAACAAATAAAATAAATAATATTCTTTAAATAATAATAAAATAAAAAAAAAATAAAAAAAATATAATTTTAAAAAAAACTATAGAGATAGAAGGAGGTAAAAGGTGATATTATTGTTTATTTATTTAACATTCCAGATTTTTGAAGATATAAAATGTTCTGGTGGGTTGTCATAAATATCTTTGGTGGTTCTCATCAGAATCGGCCCCACCAATTTGTAATATTTGTTGAATATTAACCAGGTTTCTTTAGATACACATATGTAGTCACAATCCACACGCAGGCCTTCTTTCAGTGAATGAATTGGATATCCATCGAGCGTTTTAAAGAATACTGTGGTGTTGATGGTTTTGGGTGGTGGGATGCCACCATCTATAAATCTTTTCCATTGAGCAAACCAATTCATCGGTAACATAAAATATAGGTTTTGCTTATGATTGGTCTCTAATATATTGTGCAAACTAAATTCACTTCTATAAATCTCTTGTCTTTCTAAAACTCTTTTATCGTTTACGATTCTCTATTAATAAATTATAAGAATTAGTGCACTCCTTTGTTGATATTGGTAATGGGTGATACTTACATCATTTAAGATCATTTCTAATTCGGTTAAACGGTAAAACTTGGAGTCAGAAATAAAGCATTGTATATCTAGTGATGGAGGTATTTGAATACTACCAGTTCTGAGGTAGTTTAAAATAAAACCAAAATAGACAGGGTCACGATCTATTAAATAGAATCCATCGTGGTCTTTTTCGAATTTGATTTTCTTTTCGCCCTTTTCATTTTCAACTTCGTCGAAATAGTGAGAGTTTTCATCTCTATCCTTTTTTTCATCTTGGTTTAGTATATCTTCATTCCGGGACAGCTCCTCTAGATACTCTTGATTATGTTTAAACTGTTTATATTTTAAATGTTTATCATTTATAACTGGTAGTTTTTTATTGTCATTATATCCAATGGTTGAGTTTGTTATTTTATTATTTTTTTGTTTGTTTTGGTCACTTTTAATGTTACTAAGGTCTTCTGGGGGAGGTGTTGTATCGTCATGTACCATACTTTCAAATGGTACAGAGAAGAGATCTGTTATTATTTTTGAATTGATTTTATCATCTTGTGCAATTCCAGCTAAAATACTTTCGGCATGTCTATTTAATGTTTTTCTTCTTACTATAAATGGTTGCCCACCCACTTTTAATCTAATCCAATGACCACCTAAATGAAATAATGATACATTCTTTTGTTGCTGTTGCAAGTTTTTATAGATTTCATTAAAATTTTTTAAATTGCTGAAAGTTGAACTTTATATAAATTTAAAAATATTAGTACTATGTTGCTTGTTACTATTTAATTATCATTTATTTATATACATACATTAACGATGGAATAAATCCAAATAAAATTTTAAACATATTATTTGCAAATATATCGTAAATAAATATAAATATATTTATTTTTAATATAGGTATAGTTATTATATTTATATGTATAGATTTATTGGTAAAATATAAATATAAAAAATAATAGGTGATGTTCCTGTGTTTACATTTTAAATTAAATAAATTATAAAAATTAAATATAAATTAAAAAAAAAAAAATTTATTTTTTTTTAATTTTTTTTTTAATTTTTTTTAATTTTTTAAATTATTTAAATAATTAGGGTGTTATTCAATGTAATATAAACATAAAAGATACTAGTATTTTCAAATAAATATATATTTGTTCCCAACATGTAAAAAAAAATCACAATGAAATTTTTTTTTAAATTTTTTAAAATTATTTTTTTATAAATTATTTTTTTTTTTTTTTAAATTTTTTATGAGAATATGATTTGTTTTATTTTAAAAAAGAAATAACAATGATATTAATAAAAAGAAATAATTATAATTTTAGTAAAGCATTTAAAATTCTAAATAGCTATTATAATAAATGCCTATATACAACCAATATTATCAATAATAATAAACAAACACCAAATAATAATAAATTATTAAATATTATTAATAATAATAATAAATCAAAAAATAAAAGTTTATATTTAAATGAGGTTAAAGAGAATCCAAATAATTCAGTAGCATTATTTAATTTAGCAAGTAGTTTAGAATCAAATGAATCAATTAAAGTTGAAACTAAAGATGGATCAGTATCAGAAGAGAATAGAAAATCAATTTATTTAAAGATTTTAAATCTTGAAATTAATGACGAAAATAGAGCAGATATTTCAAACTCATATAATAATTTAGCGTATCAATATATGGAGGGTATTCCAACAATAGATTTATTAAATGGTGAAAAAAAGACAAAAAGAGAATTATATTTAAAATCAATAGAGTTAAACAAAGACAATTCGCCATCCTACAATAATTTAGCAAATACCATGCATCCAAGCGAGACTGTACACGTAAATGGAAGAGATTGGAAGAAAAGAGAATTATATTTAAAGTCAATCGAGTTGGATCCACACGATTCAAATGCCTATCACAATTTAGCAAACTCGCTGCAATCCTCCAATGAAGAGGTCACATTAAATGATGGTGTTACAAAAATGACAGCTAGAGATTTATACTTAAAATCAATTGATCTTCAACCATATGGATCAAACTCTTACTTCAACTTGGCAGTTTTAATGGGATCACCAGACGAGGTAGTCACTTTATTAAATGGCACAAAAATGACAGAAAAGGATTTATATTTAAAGGACATTGATGTCAATGCAGCATCCAAGAACGTATCATATTCATACAACAATTTAGCTAATTTAATGCCATCATCCAACGAAGTGGTTCATCTTTTGGACGGAAGACCATTCTCAAAAAAGATGTTATATTGCAAGGCTATTGAAATCGATGGCACTAATGTAGAGGCCTACAACAATCTTTCCATCCTCTTAAAAGATATAAACGATCAAGTACCCATCAATGGCAAAGCAGTATCAAAACTAGACTTATTAATCAAGCTTATTCAAATGGACCCAACCAACCCAATTTACTACTATAACACAGCATTAAATCTAGTAAAGTCAAACCAAGCTCAACAGGTAATAAAGATAAATGGTGATCGTATGACTCCTTTGGATCTAGTTGCAAAATCAATAGACTTAAACCCAAAAGAGCCAAATTTCTTTAGATTGTTTTCAAAGCTAATGGATATAAATGGTATAGAGAAAATAGTTTTACTCAATGGGAAAACGATTTACAACACTGATATAAAAACTAAATTAAATATAAAAAGTGATAATGGTATATTTTCAATTTTTAAAAAGCTATTTTAAATAAAAATAAAAAAATTTTTTAATAAAAAGTATATATCAAAAAAATTAATAATAAAAAATTTATATTGATTTTTTTTTCATATTAAAATTAACCAAAGTGTTTTAAATTTTTTTTTATATTAAAATTAATCATAGTGTTTTAATTTTCATTTTTTTATGATTAGATTTTTTTTATGAGGTTTTAATTTTTCGTGTTGCGAGTACCCCACCCACACTTTTTCGAATTAAAATTTTATTTTTTTTTAATTTTTTTATTTAATATTATTTCTTTTTTTGGTATTTAAATCATCCACTAAAATTTAGAAAAGTAAATTAATAAAAAAAAATTGATTATAAAAACAAAAATTATTGTTTCTTTTTATTTTTTTTAAAAATAATTTTTCAAAACAATCACCTTAAAAAAATCTCATATAAAAATTAATAGTAATCTCCTTAAAAAAAAATTAAATAATAATAATATTGGCTATAATTTATATATAAAAAAAAAAAAATGGATAACAATAATAATAACAATAATAATAATAATAATAATAATAATAATAATAATAATAATAATAATAATAATAATAATAATAATAATAATAATAATAATAATAATAATAATATTAACAATAATAATATTAACAATAATAACAATGTTAACAATAATACAAATAATTCAAAAAAAAATTTTAAAAGAAAAATAGAAAATGATGAAACTTCCATATTTAATATGAAGTCCATTAGAGTCGAGGTCCTTAACACCGAAATTGAATTATTAATTAAAGAAAAAGAAGAAGACCACAAAGAGATCAACGAAGCTTTCCAAAAACATATAAATGTTTTAAATGAAAAGAAAAACCAAATCATAAACAAAATAGAATCAAAAAAGATGAAAATGTGCCACACAGTTTCCAGGGTCTTCGAAAAGTATCCATTAGCTTCAGAAAATTATAAACAAAAAGTTGAAAGCCATGCCAAAAAAGTCCACAAACAAGAGGTTTTAAAATTCCATATAGGTCTCCACAAAAAACATGGTGAAATAATGAAAAATAGATCTAGATCAATTATGGAGACAATCAGAGTAAATAGAGAAAGAGTCGAGCAATTAAAAAGAGAGATCAGATTAGAAGAAATAGCCAAAGAAAATTCATACGGTAGAATGGAATGAATAGTTTAAATAAAATATATTATAGTTTTTAGTTTTAAAATATCTCTTTTTTTTTTTTTTTTTAATTTTTTTTTTTTTAATTATTTCTTTTTTAAAAATAAGTTGTAGTATTTATAAATTTTTTTTTTTAAACAATAATATTATTTTTATTTATTTAAATTTTAATTGATATAGTTTCTAATAATATCGATTGGTTTTTTTGATTTTTAAAGGTTGTAATTTCGATTATTTGTGACTTCTTGGTATCATTGTTTATTTTAAATATTTTGCGTATTTATAACTAAAGTCTTCTTTAATTTTTCTTTTTTTATATCTTTTGATGGTCGTAACGGATGGTGGCGCTGAATCCAATTTAAAGAAATATTTAGAGGGTAGTTTAATAGTATGTACCGATGGTGGTATCCAACTAGGCGATAGTTCCTGGGTAAAGTTACCTTTGATTTTGAGTATACGAACGGTTAGAGGTATGCAGTCTTGACTGTGCATGGCGGAGGTTTTATATCTTAGCGATAATTTCTCTACACTTGGTGGGATGGTATGTTTCGATGGATTTAGTTTTGTAAAGTATTCCATGGTTAGGCTTGTTACACTGTTTGGTATTGATAATGGTGTTAATTTTCTATTAATATTAACAAGCTTTAATATTTTAATGGTTGTTGGCAAGGGTGGCAGGTCTTCGTTGGTTATGTCGTTATTAAAGGTTGAATAAGAGTCATAGATTGATAGATTTGTAACGGATTGTGGTAAATATTTTAATAGGCTAAAATTAATTTCTTGATGAAGCTTGACTGCTGTTACTGATGGTGGTATTGAGGCAGGAGTAATATCTATATTGAGCAAAGAGAGTTTAGTTACTGATTGGGGTATGAGCCCACCAACTAGATCTTGTTTTGAAACTTTTTGAAAACCGAGTATTTTATCATTTTCTGTTAGTTTGTTGAATAGAGTTAATGATTTGACCGAGTTTGGTATAAGGCATGCATGTGGTTTGATTGGGATGGTTAGTTTAGTAACTGATGTTGGGATTGTGGAGGTAGAAAACGAATCAAAGCCGCAACCGAGTATAAGTGTGTGTACTGAGGGTGGAATGGTATCGTTGCCATCGATTTCTTGATTGAAACGTTCACCAAACTCCAAGTATTCAAGGGTGGATGGGAGATCGTTTTTGATAATTTGTTGATTAAATTGGTCAGATAGCTTTAAAAATTTAACACCTTTGGGAATATCTCCTTCGTATATGGGTTGATTAAAGTAGATGCCAAATTGGAGTACCCTGATGGATGATGGTAAAACCCTAGGTTCTAGTTGTTGGTTAAAACGAAGCCCTAATACTAGGACCTTTACAGACGATGGTATATCTTTTTTTTTTAGCACATAATTACATCTATCACTCAATGTGAGATATTGAACTGAGTTTGGTATTAAGTTTGGACACAGCGGAGATTTAAAATGTGTCATTAGCTTGAGATCAGTTACCGATGAAGGAATGGAACCCACAGTTATTGGATGACCCGCATTATAATACAGCTTTTTAACTGATGGTGGTATCGAATCAATGGCTAAATCCTTAGAGTAATAAGTGCCAACTATAAGATGCGTGACACTGTCTGGTATATCACCTCTTTTTATTACTTGGTTAAAAGAGTTTCCTAAATCTAATTTGGTTACACTTGATGGAATTGAAAATGATGAAAATGATTGATTAAAAGAGTTGAAATAAAGTTTGGTAACACTTGGCGGAATAGAACCAACCACTAACTCTTGATCGAACCAACTGCCCAACTCTAAAGTTTTTACACTTCTTGGGATTATTCCGGGCTCTAATACCGTAGATGGGGCATTAAAATCAATTTCTTGTTGATTTCCTTGTTCCAATGGCTCTTCAGAATCATATGTGCCACCTCCAAAATCGTCATAGTCTATATCGTAGTATGTATCATGGCTATATCCTTTATTTGGTGAATCTGCCGAAATCTCCAATATTATTTTTGAAATAAAAGTCCTATTTTGGTGATTCTCCAATTCAGGTTTTGAAAAAACTTGTAATTTATTGTATTTTTGATATAATAATATAAAACTCTCTATTTTTTTTCTTAATACAATATTAGACCAAACTTTTTTAAAATAATAATAATTATTTGTTTCTATTTTATCACTATTATTTTCTATTTTGGATATTTCCATTTTTTTTTTTTTTTTTAATTATATTTATTTATATATCTATATATTTTACTATTGTTATAGTATTCAAAAGTTTGATTTAATGTAGTGTGTGGTTTATTATATAAATGTATTCATAGATGTTATTATTTTTAATAAAAAAAACTCTTGAAATTTTGAATTTTTTTAAAAAAAAAAAAAATTAATTTTTTATTTATTTTTTTTTTTAAAAATTTAAAAAATAAAAAAAAGTTATCAAATTATTTGTATTTATTAAAATATTGTTAACAAAAGAAATAATGATAACTTGTATAGATAAATAAATAACAATGTTCTAATAATATTAAAATAGAAACAATAATATTAATAAAATAATCTTGATTATAAAAAAAAGATAGTTTTTACAAATAACCCCAATAAAATGATAAAAATTTTAAAATATTTTTCATAGAATAATTTTGATTAAAAATAGCATACCACAAAACTCCAAAGATTTTTCAGAAAAATCCAAAAAAAAACTATTATCTTTTAATTTTGTTTTTTAGTGTAAATAAAATTATTTATTTTTTTAAATTTTTAAAATAGTTTTGATATTCATAGATTTTTTTTTTTTTTTTTTTTTCTTATCATAATTTTTTATTTTTTGTAACAATAATATAAAACATTTAAAATATATATAGATAATGGAATGATAGGATTAAATAACTTTGTTTTAAAATCTATCATATTATTATTAACTTGTATTTATTTAATTAATTTAATCACAGTTAGCAATGGATATATTATTAAAGATGTTTCTCAAGAAGGCACTCTTTATAAATCATACCCAACGTTGGAAGGTCTTTGCTATTTCATTCTCGATTTTCTTTGTATAGAAAAGAATCTTGGTGATGATTGTAATCAAGTAAAATTTCCAGACTCTAGTGTTCAATCATCCCAACTACAAACTACATTAAAAACAAGTAATTCAACAATTTGGAGTTATATGTTAGTAATAGAAATAGGTAAAAACACAATTTATATTGAAACTCCTCAAGATACTAATTTTTTACCAATTAATGTCGAATGTTTAGGTATGTAATTAATGGTTATAATAATTATCATAACAATATTATAGTTTACTAATATTAATAAAAAAAAAAAAGATCAAGGTGTAGATTTAACTAATGCACAGTTGACATTAATAAATGACAAATATTTTTTTCAACCAAATAATAATCAAGGTCACACTATTATGGGGGAATATAAATTGACAGGAGTAGTAATACAAGATTTAACAACAACAAACTTTGAAATATCTTTAACTGCTTCTTTAAGTATTTTTTGTAAAATAAATCAAAAAAGTTCTTCACCAATATTCCTAATTCAATGTTCTAGATATATTCCTCAAGGGAACAATCAAACAGCAAATATGATTATCCTCAAGTCATATAATCAAAGAAAAGATTTTGTAATATCATTTGATAAAAGTAATTATAATATTATTTATTTTAATACATTTTAAAAAATTTAATATTAATTTTTAAATTTAGTTTTTCAAAATTATTTTTATAGTATTTCAAATATTAAAACCTATCCAAATTCTTTAGTAAATTTACAATTGTTTGGTTTAGGTGAAACAGCAATTTTATCATTTAAAACAAATACAACAGCTGACATTGGTTACTTTTTGTTATATTCAAATAATAATCTAGTAAATAAAGGTTTATATTATCCAATTTATAGTGATGATACTGGAACTACCTTTTTATCACCATTATCTATAGAATATAATACAGATATAGCTTATGACCTTTTTTATCAAAGTGGGCTTAAAGAATACCAAGCCTCAGAGCCTGATCAAATCGTTGGTAATATTATTCAATGTATGTATATAATTTTTAATTATTATTATTATTCTATAAGAGGTTTTAACTTTTTTTTTTTCTTTTTTAGATGATACACAAAAATTACCTTCACCACAATTGGATTTTAGTTATCCTTACACCGATCCAATCTTGGGTTGGAGTTTTTCTGGTTTAAGAGGGAAAGACTTAACTCCAATTGAGTTTTATTTTAATCCTAATTCAGAGACAAAGGTTTTATCCAGTGGCTTTCCATTTGGATATATTTGGTCATCACCTAGTATTTATACTTTTCAGTTTAACTCTTTGTTAAAGAAAAAGTATAAAAACCCAGCACTTTTAGCTTTTGCCTTAAAGTCTCAAATTGAAACAACATTAACATCCATATTATGTCCTCCACAAGGTAAGATTCAATCTTATATAAAAAATAATTTGTTTTAAAGATAATATAAACTAACATTTATTTATAGATACATTTGTGTATGATAATTCTCTTGCACCAAAAATCTATAAAACCGAAAAGTATCATTTAAAATATGACGAATTTATATTAAGAGTTTATGCTGAAACTCCATACCAGTTTAGTCATTTCATCAGTGAGGAAAATCAACTTATTGGCATAGAGTCTTTAGTTAGCGGGGATACATATAATAGCATTTATGAAATCAAAAATTTTAATAGTTTTTCTTTGGTCGATCAAGTTTCATCAAGTGTTCAATTTTCAAAAGGAGGTATATTATATGTAGATTATACTAATAATCAAGTCGTTAGAAATTATGAAGATCCTTTCGTTCCAAATTGTAAGTAATAAATTAATCTATTTCTAAATTAAATATGGTTTTTATTTTAACTGTTTTTTATATTATTATTTTAGTTGATATCAATGCGATTAAACTTGTATCATTTTTATACAATGATTTGGATGTTACATACCATAGACAATACAATGTGCTTTATTTTAATTATAGTGATATTGTACCAAGAGAATGTCCATTCAGAATGAACCAGGTTACAAATGGTGCAAATTCATTAAATGCTAAAACCTTTGTATCTACATGGAATCAAACTTTAAAATTATTTCAAATCGAGTTTTATGTCGAAGCAAATTCAGAGACAGGCATTTATCAATTCTCATTAAGTAAAGATAATGGTCCATTTGATTTATTCTATAGTCACGCATTACCCACTCAACTAAGAATTAAAAAATCAAGTTTGTATTCATTTTATTATACATTTAAATTGTATATTATTATAAATTAAAATAATATTAATATTTTTATTGTTTTTTATAGTATTGGATAATCAAGGACCAATATTTAATGAAGTTTCTCCAATCACATATCCTGATATTGTTCCAGGTAGTTTAGGTTCATTTGGGTGGTCAATAACAATAGAGGATTCAATTAATGGTTTCGATTATGGCTATATTGTAATAAAGGGAACGATTGATCAATCAATCTATAATATTACATTTAGCACAAAAGATTTGGATTTGGGCGATAAATATTTAGGTATATATAATTTTAAAATTATGGCTTGGTACCCATGCATTTCTCAAGATTATATAATTAGCGAAGTTAAATTGTTTGATAGAGGAAATAGAATGTCATTTTTCTCTATTCTTTTGCCGCCATCAAGTGATAAATACTTGGCATGCACCAATCCATTTATAAAATTTTTAGATAAACCAAAAATAAATTCATATACTATGACTTGTCAGCCTGACCCAATTGCATCACAAGATACTACACCGCCCGAATTAACCTCATTCGTTCTAAGCTCAAAGGTTTTTCAAGTTGGAGCACCAGTAAATTTTTCAATATCTTTCACTGCAACCGATCTTGAAAGTGGGGTTAAAAACGATGTAAAGCCAAAAGTCTACATTTCCAATTCAAACAATCAAATACTAGAGTACGAATCAGAGATTGTTGAAGTTTTGGGTAAAACAATTTCATATCGTTGCGTAGTATCCCCACGGATCGGTTTTGGTTTCCCTGGTTCAGTTTTAATTTCAGTTTATGGTTTCATCAATAATAATGGTTTATTTAGTGGGTATTCAACTAAAAATTTAACAGATTTAAACTATGATTCAGTTATTCCTACAGCTTTCGTAATTGTTCCACTAATAACAGGACATATGTTAATAACAGAGAAAGGTGGCGATTTATGGCTTTATGGTAGAGGTTTAGATATAGCAAGCTTAGCATCAGTTACTATTGAAGGAACAGAAGAATCTATAGTACCAACTAAAACTTACTTCTCTGCCGTATTGATTCAAGGTATCAAACCAACTAAAAAACCATTTAAGGTTAACCTTTTCGTTCCTTATGCAATAAATGAAATAGTTGTGACACCTGAAGTTTATGATTCCTATATAATAGATTGTAATAACAATGGAGTCCTCGGAGAAAATAGTAAATGTAATTGTAATAGTAAATGGACAAGTTTGGATATTAGATATCAATGTTTAGTTCCAAATCATTATATATCATCATCAACACAAGTATCACATTTAACTGGTGGTGAAATTACATTAAGTGGTTGGTTTGGTCAAGAGAATACAGAACCAAAACTTTATATTGACAACAAAGAAATTAAAATGACATCTACAGCTATTTCATCAGACTCATTCAAGGTAACCATCGGTCCAGGTAGTGTAGGTCCAATTCAAGTCAACTATACTCAAAATAGTATCTTATGGAGCGGTATTATATATCCATATTTAGTTATTGAAAAACAATGTCCATTAAAATGTGAAGAACATGGCACATGCAACAAAGTAACAGGTACATGCAGTTGTAATTCAGGTTATACAGGTTTCGATTGTTCATCACCAGTAAATAACAACAATAACGGAACTGAAACACATGTGGATAATAATGGCACAACAATTATTAAGAATCAAGATATAGGATATTCAATTTCAATTGATTCAATTATCGAATTAGACTTTACAGGTAATTCAATATCAACACTAAATCTCACAAACAATTGGATATTTGTAAATAAAATTGGAACAGTCACAACATTCAATCAAACCAGAGATAATGAAGATAAAACACAGGCATTAGTAATATTAGCTATCGAAGAGGTTAACGATAGAGACAAAGATTTTACATTTGCAGGTAATGAATTTACAGTAACCAAAGGAGGTCTCAAAATGTCACTATCAGTTTCTAATTGGTTATACAAGAGCAATTTAAATACACTGCAAGTACAAATGTCATCTGAAATATCTGATATTCAATCTAATAACTGTTACAAAGATGAAAGAACTTCAACTATAGAATCACAATCAAATAATAATAATTTAATAGATAATATTAATTATTTAAAAATCACCAAAAATGGAAATATATTATATTCAAGATTCCAAGACAAAATGCTATCAGACAACAGACCAACAACAGTAACAGCTAAAATATTATCAAAAGACAAAACATCAGTAAAAATTGCACTAAACCTACCACATTGCGATGAATGCTTAATCGATCCCGGTATGTATCTTTTTAACACATATTATTAAAATAAAATTATTTAATTTAATATTAATTTTTATTCATTTTAAAATAGACTTTTCATTATTGATCACACCAGATTATAAAACTGACTGTAAATCATCAAAGAAATGGGTAATCGCAGTGGCCGTAGTTTTTGGCGTTGTAGGTTTGGCTATATTTTCAATCGTCTTATATTTAATTTATAAAAAGAGCACATTTTTAAAAATCAAAGTTTATGCATTTAGAAAAATATTTACAAAATAATAATTAAAAAGAATAAAAATAATAATAAAAAATTTAAAAATTTATTTTTTAAAGAATTGAAATTTCTTAGGTATATTAAAAAATTGGTTCTTAAATATAAAAAAGATAAACGTTTAAAAAAAAAAAAAAAAAAATTTAAAAACTTTAAATTATTCAGTTACAGATTTATCTATAGTTAAGAGGGAGAATGTTGAGAAAATCCAATCTCATTTAAATGATTTGGAATTGAATCATGTATAAGTAGATACTTGATATTATGTAAATACAAGTAGTTTATGGTGGGTGGTATAAAATCATACTAAGCCAAAATCTTTTAGTAAATTTACAAACAAATAATAATTTTATAGATAGAAATTATTTCTTTTTAATATTAAATTATTTTATTTTAATTTTGAATGTTTGTAGGTAGCTAAATAAGAAATATTTTGTTCAGTTTTTGAAACGGAGTCATGTTCTAAAGGATAGACCACATTTCCCATATAAATTGAAGTTATGGTGTCAGGGATAATACCTTTTGTAAAGCGTTGAGAAAAACCATAATCAAATTTAACAGTAGCTAAATGATTTGGAATTGAACCAGGTTTTAATTGATACTTGATGTTATTTAAATACAAAATTTTTACGGTGAGTGGTATAAAATTAAGTGGTTGATTAAAGCCATCTTTTAAACATAAATATGTAACTGTTGCTGGAATTGAATCAGGTTTTAATTGATACTTGATGTTATCTAAATACAAGGATTTTACGGTGGGTGGTATAAAATTAAGTGGTTGATTAAAGCCATCAAGTAAAGATAAGCTTTTAACTGTTGCTGGAATTGAATCAGGTTTTAATTGATACTTGATGTTATCTAAATACAAGTATTGTACGGTGAGTGGTATAAAATTAAGTGGTTGATTAAAGCCATCTTGTAAATATAAATGTATAACTGTTGCTGGAATTGAATCAGGAGTTAATTGATACTTGATGTTATGTAAATACCAGCATTGTACGGTGTGTGGTATAAAATTAAGTGGTTGGTCAAAGTTATCTTGTAAATATAAACGTTTAACTGTTTCTGGAATTGAATCAGGTGTTAATTGATACTTGATGTTATTTAAATACAAGCATTCTACGGTGTGTGGTATAAAATTAAGTGGTTGATTGAAGCCATCTCGTAAAAATAAATCTGTAACTGTTGCTGGAATTGAATCAGGTGTTATTTGATACTTGATGTCTTGTAAATACAAGTTTTCTATGGTGGGTGGTATAAAATTAAGTGGTTGATTAAAGTCATCAAGTAAATGTAAATATGTAACTGTTTCTGGAATTGAATCAGGTTTTAATTGATACTTGATGTTATATAAATACAAGTATTGTACGGTGGGTGGTATAAAATTAAGTGGTTGATTAAAGCCATCTCGTAAATATAAATGTGTAACTGTTGCTGGAATTGAACCAGGTGTTAATTGATACTTGATGTTATCTAAATGCAAGCATTGTACGGTGGGTGGTATAAAATTAAGTGGTTGATGAAAGCCATCAAATAAATATAAATATTTAACTGTTGCTGGAATTGAATCAGGTGTTAATTGATACTTTATGTTATATAAATACAAGTATTGTACGGTGTGTGGTATAAAATTAAGTGGTTGATTAAAGCCATCTCGTAAAAATAAATATGCAAATGTTGCTGGAATTGAATAAGGTGTTAATTGATACTTGATGTTATCTAAACACAAATTTTGTACGGTGGGTGGTATAAAATTAAGTGGTTGATTAAAGCCATCTCGTAAATATAAATGTGTAACTGTTGCTGGAATTGATTCAGGTGTTAATTTATAATTTATGTTTTTTAAATGTAAGTATTTTACAGTGTGTGGTATAAAATTAAGTGGTTGATTAAATCCATCAAGTAAACATAAATGAATAAATGTTGCTGGAATTGAATCAGGTGTTAATTGATACTTGATGTTATTTAAATACAAGCATTGTATGGTGGGTGGTATAAAATTAAGTGGTTGATTGAAGCCATTAAGTAAAGATAAATGTGTAACTGTTGCTGGAATTGAATCAGGTGTTAATTGATACTTGATGTTATTTAAATACAAGTGTTGTATGGTGTGTGGTATAAAATCAAGTGGTTTATCAAAACCATCAAGTAAATATAAATGTTTAACTGTTGCTGGAATTGAATCAGGTATTAGCTGATACCTGAAGTTTTGTAAATGCAAGTATTTTACTGTGGGTGGTATAAAATTAAGTGTTTGATTAAAGCCATCAAGTAAATATAAATGTATAACTGTTGCTGGAATTGAATCAGGTGTTAATTGATACTTGATGTTATGTAAATACAAGCATTGTACGGTGTGTGGTATAAAATCAAGTGGTTTATCAAAGCCATCTTGTAAATATAAATGTGTAACTGTTGCTGGAATTGAATCAGGTGTTAGCTGATACTTGATGTTATCTAAATACAAGCATTGTACGGTGAGTGGTATAAAATTAAGTGGTAGATCAAAGCCATCTTGTAAATATAAATGTATAACTGTTGCTGGAATTGAATCAGGAGTTAATTGATACTTGATGTTTTCTAAAAACAAGTGTTGTACGGTGGGTGGTATAAAACTAAGTGGTTGATTAAAGCCATTTTGTAAATATACACGTGTAACTGTTTCTGGAATTGAATCAGGAGTTAATTGAAACTTGATGTTACTTAAATACAGGTGTTGTACGGTGGGTGGTATAAAATCAAGTGGTAGATCAAATCCATCTTGTAAAAATAAATCTGTAACTGTTGCTGGAATTGAATCAGGTGTTAATTGATACTTGATGTTTTCTAAAAACAAGGATTTTACGGTGGGTGGTATAAAATTAAGTGGTTGATTAAAGCCATCAAGTAAGTATAAGTGTTTAACTGCTCCTGTAACTGAATCTGGTGTTAATTGATACTTGATGTTATCTAAATGCAAGTATTCTACGGTGTGTGGTATAACATTAAGTGGTTGATCAAAACCATCCAATAAATATAAATGTTTAACTGTTGCTGGAATTGAATCAGGTGTTAATTGATACTTGATGTTATGTAAATACAAGTGTTGTACGGTGGGTGGTATAAAATCAAGTGGTTGATCAAAGCCATCGTGTAGTATTAAATGTGTAATTGTTGCTGGAATGGAATCAGATGTTAATTGATACTTGATGTTATCTAAATGCAAGTATTCTACGGTGTGTGGTATAAAATTAAGTGGTTGATTAAAGCCATTAAGCAATTATAAACGTTTAACTGTTTCTGGAATAGTTTTGGGTAAACAATCGATAGGTCCAATAGCAATGCATCTAATATCTAAATGACTAATATCACACCCTTCTTCGTAAATGGTAAATTCAAAATTATAAACTTTATTAAAGGAATTAATTTAAGTGTTATTAGTTGAAAATAAAATATTTTAAACTTACTTTTTAGAGTTTTTAAATCTAAAGGAATATCAAGAACTTCTAAATAACTGTTGGTTAGACCTTTGATTGAGTCTAGATTATCTTCTTGAATTGTTAATTGAGTATCTTTATATTCTGGGAAGTTTTTATTAATTATATTTGAGAAAAAATTGTTAAATTGATGATTGTGCTTTAAAAGTTCAATAAATTCATTATTAATAACATCATTATAATTTATATCATTATTATTAACATCATTATTATATTTAATAGCATTTTTAATTATATTATTATTTTTTTCTATTGTTGTTTTTATTATTTTATTTATTTCTGTATTTTCTTCTAATTTGGTTATTAATAATAATTTGATATCATTTTCTTTGGCATTGATAATTTTTTTTAATTCGTTAAATAAATTAAAAGCTTTAACACAATTCAATTTATAGTTATCTTGAATTTGTTTTAAGTGGTTGTCTGATTCATTCAATAATTTTTTATTAAAATCTAAAAATTTGTTTAGTGGAAAAATTGATCGATTTTTAAAATCCTGTTTTATTTGATTTCTTAAATTTATATCATTTAGTTTTTTTAATCTATGGCCATTATGATTCTCGTTAATACAATCAATACAGACAGGAGTGTTGTTTGGACAAGTTGAGCATATTGAAATAATATCTTGATATGTATGATCAAAGCATTTGGTATCATATTTTTGATTATTTGACATTATTTTTAGGATTTAATTTTAGTTTTTTACAATAATTATTTATAATAGTTTTAAAATAAATTTTTTTTTATGGTGGGTAAAAAAATTTAAAATCTTTGAAAATAAAATAAAAAATTTTTTTTTTAAAATTTATTTTTTTTTGCAAATTTGACCCTTTTAAAAAATATATAAAAAATTTTAATCATAAAAAAAAAATAGTATTATTATGAGAGGTGATTGGGAAATGGTGTATATATATATATCTGTGAAAAAAAATATCTAAAAAATATCTAAAAATCATATTATAAGGTAATAATTAACAATATTAATAATAATAATGTTAGAAAGGGTGGGGTTAATGAAATATTTTGGGGAAATTTTCTTTATTTGTTCATTTATCATATGGATTAGATTCAAAACTATATCTTGAAATTATACAAAACGATACAAAACTAACTTTAGAATACTATGCAGATAAAAATAAAGATCCTGAAAGGGTTCCAATCATGACAACTGTAGTTCGCATACAGCAAAGATAGTGAAACAATATTTAGAAGAGAATAATATACAATTTGATCCATTACCACCCTAAAGTCCAGATATTAATATAATTGAAAATCTTTGGTCAATTGAATTAAAGAAAGGGTATCAAAAAAGATGTTTCATGACCCATCGCAAGACCTAGTCCAGGTATATCAAGATGCATTTCATTCAATTGAAAAATCAATCATAGAATCATTATATGAATCACTCCCTGACCGAATCGATGCGATATAAAGCACGTGGAGGATATACTAAATATTAATATTAATAATCAATTATATCTTTTTGTAAAAAAATACAAATAAAATTTTTAAAATTGAAAAAACGGAATAAATATTGTGACAATATTTTTTTTTTTTTATTTTAATTTTTAGCAAATATACCAATATCTTGTAATATGATATTTTTTAGGGGTTCTTATATAAATATTAAATATCAATGAACTATTAATTCAATAATTATCATTTCCATCTAAATAAAGTAGGGGACTACATATTTATTCCGGACACTGTAACAACACATGAGCTGGTTGTCATGCCATTCAACCAATATCTCATAAATACCTGTGCTAACATAAACCAATATTTGACCATGTGTTGTCTCTAAAAACTAAACCGCTAATACTATGAAAGAATGAGGAATCAATAGGGTTTTATTTTATCATCTTTATCTTTATGTATACATAATTAGCTTGAACATACAACACCACCATTGAATTTATTTTGTTTCTGTGTGGACACTTTATGCAACTTCTTTTTGCTGTTTCTTACAACCACCTCTTATCTTTCTTGCACACATTAACATCTTTTTTTTTTCCTATATTCATTAGCATCTTCTGGTTGGGTTAAATAAAATTAAATATGAATATTTTAATCTTTCTTTTTTCTCACATCAGCTAAATTTAATTTTCTTCTTCCAATTTAATTTACATGTGTTTTGAAAAATAAAAAATAAATTTAATTTTTTTTAATTATTTGGATAATCTTTTTAATTTTTCAAAAAAAAATTTTTATTTTTTTAAAATTTTCAAAACTATTTTTTTAATTAACAAGACATAGGGTATGTCTGGACTCAGCAAAGATTATATTAAATATCAAAATAATACTTTGGAAGATGTAGTTAAAAAACTTGAAATACTTTATAAAGACACAATCCATGAATTAAAAGCAATTAGCACTGCAGTAGAGTTGGGTGCTGATATCCAATTGGTAGCCGTAATGAAACACTATTTTATCCCAGAAATCAATAAAAGTCAAGGAAAGAAATATACTGTGCAAACATTCAAAATCAGTGAGGTAAAAGTCAGTTATGATACCAAAAAAAAATTTGAAGATATCTCTCAATTATGTAAAGATAGAAATAGTGTTCATAAATATATAGAAATAATTAATAGATATATTAATGATGTAAAAATTGTTAATAATCTTTATCCTGAATCAAAGAAATATATCGATAAATTCAAAGGTACTGTTGTCAAAGTCTTCCATGAAATCAAATCAGATCCAGAATTCATACAAAAAATAATAAAATGCACATTCACAAACAAATCATAAATTTTTTAATTTTTTTAATTTAATTTTTATACATATAAAATGGAAAATATAACTCAACTACAGTAGCTGCAGCGCTAATTGCTTTTAATTCATCATGAATTGTGTCTTTATAAAGTGTTTCAAATTTTTTAACTACATCTTCCAAAGAATTAATGATGGGAAAAAAATTTTAATTGAACAATTACAAAAAGAAATAAGAGAAATATAGGAACAGATTCACCAAATACTGAACGACAATATGACACGAATATCAATGATTGAAAAGATACAACTAGTAAACTACTCTCCAATCATGTTCAACGAATATAATCGCATATAAAATATTTTAAACAAATACAAATACAAATACAAATACAAATACAAATACAAATACAAATACAAATACAAATACAAATACAAATACAAAAACAAATAAATAAACATTAATACTTCTTATATAAGAGCTTTTAAAAAATCTATTTGTTTTTATTGACCATATATATTTTAGAGATTAAAAATTATCTTTATTCTCAGTTTTTACCCATTATCGTTATCTTATTCATTTAAAAATTTTTTTTAAAAGTTATCTCTTTTTTTAAAAAAAATTATCTCTTTTTTTAAAAAAAATTATTCATTTTTATCGATTTTTAAAATTTGCAAATAGATGTAAAATAACAGCACAAACACACCCATCACAATTTTTCTCTTTTCCGCCTTTCTTTTAATTTTTTTTTAAAAATTTTTTTAATTTTTTTTAAACATTTAATATATTTTTTTTTTTTAGTTTTTTTTTAATTATAATCCGCGCTTTTTTAAAAATTTTTTTTTTTTGATTTAAATTTTGAATTTTATTAATTATAATATTTTTATTTTCCTTTCAAAAACCTTCACAAAACCATATTGATACTAACACTAATATTATGGTGCTATTTTTCACTTGTGTTGATGCTTATATTCACACCTCTTTAATAATAAAATGACAATATTATATTTCAAAAAAAAAAACTATAAAAATAAATCATGAAAAACATTATAACACCAATCATTGTGGTTTTTATTTTTTCGTTTTTAATATTATTTTCTTTTTTATTAATAAAAACCTCAACCAATACAAAACCAAAACAAAAGGTCGAATTATTGTTTTTTTTTTTTTTTTTTTTTTCCAAAAAAACAATAATCAATGTTAAATTATAATGTACGTATTCATAAGTATATTTATTTTTAAAAGGGGATTTATTTTAGTTAAACTAAAACCTCAACAAATCCAAATCAAAAAAAAAAGGGGGAATTTTTTTTTTACTTTTATTTTTTTTAAAAAAAACATATTATTCTACACATTTTCTAAATTAGCTCTATAAATAGACCCAAAAAATAACTAGAATGCATCAACACTAGGTTTTACAATGCTTTTTAATCCTTCGTTTTTCTTTCTTTTTTTTTTTTAAAAGCAAAGTTTTTTTTTTTTTTTTTTTTCATTCTAGTTAATATAAAATAATTTCTTAAACCTTCTAATATTACCCATAAAAGATTCTACCATTGAAAGTAAAGTTTTTGTGAAAAAAAAAAAAAAATTGTTAAAATAAAATTGAAAATATTTTATAATTTTATGAATTATTATCCTTTTTTTATTTTTTTTTTTTTTTTTTTTATTCACTTTTATTCTTTTTTTTTAAATCTTCCAAGTGATACAAAAAAGGATAACGATAAAGATAATTTTCAACCTCTAATATATTTTAATTGACCATATTTTATTTTATGGAAATTAAGCTGGGCATTTAAACAAGTAAATTAACCTTTGTGTTTGTTCTATTATATCTTCATAAAATTTATAAAATCATGATTAAATATCAATTGATTATCGGTTATTAGACTTAATTTATTTTTAGGATTTAACCCTTAAAGTGTTTTGGTTGTACTAAGGCCAAAATATAAAATTTTTTTTTTTTTATAAATAAATTAAATTAATAAATTTCGAAATATAATAAAAAAATAGTATGTGAGGCTGTTGCTATATTTCTGTGAAAAAAAATATCTAAAAAAATATCGAAAAAAATATCTAAATAAAAAAACAACAGTAAAAGCAATCATAATTTTTTTTATATTTTTTTTCTTAATCACAATCATAATTTTTTTTTTTTTCATCAATTGCTTAATTTTTTAAAAAAAAAAAAAATGAAAAATTTTAATTATTATTTGTATTTTTATTTTTTTATATTATATTTTTTATTTTGTAATAATAGTAATTTGGTTGCAAATGGATATTTTTTAAAAGATGTATCAGAACCTAAAAATATATACAAATCATATCCTTCACCTGCACCTACACAGGTTTGTTCTTTTAATATAGATATTTATTGTAAAGAAAATGCTAGCAGTGGAGAGTCTTGTGGAAACGTTGTTGTTATGGATAGTTTTGATGGTACAGTTGTGGGTATAACACTAAAATACGAAATGGGGGAACAAAATGTCTATCAATACAATATAGTTACAGAAAAGAGCCAACCATTTCAATTGGGTGTAGGGACTAATGTCTTATTTTCTGTTGATTTAGAATGCACAGGTAAGCAAAAATATTAAATATCTAAAAATTTAATATATATTAGTATATGAATTAAAATATTTTATTTTCATAATTATTAGAGCCCGATGTTTCAAAAATTACTTTAAATTTTATTAGCAAAAGATATCTATTAACTCCATATGGTACTAAAAGAAAGGTATATGGGGAGTATGAATTGATGGGACTGGACCCAGAATATAAAATTGATGATATCGCAATTGGGTCGAATTTACTGTCAGATATTTGTTCATTTGGTGTAAAAACATTAAGAACTACATTAAAAAATATTTTTTTACAATGCATGGAAATTCCATTTGATTTAACAGAAATCCAACTTCAAATTTCATCAGGTAGTCAATCTAAAAATTTTAATATAGAGCCCATTCAAAAAGGTAATATAGTTTTTATTTTATGTTTATAAATACTATTTATTAACCATTTTTAATTTTTAATAGATTTTACTGAATATTCAGTTTATAATATTACACAATTTCCACCATTAGAATATTCGCAAGGAATAGATTTATTAGGTTATTATCAAAATCCAGTGCTTTCATTTCAAGCAAACACAACTATGAACGGTGCGTGTTTTGGGATATCAGTAAATAATATAACAGTCAAACACCCTCTTTTTTTTCCAATTTACGGAAATGAAAAAGAAACCACATATTTGTTTTCAATGGATGGTTATGAAGATACAGTATATAATCTATTTTACTACAGTAATTCTAAATATTTGGAGGCAAGAGCATCTCAACAAATAAAATCTAATTCAAAACAATGTAAGTATAAATTTTTTACTGTCTTTGTTATTTTATTAAAAAATTGTCATTTCTAATTTTTTATATAGTTCCAATTAATGAAATTATAACTACACCATTATATAATCTTGAAACTTTTTTAAAATTCAGGTTTACCGAAAATAAAAATTATTACTTTAATACATTAGTTTATGATTTAAGTAGTTTAAGATCTACCACAAAATTTCCATTTGGATATATAAAAGGTAATTCAAATGGGTACACATTCGAAATTTCCAGTGTGGTAAGAGAGAGTTATTTCGGCTCTTCATATTATAGTCTTAAACCAGTCATTGAATCTCTTTTACCCCAAAGCCATGAATTCTTACCAAAAAATACAAGTCCTTATGACATCACACAATCTCCCTCAGTTTATGATAGCCAAGTCTTTTATTTAGATCGTGGTATTTATTTAATAAAATTATTCATCAAAACCCCATATGGCTTTAGCTTTTTTAAAGATGAAAACAATCAAATAATTGGTTCAGAATCATTTATAGGTGGAAATTCAACAGAAGGTGTTTATGAACTTAAAAATTTTGAAAGTTTTGAAATTGCCGATCAGCCTTTGTTCTATTCAAGCTATTCAAGAGTTGAAAGCAGTATTCTATATATTAAAGACGAAAATGCAATAAGAAATTATCAAACAACTATTCAAAATTGTAGGTAACAGTGTATTTTAAAAAAATTATAATTTAAAACCAATATTAATATTTTTTACTTATTTTCAAAAATTTGATACTATAGTTGATATCCTCAAAATACAAGATGTATCATTTTTATACAACGACTTGGACATAACCAATCATAGATGCTACAATGTTTTTTATTTTAATTATAGCGATATTGTACCAAGAGATACTATTTTTAAAATGAAAGCAATAGAGACCACTTATAACAATTACTATCCAAATACTTTTGTTTCAGCCTGGAATGAAACAAAAAAATCATTTCAAATAGAGTTTTTTGTTGATTCAAATACTGAAATAGGTGAATATCAATTTACAATACAATCTAATTTACAAATATTATATAATAATCATTTACCAATCCAACTAAATATTAAAAAGACAAGTAAGTAAACTATTTAAGAAATATTTTCCAGTGTTCTATAAATGTATATAAATATTAACAATTTTTTTTAGGAATGGATTATCAGGGACCAATATTTAGTAACATTAAAAAAATACCAGAAATTTCTGCAAATAGTCAAAGTATTATATTTGGATGGACTTTAACAATAGAAGACCCAATCAATGGTTTTGATCATGGTTTTATTGTGGTAAAGGGCGAAAGTGACCAATCTACCTATAATTTCTCATTAACTACTATGGATGTAAAGAAAAATGGCAACATTTATTTAGGTGAATATGATATCAAACTCAATGTATCGAGTACTTGTGTTACCCAAAACTATGTAATTAGCGAAGTAAAATTGCTGGATAGAATGAAAAGGTTCTCTTATTTTGCAATTCTCCCTCTTGAAAACTATAAAATACCAAATATTGCAATCCTAAATCCATTTATAAAATTTATTCAAGAAAGAAATATCAATAAATATCAGTTGCAATGTACAATTTCAAAAATCGATTCAGATCCACCAATTTTAACCCAATTTATTGTCCCTCAAACTGAAATAGATGTTAGTAGTTTAACAAGGGTTCTAAATTTTGAATTTTCTGTAACTGATCAAGATAGTGGTATCAAAGATTATCAATATCCAATTGTATATATAAGCAATACAAACAATCAAATTTTAGAATGTAAATCAAATATAACATCCATAGATTCTTTTTCAGCTTCCTATTCATGTTCTATACAACTACCTTTAGGTTTTGGATATCCTGGTATTTTATTATTCTCAGTGTATGGTTTCATCAATAATGGTGGCTCATATAGTGGCTACTCATCAGATATGTTACAATCAAATGGGTTCACAAACAGTATCAATACACTATTCAATACCATAGATCCAATACTTACCGGTCATATGTTAATAACAGAAAAAGGTGGTGATTTATGGCTTTATGGAAGAGGTTTAAATACAACAATCTCAGTATTTATTTTATATAGCGATGATTCAAATTTTTCAACACAACCAAAAAAAAAATACTCAACAGCAATCTTAGTTCAAGGAATACGACCTACAACTGAACCATTTGAAGTTTATATAGAAATAATCCCAAGTTACGGTGCCCTATCTACCATATCAAATAAAATAATAATTACACCAACTCTTTATGATTATTTTTTAGATGATTGTAATAACAATGGTATCTTAATTAATTATATGGAGTGCAAATGTAATAGTAAATGGACAACAAAAGATATTAAAAGCCAATGTACAATACCAAATCATTATATATCATCGTCAACACAAGTATCACATCTAACTGGTGGTGAAATTACATTATATGGTTGGTTTGGAGGAAAAAATAGTAATCCAAAACTTTATATTGACAACAAAGAAATTAAAATGACATCTACAGCTATTTCATCAGACTCATTCAAGGTAACCATCGGTCCAGGTAGTGTAGGTCCAATTCAAGTCAACTATACTCAAAATAGTATCTTATGGAGCGGTATTATATATCCATATTTAGTTATTGAAAAACAATGTCCATTAAAATGTGAAGAACATGGCACATGCAACAAAGTAACAGGTACATGCAGTTGTAATTCAGGCTATACAGGTTTCGATTGTTCATCACCAATAAATAACAACAATAACGGAACTGAAACACATGTGGATAATAATGGTACAACAATTATTAAGAATCAAGATATAGGATATTCAATTTCAATCGATTCAATTATCGAATTAGACTTTGCAGGTAATTCAATATCAACACTAAATCTCACAAACAATTGGATATTTGTAAATAAAGTTGGAACAGTCACAACATTCAATCAAACCAGAGATAATGAAGATAAAACACAGGCATTAGTAATATTAGCTATCGAAGAGGTTAACGATAGAGACAAAGATTTTACATTTGCAGGTAATGAATTTACAGTAACCAAAGGAGGTCTCAAAATGTCACTATCAGTTTCTAATTGGTTATACAAGAGCAATTTAAATACACTGCAAGTACAAATGTCATCTGAAATATCTGATATTCAATCTAATAACTGTTACAAAGATGAAAGAACTTCAACTATAGAATCACAATCAAATAATAATAATTTAATAGATAATATTAATTATTTAAAAATCACCAAAAATGGAAATATATTATATTCAAGATTCCAAGATAAAATGCTATCAGACAAAAGACCAACAACAGTAACAGCTAAAATATTATCAAAAGACAAAACATCAGTAAAAATTGCACTAAACCTACCACATTGCGATGAATGCTTAATCGATCCCGGTATGTATCTTTTTAACACACATCAGCAATATTATCTTAAAAAAACCAATTGTTAATTATAATTTTTTATAGACTTTTCATTATTGATCACATCAGATTATAAAACTGACTGTAAATCATCAAAGAAATGGGTAATCGCAGTGGCCGTAGTTTGTGGCGTTGTAGGTTTGGCTATAGTTTCAATTTCCCTATATCTAATTTATAAAAAGAGTACATTTTTAAAAATCAAAGTTTATGCATTTAGAAAATATTTACAAAATAATAACAATTAAACAAATATTCAAAAAAAAAAAAAATGAATAAAAAAAAAAGCACCACAGTAATCATTGATTTTTTTAAGTTTTTTCAAAATTGTTTGTGGGGTTATTTACAGCCTTCATTCAAATACACCATACTTAACATTTTTTTTTTTTAAAGATATATTACTCGATTTTAAAAAAAAAAGACAATTAGTTAATACATATATATTTATTTATTTATTTATTTATTTATTTATTTATTTATATTATTTTAAAAAAAGTTTTTATCGATTTCTTTTTAGATTTTCAGAAAAAATTTTTTTTTAAATTAATTTATTTTTTTTTAATTTTTTTTTTAAAATTTTTTTGTTTTTTTTTTTTTACATATGAGACCACCTTTTTTTTTATTTTTTTTATTGTTATATAAATAAATCATAATATAACCAACAATAATAATAGTGAGGGTTGTCCCTTATTTTGTTTTTAATTTTTTTCAATTTTTAAAAAATTTTTTAAACATTTGTAATAATACAATAAAAAATCAATAAACTTAAATAATATAATATAAATAATAAAAATGAATAAAATTATTAATAAAAGTAGAGATATTATTAAAAGAATAAGATATTCAAAAGTATCATTATTAATAGCGATATCATTTGCACTGTTTACAGATATGGTGTGTTATGGTATCATTTTACCAATTATACCATTAGTCATGGAAAAAGAGTATCATAAAAGTCAAGTAACCACAGGGTTTCTATTTAGCATGTTTTCGCTTGGATGTTTAATTGGTACACCTATTTTCGGCATAGCTTCCGATAGAGTTGGTCGTAAAATACCTTTTATTATTGGTATGATAATGCTTGCGTTATCTACAATTTTATTTGCATATGGTCACTTTCTTGTAGTTTTATTTCTAGCTAGATTTGTACAGGGTTTAAGTTCAGCAGCAGCATGGGTTATTGGTTTATCAATGATTGCAGATATATTTCCAAACGATCAATTTGGTACAGCATCAGGTACGGTTATTGGTGGTAATACTATCGGAGCATTAATCGGACCTATTATTGGTGGCATTGCATATGAACATTTTGGCTATGTGGTACCTTTTTATATCTCCGCTTTATTTGCCATAGTAGATCTCTTTATCCGTATATGCCTAGTTAGCGATAAAGCGTTAGAACAATTCAAAAAAAAAAAAGAATTAAAACAAAATTTAATAACATTAGACAACTCTTATATTGTAAGCAATCAAGATATAGAAAACAACAGCGACACAATTAAAGATAGTGGTGGTATTCATAGAAATAATAATAAACAAGATAAATCAAAATATAATAAACTACACGATCAAGAAACTGAAGATACATTCACTCAAGAAATAATACACGATAATAATAATATAAATAATCAAGATATTGATGGAGGTGATGGCGCCAACTTATCAACAACCGCTACAGAAACTAAAGGTATAAAATCATCAATTTCATCATCATCATCATCACTAGATAAAAGTGAAATTATAAATTATAATAATGACGAATATTTTAGCGATACAGAAAAAGAAAAGAATTCAATTGGTGTGATAATATTGGGTAGTGATCAAGACAATACTTTAGAATCGATCAATTTAGAGAAAAAAGAGAACAATATCAACTCATTCAGCCTCAACCAAATGAATGAAGAAAGAGACTTTTATAAAAATGCATTAAAAAGAAAAGATGTTTGGATACTATTGGTTTTAATTATACTGTTTGCGATTGGTCTATCATCTCTAGAGCCATTATTACCTTTAATTATAGAGAATAAATTCAAAAAATCAACATCTTACACAAGTTTATTATTTGGGATGTTTACTCTACCATTCCTTTTTCTTTCACCTATGGCAGGGTGGTTAACAGATAACAATTATATACGAAGAACAAAAATGACATTTATTGGCGCAATCATCTCGTCCATCTGCTTCCCATTCATCAGCAAAACTAATCACTTGGCTGTACTCTTCATAGTTATAATATTAATTGGTTCAGGTTTAGCTCTATTCTTTTCACCAGTTATTCCTATTTTAACATATGTTTTAGATCCAAAGGGTGTTGGTAATAATAATGGTAAAATACTCTCACTATTTTGTGTTTTCTACTCAATCGGTATATGTATTGGGCCCATCTTTTCAACCGTTGTCAAAGTTCATCTATCATTTTTAGCATTTACTTTATCCTATTCGATATTATTAATGATCAGCACTGTTATATTTAATATTTACTTTATCAAAAAACCAACCTCAATTTCAGAATCTTTTTAAAAAAAAAATTAGTTTTATTAAAAATTACTTGATTCTTAGTTTTTAAAAAATATAAAAAAAAAAAAAAATTTTTGTTTTATTTTATTTTTTTATCAACAAGGCAGATTACATTTCCCGCGATTCCAAAAAAAAATTTGTGCATATCATGATGGGATTTGCTTGGGAGGCTGCGAAATGGTTTTTTTTTTTTTTTTCTTAGTTTTTTTTTTTATTTTTTTTTGTGAATTTTTTTTTTTTAAAAATTTCTTTTTTTCTAAAGACAACAAAACAAAAAAAAAAAATGGAATGTTCATAATCAATACTATCAACAAATAGATTAGCAGGTTAATAAATAAGAAATGTTTTTTAATAAAAAAGCATTCCAATTTTTTTTATTGTATATTTTTTTTAATATTTTTTTAATTGTAACAAATAGTCAAATTGTAAATGTAGAAAAGATCGATTGGGATAACAGAAAATTTATATCAAATAATGTAAGGTTTTATTAATACAGTCATAAATAAAAATATAAATAAAAATTTAAATAAATAATAACTTTTTTTTTTATTAAATACAAGGAGTTATATATTAAATCTTTTTCAAATTATGAAGATAAAAATGATGGGTTATCAGGTTTAGAATCATTATTTAACCCAGACCCATTAAGTTCATCACCAAGTTCAGAATCAGACTCAACATCAGATTCTGAATCTAAATCAACAGGTTCAGCATCAGAATCAGCATCAGCATCAGAATCAAAAAATTCAGATTCAGATTCAACAAGCTCGGCAAAAGGCTCATCATCAGATTCAAAATCAAGTTCAACATCAGACTCGACATCAGAAATAACAGGTTCAGTAACAGGTTCAGTAACAGGTTCATCGGATTCAAAAGGCTCAGATTCAAAATCAGGTTCAGGATCTAGCTCAACATCAGGTTCAGGATCTAGTTCAACATCAGATTCAACATCAGGTTCAGGATCAAGTTCAACATCAGATTCATCACCAGATTCAACATCAGGTGCAGCATCAAGTTCAACATCAGGTTCAGAATCAAGTTCTACATCAGGTTCAGCATCAAGTTCTACACCAGGTTCAGAATCAAGTTCAACACCAGGTTCAGAATCGAGTTCAACACCAGGTTCAGAATCGAGTTCAACATCAGGTTCAGAATCAAGCTCAACACCAGATTCAACATCAGAATCAACATCAGATTCAACATCAAGTTCAGAATCTAGTTCAACATCAGGTTCAGGATCAAGCTCGACATCAGGTGCAGCATCAAGCTCAACACCTGACTCAACAAGCTCAGTATCAAGTTCATCATCAGACTCAACATCAGGTTCAGGATCAAGCTCAGCATCTAGTTCTACATCAGGTGCAGCATCTAGTTCTACATCAGGTTCAGCATCTAGTTCAACATCAAGCTCAACTTCAGATTCAAAAGAAACATCAAACTCAACTTCAGATTCAAAAGAAACATCAAGCTCATCATCTAGCAAAGAAAATTCATCCACCTCGCCTTCAAAATCAAAATCAAAAAAGGCTATTATTATTGTTGTAGTTTCAATTGTGTGTGTCCTCATTTTCATAGTTTTCATTTTTTATAGAAAACCAATTTTAAGACAAAAGGTATTAAGACTTATTGGAATTAACAAAAATGTTAAATATAGTGTTGTTGGTATATCTCCAAATACTTTAGATAATAATTTTTCTATTTATAATGACGATGACTTTTGATCAATAAAAAACAAAACTTAATAAATTGTAAAAAAAAACTTTAAAACTATTAATTTTATTTATTTAAAGATAATTTAAAACTTTATTTAAATTTTATTTTTAATCTTTTCAATAAAGAGTCTGGTATTGGGTGTTGATATGATCGATATAGTTCTATTTTGGTGACAGATTGTGGAATATTATTTGAATCTAGAGGATGGTCGAAAAACTAATTTGGTAATTGTCCCCTTTGAATAGGGTAGCCAAATATACAACCGAGTTGGTTATAATACCGATGGAGGAGGGTTACTAAAATATGATGGTAGCTTTGGTATTTTAACGGATGGAGAAATTGAATTTACTTTGAAATAATACTGTTATTATTAAAATGATTGAGTTTTATAATTATTTTTACAATTTATTATTATTATTAGAAATTTATATTATTTTATTTTTTATTTTTTATCTAATTTTTTGTATAGATAGGGTGGTATTAGATGTGGATATGATTTGGGTAGTTTTATTTGAGTAACAGATTGTGGGATATTAATTGTATTTGGATCAAATGGTTGGCTAAAGTAATAACCAAAGTTTAATCTAATTAGAGATTCTGGTGATATACCTACTTGAAGAGGATGATTATATTGACTAGGTAAAGTTAAATCTGCAACTGAATTGGGAATAATACCGACTTGAAGAGGTTGGTTGTAGTTTAATGGCAGTTTTAAAACTTTAACAGATGATGGAATTGAATTAGCACCAAGTTTGTTTGGCCCACGTTCGCCAAAATCCAGCTCTGTAATGGATGATGGTAGGTCATTTTCTAATAAATTTCTTCTATAATTTGATAATAAAATTGATTTTAAAGAATTTGGGAATAAATTTTTACCAAGGTTACAATCATATGATTGAAGTTCTAATTGTTGCAGATTGGGAGGTATTACATGTGGCACTAGGGGATTGTTGTAGTAGAACAGGCATAGTTTAGTCAATGATGGAGGGAGTACATTTGGCTTTAAAACTTTAGTAAAAAGGGTCAGCTTTAAAGTTTCAATAGAGTGAGGAAATGTATCGATGGATATCTCTTTATCAAAAGAGTAGATTTTGAGTGTTTTTAATGACTTTAGAGATGATAGAATGTTTGGTTGTTCAATATGAAAAATGTTTAGCTTTATAATTGATTCTGGAAGTACACCATGTGATATTGAGTGCATAAGCCTTGGAAGAGTAAGTATTTCTAAATGAGGTGGAAGAACATTTGGTTGAAGAGGTTGGTTATATTGGCCCATAAAGAGCACTTTACATGTTACTGGTAGATCACCAGCTTTTAAAGGTTGGTCATAGGAGTGAAGGTATAGCTTTACAATTGATCCGAATGAACCAGGTATAATTATTTTATTGAACTGATATAGACTTAAATCTATTAAAGAGTTTGGAAAAGTTCCTACATTGATTACTTGTTCTGTTCCCATAGTTAAACTGGTAAGAGATGGTGGAAGCATATTTGCATTGATTATTTGGAAATTATGGCATTGTAATTTAATAATGTTTAGTATAGAAAGTGCTTGAATGTTGGTTTGTTGATTTTTTCCAAAATACAAACTAGTCACTGTTGCTGGAATATCACCTGCATTTATTGGTATACAAAATAAACCTTTGAAATGTATTTCTTTTGTACCATAGGGAATAACTAGACCATGTGGTTCTAAAGGCTCATTAACTGAAACAATAATCTTTGTTGCATATCTTCTATATGGATGATTTCTAAGCTGGTTCATTGATTTGTCAATAACTATTTTTTTATTTTCATTATATAATCTGTGATGTCTTTGTATTTCGCTCAATAAATATTTATTTCTCCAAACTGAAAAAAATAGATTATCATTGGTATTATTCATTTAACTATAGTTTATATATTTATTTTTTTATTATGGTCATAGTGTATTATTGTTTTTTAATTGTTAAATTTAATTTTTTATTATTGTTATTAAACCAGAAAAATTTAATGTTAAATTATAAAAAATTTATTTTTAAAATTTTTAATAAATTTTTTTTTTTTTTTAAAAATTTCATTTTTTTTATTGAGAAATCCCAAATTTTCTTTCTTAGTCTTTTTATTGTAAAAGCCCACACATTTGTTATATCAAAATTTAATGCCAAAAAAAGTTATATGGCATTAGCACCAACAACAACAAATTTGTTTTAAAAAAAAAAATTAGAGACTTATTGTGTGAGTAATAAATTTTTTTTTTTTTTAAATAGCACTGGTTGTGTTTTAAAGTAATTTTTAAAAATTGAATGTTTTTATTTAATAATTTTTTTATTTAGTAATTTTTTTAATTTTTTTGATGTTATTCCTATTTTAGTATTTTATTTTTTAAAATTTCTGTAGATGATTTCAGATAAAGTACGATTTTCTGGCTTTTTATTATTTAAATTTATTTTTGAATGTCTATAGTTGTAACTATATCTAATATTTTGGTTGGGGTCCGAAATGGAGTCAGGTTCAAAAGGATAGACCACATCGCACATATAAATATAAGTTATAGAGTCAGGGATAATACCTTTTATAAAACGTTGAGAGAAGCCATGATCAAACACAAGACTAGTTAAATGATTTGGAATTGAACCAGGTATTAATTGATATTTAATATTACGTAAGGACAGTTTTTGTACGGTGAGTGGTATAAAATTAAGTGGTTGATTAAAGCCATCTAGTAATGTTAAATGTGTAACTGTTTCTGGAATTGAATCAGGTGTTAATTGATACTTGATGTTACGTAAGAGCAAGTTTTGTACGGTGGGTGGTATAAAATTAAGTGGTTGATCAAAGCCATCTTGTAAACATAAATGTGTTACTGTTGTTGGAATTGAATCAGGTTTTAATTGATACTTGATGTTATATAAACACAAGTGTTTTGCGGTGGGTGGTATAAAATTAAGTGGTTGATCAAAGCCATCATGTAAAGTTAATACTTTGACTGTTGCTGGAATTGAATAAGGTGTTAATTGATACTTGATGTTAAGTAAATGCAAATCTTTTACGGTGCCAGGTATAAAATCAAGTGGTTGATCAAAGCCATCAAGTAAATATAAATATGAAACGTTTCCTGAAATTGGGTCAGATTTTAATTGATACTTGATGTTATCTAAATACAACCATTGTACGGTGCATGGTATAAAATTAAGTGGTTGATTAAAGCCATCAAGCAAAGATAAATCTAAAACTGTTAATGGAATTGAATCAGGTGTTAATTGATACTTGATGTTATATAAATACAAGTATTGTACGGTGTGTGGTATAAATTTAAGTGGTTGATCAAAGCCATCAAGTAAATATAAATGTGTAACTGTTGATGAAATTGGATAAGGTGTTAATTGATACTTGATGTTATATAAATACAAGTATTCTACGGTGGGTGGTATAAAATCAAGTGGTTGATTAAAGCCTTCAAGTAATAATAATTCTGTAACAGTTGCTGGAATAGTTTCGGGTAAACGTTGGATAGGTCCAATAGCAAGTCTTCTAATATTTAAATCATTAATATCATACCCATCTTCGTAAATTGTGAACTCTTTATTTAAAACTTAATTAAAAGGGATTATTTTAAATATTTTTAGTATAAAACAAAAATAAAAAATTTAATGTTTAAACTTACATTTTTGTGTTTTTAAATGTTTTTTAACTATAGGAATATCATCAACTACATCTATACAGCTGTTTAATAGATCTTTGATTAACTCGAGAATATTTTCTTTAACTATTAATTGGTTATCTTTATATTCTGGTAAGTTATTATTATTTATATTTGATAAATCATTTAAAATCTCAGTAGAACTAATATCATTATTATTATTAATAGCATTATTAATTTTATTATTATCTATTTCTATTTTTTTATTTATTTTTTTTTTTGTTTTTGTATTTTCGTCAAATTTGCAATTTAATAAATATCTGATATTATTTTCTTTGGCTTTGATAATTTTTTCTAGTTGCACAAATAAATCTTGAGATTTTTGATGATTATAATTATTGTTTTTTATAATTTGTTCAAAGTGATTGTTTGATTCATCCAATATTTTTTTATTATTTTCAAAACAGTGGTTTAGTTTTGTTATTGTTTGGTTATTAAACTCTTGTTGTATTTGATTTCTATTATTATCATCCATTCCAATAATACAATCAGTACATGGAATGTTGTTTGTACAAGTTGAGCATTCTTGGTTGGGATGATCTGAACATTTGGTATCATATTGTTGATTATTTGACATTATTTATTTATTTAGTTTTTACGATAGTTATATATTATTAAATTTTTTTATATTAACAATAGTTTTTTTTACATAAATTTACACAGAGACACGATCTTAAAAAAATTTTAAAAAAAAATAAAAATTTTTTTTTAATTGTTGATGTGCATATTTGCCAAAAAAAAAAAAATTAATTTTTTTTTTTTTTAAATTTTTTTTTTTTCACATAAATATGAATTATAATTTTAATAGTAATTTTTAAAATTTTTACAATAACCATACAAACAACCATACTCATTATATATTATAGTAGCTATTCTATCATCAATAATATTAGTTTATTATAAAAAAATATTAATCAATCATTAATTAACTATAAAATTTTAAAAAAATTATCTTTTATTTATTTAAAAAAGATACTTTTGAACGTTGCTAAAATTTTGTTTTTTTTTTTTTAAATTTTTATTTACATTTAAAGGTTATTTTTTTAAAACAAATCCAACAAGATATTTTTTATAATAAAATTAAAAGAATAATTATTTATATTTTAATTTTTTGGATTTGCAATAACATTAAAACTATTTATATAAATTTTCATTTTGTTGACATAGTATTTTCCATATTGTTTTTGCTGGATCTCAAAAAAAAATCATTTTTTCATATCATAAAATTTTTCAAATAAAAAAGATAAAGTTGATGAAAATTTTTATGCCAACTTCAAGAGGGAGTAAAGTACTGGTGATTGAGAGCCTGGGTATTTTTATTTTCAAGAATTTCTTTTCAGCTTCTGGAAAGGGGAGTTTGATGATACAGCCTTTAAACTTGAGTATTGGAAGGGAACATTCACTTTAACAATCACTTCTGAGGCATATCTTCTCTGTGGAGTGGTATTTAAGTTGTTATTTGTGGATCTTCTTTTAATTCAGATTTATAATGTATTTTAGTCATAAATGTAAAATCATCGATATCTACTTGGTTTAATGGTACACCTAATTCGTGATTCAATTATCTTTTGGCAGCGCATCTTACATGATAAGCATTTTCTTCAAGCAGTTCAGTTTCTGGGATCCAAAGGGGTGGGAACAAACAGTGTTTGTCCAATAACCTGGAAATATAATTTTTTCCAATGCTCTTTGTTGAAGTAATAATTTACATTCAATTTGTGTCAATTGAGAAAATATCATATAAAGAGTATGATTTTGTATGTGGATATTGGCAACCAAGTTCTAACATATTGAGCGACAGTATTTAAGATATTTATCTTTTATAGTTTTTATTTAATTTTAAATTTTTATTTTGGCATGTTTATAGTAAAAACTATATTCAATTCTTTGGTTAGAGTTTGAAATGGATTCAGGTTCTAAAGGATAGACCACATCACCTATAAAAATATTAGGTATAGAGTCAGGGATAATACCTTTTGTAAAATGTTGAGAGAAACCATTATCAAGTACAAGATTGGCTAAATGATTTGGAATTGAACCAGGTGTTAATTGATACTTGATGTTTTGTAAATACAACTTTTTTACGGTGGGTGGTATAAAATTCAGTGGTTGATCAAAGCCATCAAGCAAAGATATTTCTGTAACTGTTTTTGGAATTGAATCAAGTGTTAATTGATACTTGATGTTTTGTAAATGCAAGTATTGTACGGTGGGTGGTATAAAATTAAGTGGTTGATTATAGTAATCTAATAATAATAAATCTGTAACTGTTGCTGGAATATTTTTGGGTAAACGTTGGATAGGTCCAATTGCAAGGCAACTAGTTTTTAAATCACGAATATCGCACCCCTCTTCGTAAATCGTAAAATCAAAATATAATGCTTTATTAAAAGGAATTAATTTAAGTATTATCTGTATAAAATAAAATAAAAAATTTAATTTTAAAACTTACTTTCTAGTGTCTTTAAATCTTTTTTAACTAAAGGAATATCAACTACTTCTAAATAGTTGTTTGTTAGATCTATGATTGAGTCGAGATTATTTTCTTGAATAATTAATTGAGTATCTTTATATTCTGGCAAGTTATTATTATTTATTTTTGATAAAAGATTGTTACATTGATGATTGTGTTTTAAAAGTTCAATAAACCCAATATCATTATTTATATTATCTATATTATTATAAATAACATTATTATATTTAATAGCATTATTAATTTTATTATTATAGTTTTCTATTGTTGTTGTTATTATATTATTTACATCTATATTTTCGTCTAATTTAGTTATTAATAATCTTTTGGTATCATTTTCTTTTGCATTGATAATATTTTTTAATTGATTAAATCTATCAGTTGTTTTATCAAAATTGATTGTATGGTTTTCTTTAATTTGTTTAAAGTGATTGTTTGATTCATCCAATATTATTTTATTATTTTCTAAATAGTTGTTTAGTTTTGGTATTGTTTGATTATTATATTCTTGTTGTATTTGATTTCTTAAATTTACATCACTTAGTTTTTCAAAAACATGACCTTTATGATTACCAGTAATACAATCAATACATACAGGAGTGTTATTTGGACAAGTTGAGCATATTGAAATAATATCTTGGTGGGGATGATCTAAGCATTTGGTATCATATTGTTGATTATTTGACATTGTTTTTTAAAAATTAAATTTAGTTTTTACAAAAATTTAAAAAAAAAATTATTTTTTTAAAATATTTTTTCAAAATTTTTTTTTTTTTTATTTAAAATATTTAAATAAATACATTTGGATGATGGAACAAATAAAATACCTTTTAAAAAAATGAAGACATAAAACCAAAAGCAATCTGCATCCCATCAAAAACAATGATAATAATATATTATTATTCAAACATTCAAATTTGATGAGCTGGTAAATCTACGCATTGTTCAATTTTATTATCTTTTCAAATACATCAATTAAAAAATGGAATCACAGATTCAAAGTTTAAAATCAAACATACCAATATTATGAAATTCAAAAAAAGTGTTGGACACTCTTCGACCCATTGCATCAGATACGTTAGAAAAGGTATAGTATTCATAATTATATTTATTTTTATTAATTAAAAAATTAATTTATTTTCTAACATTTCAATTGGTTATATAATAAAATACCAACAAAAGAATACAATAATTCCAATCAAGATAAGGAATCTTTAATTCAAATGAAATCAAAGATAAAAAAGAATAAATTCATATATTTCAAAATCTTATAAAAGAAAGTTTAGATCAAAGAAATGATACTAATATATATTGGAAAGAAAAAAGTATTGTATATCCCACGGGTATAAAATATACTACATACTCTCCCAAAAATCTCATCCCCAAATCACAACACTGTTAGGCGCTGAAATCACTAGCCGCTTTGGACGCAAGCGTCTAGCAGGTACATACTACCGGGGGATACCTTTGCACACAGAAAAAAAGTATTGTATATCTGATGTGTCGGGTAGAAGAGCCCATTGGCTAAAATTATGCAAATTAGAAGTGCATTTGGGTGTAATTAGACTAGTGTACCAGAAGAAGATGATATATAAATCAGAAGTAGCAAATCAAATGAAATGATGGAGACAGAAGCCAATCAGGTTAAGAGTGGTAGTTTTATAAGTAGTTGGTGCGGTAGTTTACATTTCAAATGGTGCGTTAAAGAGATAAAGATTAAAGAATTGTACTAAGGTAATCTAAAGCGTCGATAGTATCCCGATAACAGCAAGAATTAGTACAGATGGTAATCTGGGCTGATGATAAAAAAAGATCCCTAATTCAAGTATAAGAGTTACAAGCTAAATCAAAGGTTACAATAAAGCAAAATTTAATAGTAAAGTGTATTTATTTATTTCTTTTTATTTTATAACGTTTATTTGATTTTTATCGATGGTATTATAATTTTTAAATTTCTGTTTTAAGATTAAGAGTATGGTATTGGATATGGATATTGACAATTAAGTTCTATTGGGTAACAGATTGAACAATAGTATTTAAGATATTAATTTATTACAAGATAACTGAAATTTGTTTTTTTATTTTATTTAATTTTAAATTTTTATTTTTGGATGTTTGTGACTGGTAGACCACATCGTTCATATTAACAAAATCTATTGAGCCAGGATAATTCCTTTTGTAAAACGTTGAGAGAAACCATTAGAAAATTCAAGAAGAGCTAAATGATTTGGAATTGAACCAGGTATTACTTGTTACTCGAAATTATGTAAATACAAAAATTTTACAGGGTGGTATAAAATCAAGTGGTTGATTAAAGCCATCTGGTAATAATAAATGTGTAACTGTTGCTGGAATTGAATCAGGTGTTAATCGATACTTGATATTTTAAATTTTATTTTAAAAAAACATAATAAATGCACTTTTTTTTTTTTTTTTTACAAAAATATTTTATAATTTTATTATTATCCTTTTTTTATCTTTTTTTATTTTAATTATCCATTTTTATCTTTATTTTTTTATAAAATCTTACAGGTGATCCAAAAATGATAAACGATAACGATAATTTTTAATCACTAATAATTATGAGATATTTATATGGACAATAAAGATGAATGGACTTTTTAGTATGAGCGAGATATTTTTATATGGACAATTTTTCAAGTAGCTCAATATGACCAATATCACACCCTTCTTCGTAATTTGTAAATTCTCTTTGATACACTTTATTAATTTAAATGAATTAATTTAGTATAAAATAAAAATAAAAATTAAATGTTAAAACTTACCTTCAATTGTTTTTAAATCTTTTTTATTATCATCAATTACTTCTAAATAGCTGTTTGTTAGATCTTTGATTGAGTCCAGATTTTTTTCTTTAATTATTAATTGAGTATATTTATATTCTGGTAAGTTATTATTATCTATATTTGATAAAATATTTTTACATTGATGATTGTGTTTTAAAAGTTCAATAAATCCATTTTTATTATTATTATTATTAACATTATCATTATTGTTATTATTAAATTTAATAGCATTATTAACTATATTATTATTGTTTTCAATTGTTGATGTTATTAAAGCATTTACTTCTGTATTTTCGTCAAATTTTGTTGTTAATAATCTTTTGACATCATTTTCTTTTGCTTTGATAATATATGTTAATCCCTTAAATATATCAGTTGTTTTATCTAAATTCATTGTGTGGTTATTTTGAATTTGTTTAAGGTAATTGTTTAATTCATCCAATATTTTTTTATTATTTTCTAAAAAGTCGTTTAGTTTTGGTGTTGTTTGATTATTATATTCTTGTTGTATTTGATCTCTTAAATCATCTAAACTTATATCTTTTAATATTTTTATATCATGACCATTATGAATATTGGTAATACAATCAATACAGACAGGGGTGTTGTTTGGACAAGTTGAGCATATTGAAATTATATCTTCATTGGGATGATATAAGCATTTGATATCATATTGTTGATTATCTGACATTATTTATATTTAGAATCTAAATTAAGTTTTTACAATAATTATTTATAATTTGTTAACACAGTTTTATAACAACAATAGATAAATTTTTTATTACACCAAACAAAAAAAATTTTAAAATTTAAAATTAAAAAAAAAATTACAATATTTAATAAAAAAATAAAAAATTAAAAAAAAATTAAAAATTTTTAAATGAATTGGCAATTAATAAAAAGATATGAAACATACAAACTAATTAAAATTTAATTATTATAATTAATTAAATTAATTTTCCATATTATTTTGACTGAGTCTCAAAAAAATCATTATATCTTTAATATTTTTTTTTTCACCAGATAAAATAAATAAAAATTTTCATTTTTTTATTTTTTTTAAAATTTTTGTAATTTTTAAAATCAATTAAATATTTTTTTTTAAAATTTAATTTTTTTTTAACTATTATTATGCACTATAACAAATCAATATTAATTAATAAATAAATGCTTTAATAAATTATGAAATTTTTTATCTTTTCAAATACATCAATTAAAAAATGGATGTACAGATTCAGAGTTTAAAATCAAACTTACCAATATTATGAAATGAAAGAAAACTTTTGGATTTGATTCTTCGACCTACTATATCAGATATGTTAGAAATGGTACAGTATTCATAAATATATTTATTTTTATTATATAAATTAATATAAATAAATACAATACATCCAATCAAGAAGAACCTTTTCTAGTGCTAGGTTGTTAATTACTGACAACCAATCATAAGTGGGCATGGATATAATAGAATAGAATCCCTATAATATTATGAAATGTTATTTCAAAGAGCTAAATTGAAAGAAATTGTTTGCAGGAGCAATCAATTGTAGTTAAGGTATTAACCAAGTCCCGGTAGAAGAGCCTCGCATTGGCTAAAATTATGCAAATAAGAAGTGCATTTAGGTGTAACTAAACTAGTGTACGGAAAAAGACAATATTTAAATCAGAAACAAATCAAATGAAATGATGGAGATAGATGCCAATCAGGCTAAGGATGGTGGTTCTATAAGTAGTTGGTGCGGTAGTTTACATTTCAAATGGTGCGTTAAAGATAAAGATTAAAGAATTGTACTTAGGTAATCTAAAGCGTCGATGGTATCCCGATAATAGCAAGTATTAGTATAATAGATAGAATTAATAAAGATGGTTATCTGGCTTGATGAAAAAAGGTCACATATTCAAGTATAAGTGTTACAAGAGAAATCTAACGTTACAATAAAGAAAATTTTTATAGTACATTGTATTTATCTTTTCTTTTTATTTTATTTTATTTTTATCGATTGTATAATTTTAAACTTCTGTTTAAAGATAAAGAGTATGGTATTGGATGTAGACATTGAAACCAAGCTCTATGTGGGTAACAGATTGAGAAACAGTATTTATAGAATAACGGATTTTTACAAAAATTATTATTTAAAAAAAGATTTGAAATCTTTTTTGAAAAAAAAAAAATAGAAAAAAAAAAATTAAAAGAAGGGTGAAAAAGAAAAAAATTATTGTTTGTGCTGTTATTTATTTAACATCTATTGGTAAATATTATTAAATGGATAAAAATGAATAATTTTATTTAAAAAAAGAGATAATTTTTTTAATGAATATTCGAACAATAATTGGTAAAAACTAAAGATAATGATAATTTTTAATCCCTACCAATTCCTAAATTACGCTTATATAATAAAAAAATTAATTAAACCTAAAATCAATTTAAAAAAAGAATAAAAAATTAAATTTAATTTTTACAAACTAAAAATATTATATAGATATTTTTCTTTTTAATATTATATAGGGAAAAAAATTTAGTTTATTATATTTTTATTTAAATTTTGGATGTTTGTATTTGGGAGAATAATGAATTTTTTGATCGGGGTTCGAAATGGAGTCATGTTCTAAAGGATATACTACATCGCACATAAAAATTGATAATATAGAGTCAAGGATAATACCTTTTCTAAAACGTTGAGAGAAAATCCAATCTCAATTAAATGATTTGGAATTGAACCAGGTGTTAATTGATACTTGATGTTATGTAAAAACAACCATTTTACAGTGGGGGGTATAAAGTTGAGAGGTTGATCAAAGCCATCAAGTAAGGATAAAAACGTAACTGTTGCTGGAATTGAATTAGGTGTTAATTGATACTTGATGTTTTCTAAATACAGTGCCCGAGGAAAATATGTAGACCCCCTGATATTTTTATATATGTGTTATAAATTGATTAGTTTGGATAGTTTTTTAATAAATATTGACACAGCCTAAAAATAATAAATAATGGTAATAAAAAAAAGTGTGGGAAATATGGGTAAAAAATAAAAAATTAAAAAAATAAATTTAAATTTTTATCTCTTTTTTTTTAATTTTTGAAATTTTTTTTATATCATTTTAAATTTTTACAAACTGAAAATAGTGCAAAAATAATTTCTAGAAAATAAACAAAATGAGGTTAAGTGATGAACTTTGATACTCAATATTATCATACAAAATCAGAGACCATTACTCAAATAGAAAAATTGCAAAAAAATTGGGTGTCCACAAAACAAAAGTGGCAAAAACAATTCAAAGATATGAACAAACAGGTTCAATCAATGACCATCAACGTTTTGGAAGAGAAAAAAAGATTCATGAAAGAGGTGAACGTTTATTATGTTTCAAATTTTTGAATGGTATTATTCAACAACTGGCCACACCAGATTAGACTGGTTAGTTAGAAACGTATTGCATAGGAATAACATTGTTTATAAAAATAAATTCATGAAACCTCGATTATACGAAGTTAAAAGAAGAAAAAGATATAGTTTTGGATTTGACATAAAAACTGGAATGTGGACCAACAGGAAAATCATATGTTTATGGATGAAGTTAGGTTTCAATAATTTGATAAATACAATTATATAAGATCTTGGGTCTATGAATCTTATGTTTTACTAGATTCAAATACTTAAACAAGTGTTAGAAAAGGTGGAGATAAAGTAATGTTTTGGGGAAAATTTTGAATTATGTTCCTAAAAATTAAGATCATCTTTCATAGGCATTATATTCTAATCTCTATATTGATATAATAATAAATGATTCACCACCAAATCTGGGTTAATATGCAGATACGTTACAGGTGCCTGGGAAAGTTCACGAAAATTGTCATGAGAATTTCGTGTTTAAAAATCCTCTTAACAATATTTATGTATATAAATAAAAAAAAAAAAATTTTAAAAAAAAATTAAAAAAAAATTTAAAAAAAAAAATAAAAGGGGGAAAACCACACATTACTATATATATTAATTGATTATGATTTTACTGTTTTTTTATTGATTTTTAAACACCTTTTAAATTAAAAATTTTTTTTTTGTTTTTAAAACTTAGAAATTGACTTTAAAAATGGAACTTATTGACCCCGAACTTAGAAACCCCTTTTTTTCAAAAAAATAAACTAAATTTTCTACCCTAATATTAGTATTAATATTAAATTTTTTATTTTTATTTTAAACTTACATTCTAGAGTTTTTAAATCTTTTTTAACTAAAGGAATATCATCAGGAACTTCTAAATAGCTGTTTGTTAGATCTTTTAAAAAACTCCAAGGATCTTTATTTATATCATTTACTTCTAAATAACTGAATGTTAGATCTTTGATTGAGTCGAGATTATTTTGTTTAATTATTAATTGGGTATTTTTATAATCTGGTAAGTTATTATTATTTATATTTGATAAAAGATGATTGTGTTTTAAAAGTTCAATAAATCCATTTTTATTATTATTATTATTATTATTATCATTATTATTATTATTAACATCATTATTATATTTAATAGCATTATTAATTATATTATTATTGTTTTCTATTGTTGTTGATATAATATTATTTACTTCTGTATTTTCGTCAAATTTAGTTGTTAATAATCTTTTGATATCATTTTCTTTTGAATTGATAATTTCTTTTAATTCCTTAAATATTTTAAAAGTTTTATAAAAATTATTATTATTGTTTTCTTTAATTTGTTTAAAGTGATTGTTTGATTCATTCAATATTTTTTTATTATTTTCTAAATAGTGGTTTAGTTTTGGTATTGTTTGATTTTTAAACTCTTGTTGTATTTGATTTCTAACATTATCATCTTCAATGCTTATAAAATTATGGCCATAGTGAATACCAGTAATACAACCAATACATACAGGAGTGTTATTTGGACAAGTTGAGCATATTAAAGCAATATCTTGGTGGGGATGATATAAGCATTTGGTATCATATTGCTGATTATATGACATTTTTTTATTTTAGAATTTAAATATAGTTTTTTACAATAATTATTTATTTATTTATTATTAAATTGTTTTATAACAACAATAAATTTTTATATAAATTTTCACGGGGACACGATCTAAAAAATTATAAAATTTTTTTCACAAAAAAATTTAAAAAAATTTTAAATTTTTTATCAAATTTTTTTTCACAAATTGAGGTTCGGGTTACTTATTTTTATAAAGCGCTATTAACTATAATTAATTCCATTTTGTATTTTTTTATTTTAATTTTTTTTTTTTTTTTGCATAATAATCTTAGAATTTTATAATTTTTAATCTGTTGTATATTGATTGTGGAATTTAGATTTGATTTATTTTAGGTAATTCTATTTTAGTGTGGAATTTTTTATTCTAACTTTCAAGGGAGAGTATAGCGCCTGAGATTGCGAACCTGAGTACTTTTATTTTCTAGAAATTTTTTTCAGCTTATCAGAAGCTGAAGTTTGTATATGCAGTCTTTAAACTTCAGTATTAGAAGGGTTGTTGCGTCTCTAGTATTTGGTTTAATGTATAAGTGTTTTCTTCGGTTGTGATTCTGCCAAATGCACCATCAATGATAGGAACAATCTCAACATGATAACCACTCTCTTCTTTGTATTTATATTGATTCTGGAAGTACGGTTGAAGGTAATGATACTAATATAGCTTTTAAGCTTGTCTAAATTCAATATTACCATCAAATGGTAAACAAACTTCTATAATATAAACGAGGTGTTTAGTATGATCAATTACCACAATGTCTGGTTTATTAGCCATCGATTGAGAGGTTTTGAAGTATGTATCTGAGAAGTTTTTAACATCTGGTATTTCATAATGCTTGATCAATTTTTTACTAATCTCGCTACTTCTGTATCATGACGTTTAATTCTACCATGCTTGTATTATTATAGTTCAAAATAGTCTCAAAGGACACGATTCCTCCATATAAAGTTTTTTTTTTTTTTTTTTTTGTAAAAGTTACAAGAGATATTTTATTTATTTCTTTTTAAAAAAACAATAAGAGGAAGAAATGCTAAATTTATTTTTGTATGTATATTAATTTGATTAATTTTGATTTTGTATATCAAATAAAAAAATTCATTCAACCAAGTTTGTTATCATTAAAAAATTTATTTTTATTAAAAATATATTAAAAAAAAATATTTTTTTATTATAAACACCCAAAAATCATCATTTTTATAAAAAAAAAAAAATTTTAATTTAAATAAAAAAATACTAAATATTATTTAATAAAATTACAATTAAAGTAATATATTAAAGGTATTTTTTATTATAATTTAAAATACACAATTTATATGAAGGATTTTTTTAGGATCGAGTTTTAGGAAAAAAGGATCCGGATTTTCATTAGAATTTAGGATCGATCCTAGTTTAAAACCTCGATCCTGAGCTGTAGTAAAATTTGTCATAAAAAAAAAATAGATATTATTTTTCTTTTTAACATTTTTTTATTTTATTTTATTTTATTTTGGATGTTTGTAGTTGGAACGATATTCAATTTTTTGATCGGGGTTTGAAATGGAGTCAGGTTCCAAAGGATAGACCACATCACCTAAATAAATATAAGTTACAGAGTCAGGGATAATACCTTTTGTAAAGCGTTGAGAGAAACCATCATCAAATATAATAAAAGATAAATGATTTGGAATTGAACCAGGTATTAATTGATACTTGATGTTATGTAAATATAGCCATGGTACGGTGAGTGGTATAAAATCAAGTGGTTGATTAAAGCCATCTTGTAAATATAAGTGTTTAACTGTTGCTGGAATTGAATTAGGTGTTAATTGATATTTGATGTTATGTAAATACAACCTTTGTACGGTGGGTGGTATAAAATCAAGTGGTTGATTAAAGCCATCTTGTAAATATAAATGTGTAACTGTTTTTGGAATTGAATCAGGTTTTAATTGATATTTGATGTTTTTTAAATACAACCATTTTACGGTGGGTGGTATAAAATCAAGTGGTTGATCGAAGTCATCATCTAAACATAAATGTTTAACTGTTGTTGGAATTGAACTAGGTGTTAATTGATATTTGATGTCTTGTAAATACAAGCATTGTACGGTGGGTGGTATAAAATCAAGTGGTTGATTAAAACCATCAAGTAAATATAAGTGTTTAACTGTTGCTGGAATTGAATCAGGTTTTAATTGATATTTGATGTTTCTTATACCCAAACATTCTACGGTGGGTGGTATAAAATTAAGTGGTTGATTAAAGCCATCTTTTAAAATTAATTGTTTAACTGTTGCTGGAATTGAATTAGGTGTTAATTGATATTTGATGTCTTGTAAATACAAAAATTGTACGGTGGGTGGTATAAAATAAAGTGGTTGATTAAAGCCATCAAGTAAAGATAAATATGTAACTGTTGCTGGAATTGAATCAGGTGTTAATTGATATTTGATGTTATGTAAATACAAGTATTGTACGGTGGGTGGTATAAAATTAAGTGGTTGATCAAAGCCATCTTGTAAATATAAGTGTTTAACTGTTGTTGGAATTGAATCAGGTTTTAATTGATAATTGATGTCTTGTAAATACAAGTATTGTAAGGTGGGTGGTATAAAATCAAGTGGTTGATTAAAGCCATCTTGTAAATATAAGTGTTTAACTGTTTCTGGAATTGAATCAGGCTTTAATTGATATTTGATGTTTCTTATATTCAAGCATTCTACTGTGGGTGGTATAAAATCAAGTGGTCGATCAAAGTCATTAAGTAAAGATAAAGTTGTAACTGTTTCTGGAATTGAATCAGGTTTTAATTGATACTTTATGTTTTTTAAATACAAAGTTTGTACGGTGGGTGGTATAAAATCAAGTGGTTGATTAAAGCCATCATGTAAATGTAAGTGTTTAACTGTTTTTGGAATTGAATCAGGTTTTAATTGATATTTGATGTTTCTTATATCCAAACTTTCTACGGTGGGTGGTATAAAATCAAGTGGTTGATTAAAGCCATCAAGTAAAGATAAATATGTAACTGTTGCTGGAATTGAATCAGGTGTTAATTGATACTTGATGTTTTCTAAATACAAGAATTGTGTGGTGGGTGGTATAAAATCGAGTGGTTGATTAAAGCCATCAAGTAAAGTAAACTCTGTAACTGTTTCTGGAATTGAATCAGGTATTAATTGATACTTGATGTTTTTTAAATACAAGTATTGTACTGTGGGTGGTATAAAACTAAGTGGTTGATCAAAGCCATCTTGTAAATATAAATGTGTAACTGTTGCTGGAATTGAGTCAGGTTTTAATTGATACTTGATGTTTTCTAAAAACAAACTTTCTACGGTGGGTGGTATATAATCAAGTGGTTGATCAAATCCACCATGTAAATATAAGCTTTTAACTGTTGCTGGAATTGTGTCATGTATTAATTGATACTTGATGTTTTCAAAAAACAAAAATTCTACGGTGGGTGGTATAAAATCAAGTGATTGATTAAAGCCATCTAGTAAATATAAACATTTAACTGTTGCTGGAATTGAATCAGGTTTTAATTGATACTTTATGTTTTGTAGAGATAAGCATTGTACGGTGGGTGGTATAAAATCAAGTGGTAGATAAAAGCCATCTTGTAATAATAAACTGGTAACTGTTGTCGGAATAGTCTTGGGTAAACATTGGATAGGTCCAATTGCAAGGAATATAATTTCTAAATGACTAATATCATACCCTTCTTCATAAATTGTAAAATTAAAATTAAATACTTTATTACAAGGAATTAATTTAAAATATAATTAGTATAAATGAAAATAAAAATTCATTGTTAAACTTACATTTTATTGTTTTTAAATCAATTACTTCTAAATAACTGTTTGTCAGATCTTTGATTGAATCGAGATTATTTTCTTTAACTATTAATTGATTATCTTTATATTCTGGTAAGTTATTATTATTTATATTTGATAAAAGATTGTTACATTGATGATTGTGTTTTAAAAGTTTAATAAATTCATTAATATAATTATTATTATTAACACCATTATTATATTTAATAGCATTATTAACTATATTATTATTGTTTTCTATTGTTGTTATTATATTATTTACATCTTTATTTTCGTCAAATTTAGTTTTTAATAATCTTTTGATATCATTTTCTTTTGCATTGATAATTTCTTTTAATTCATTAAATATTTTTAAAGCTTTATCAAAATTATTATTATTGTTTTCTTGAATTTGTTTAAAGTGATTGTTTGATTCATCCAATATTTTTTTATTATTTTCTAAATAGTCATTTAGTTTTGGTATTGTTTGATTTTTAAACTCTTGTTGTATTTGATTTCTAATATTATCATCTTCAATGCTTTTAAAATTATGACCGCTGTGTATACCTGTAATACAATCAATACATACAGGAGTGTTATTTAGACAAGTTGAGCATATTGAAATTATATCTTTATTGGGATGATCTAAGCATTTGATATCATATTGTTGATTATTTGGCATTATTTAGTTTTTAAATTTAGTTTTTTTAAAAAATCTATTTATAATTTATTTATTATTAAAATTGTTTTATAACAATAAATTTTTTATATATGAGAGACGATTTAAAATTTTTTTTTGAAAAAAATTAAAAAAAATTAATTAAAAATTTTTTTTTTTTTAAATTTTTTTGGATTAAATATTATAAAAAGAAAAAAAAACAAAAAAAAAATAGAAAAGAGTAAGTAACTATCAAATAATAATCAATACAAGATTCATATTTTTATACAATCATAATTAATAATAAATAAAATGTAGAGGTTAAAAATTATCGTTATCGGTTTTTGGATCACCATGCCAACAATATTTTTTAAAGGGGAGGTAACAATACCTCGATGGTTTTGGATTTTTTTTTTCAAATAAAAAAAATTTTTAAATTCTAAAATTTTTTTTTTTTATTTTTATTAAAATTTTTTTTTTTGATTTATTAAAAATTTTTTTTTTAATTTATTATATAAAAATTTTAATTAATAGATATCATGAGTATTTATGATAAAAATCAAAATACTCTTTCCGAGTATAAAAGAAAACTTAAATGAAGCGTATTATAATAATTAAAAAGAATCTCAAATACTCGAAAAAGAAATCAAAGAAAATGAAAAAAATTATGATAATATCTCAAATTTAATAAAAGAAATGTAATTATGTATCAAATCACCAACAACTTGTTCGCAAACTCAACATCGGTTTCGCCTAGGGCACCCATATTGAAACAGGTTGGTTTAGATGGAATCAAGAAAACTCAAAGAGTCTTAGGAGTAGAGGTTAAATGCTTATTAGCTAAATTGAAGGAAATTGCTTGTGGGAGCAATCAGTTGTAGTTAAGGTATTTACCAATTGTCAGGTAGAAGAGCCACACATTAGCTAAAATTTTACAAATTAGAAGTACATTTGGGTATAATTAGACTAACTTACAGGAATAAAACGATATTTAAATCAGGAGTAACAAACCAAATGAAATGATGGAGATAGATGCCAATCAGGTTAAGAGTGGTAGTTCTATAAATAGTTGATGCGGTAGTTTACATTTCAAATGGTGCGTTAAAGATAAAGATTAAAGAATGGTACATAGGTAATCTAAAGCGTCGATAGTATAGAAGGTAATATAGGGTTGATGGTAATAAAAAGGTCTCATATTCAAGTATAAGAGTTACAAGTGAAATCAGAGGTTTTAATAAAGCAATATTTTATAGTACAGTGTATTTATTTATTTCTTTTTATTTTATACCGTTTATTTCATTTGATTTTTATTGACAGTATATTATTTTTAAATTTCTGTTTCAAGAAAAAGAGTATGGTATTGGATGTGGATATTGGCAACCAAGCTCTATTTTAAATTTTTATTTTGGATGTTTGTAGTTGTAACGATATTCAATTAATTGGTTGGGGTTTGAAATGGAATCAGGTTCTAAAGGATAGACCACATAACCCATATGAATAGAATTTACAGAGTCAGGGATAATACCTTTTGCAAAACGTTGAGAGAAGCCATTGGAAAATACAAGAACAGTCAAATGGTTTGGAATTGAACCAGGTATTAATTGATACTTGATGTTATGTAAATACAAACTTTGTACGGTGGGTGGTATAAAATCAAGTGATTGATTAAAGTTGTCTAGTAAATATAAATCTGTAACTGTTGCTGGAATTGAACCAGGTGTTAATTGATACTTGATGTTATGTAAATATAGCCATGGTACAGTGGGTGGAATAAAATCAAGTGGTTGATTAAAACCATCTAATAATAAATGAATAACTGTAGATGGAATAGTTTTGGGTAAACGTTGGATAGGTCCAATAGCAAGGCATATAATATTATTTAAATCGCTAATATCACACCTTTCTTCGTAAATTATAAATTCTGAATTCAATACTTTATAAAAAGGAATTAATTTAAGTATTATTAGAATAAAATAAAAAAATTTAATGTTAAAACTTACATTTTAAATATTTTTTAACTAAAGGAATATCATCAAGTACTTCTAAACAACTGTTTGTTAGATCTTTGATTGAGTCAAGATTATTTTCTTGAATTATTAATTGAGTATCTTTATATTCTGGTAAGTTATTATTATTTATATTTGATAAAATATTGTTACAATGATGATTGTGTTTTAAAAGTTTAATAAATCAAAAAAAAAACTCTACATTTTCTTTGTTGAGGTTTTAGTTTTTAAAAAAAAAAATTGACTTTCTTTTGGTTTTGTGTTGTTCGATCTTTATTATTTAAAAATGGATATGTTGTATTTTTAGTTCAATGGTGATAACAGAAAAATAAACAATAATTGGTATGTTTTTTTAATATGATTTCGTGAAAGTTTTTGGAAGGGAAATAAAAAATATTTTAAAATTAAATAATTTTAAAAAAAAAAAAATTTTTAACCGATATCAGGCGATATGAAAAAAAGATAAAAAATAATTTTATAACTATATATAAAATTACTCCAAACTTTGCACGGTATTACTTGTGGTTCTGATTGATTGTTTAAATGGATAAATTGAGAATTGTTATGGATGGTGGAAGAAAATTTATTTAAAACTTTTAAATTATTTCAAACCTAATTTTTTTTACTATTTTAAGATATGAACATAAAATAGAGTAAAATTAGTAATGTGAATAAAAATTAAATTCTTTTATTTTATTTATAATATTTTTTTTTATTGAAGTATGGTCTGTTATTAAGGAATACAAAGATATGAGACATACAAAATATTTATTAAAAGGAAAATTTTTATTAAATAATTTATTACACCCTAAAAAAAAATAAATTTGTCACATTTTTTAAAGGGGAGGTAATTATAACGGTTTGGATATTTTTTTTTTAAAATCAAAAAAAAATTAATAAAAATATTAATTTTTTTTTTTCAAAATTTTTTTTTATTATTTTTTTTAAGTTGTAATTTATTTTTTTTTGTTTAAAATAAAGACAGGCAGAAATAACAAATAAATAAATATAGAACTTCTTTAAAAGTAAGTATTTTTATATATTTATTTATAAAAAATTAATTTTTTTTAAAATAAATTAATTTATTTTTTCCATAGATATCATGAGTATTTATGATAAAAATCAAAATACTCTTTCAGAGTATATAAAAGATTACTTAAATGAAGCGTATTATAAAGAATTAAAAAAAGAATTTCAAATAATCGAAAAAGAAATCAAAGAAAGTGAAAAAAATTATGATAATATCTCAAATTTAATAAAAGAAATATTATTATGTATTAAATCACCAAAACAACTATTAAATATCAATGTAGATGTACAATCAAACTTTTTATATTCACCAGATAATAATCATCAAATATTTAAACCCATTCATACAAATATTAATAAAGTCAATAGTTTAATAGAGGAAATAAAGAGAAATTTCAACAGTAAAAGTACCGATTATAATAGAACAGTATTATTAAACAGTATTATGAAAAAACTTAATAGCTATTCAGAACAAAATAAATCATTTATCAATAAATTAACCGATACAGTAGCCAGTTCAAAAAAAAAATCAGTAAATATTTTAGCTCCATCTCCTTTATGGTTCAGCGAAGATTTAAAACATTATGAAGTTAAATCACTAGACCTTGCATATGATATAACATCATATAATGTATTAGAACATCAATTTAAAAAGAAGGATAAAAATCAAGCAGGAAACAGTATTGGTAGTACCATGGATGACAAAGTTTATTTCAAAGTAGAACATGGTGGTAGACTTATAATGCCAGCAAGAGAACATGCAATTTATCAATTTTATAAGAAATTGTTCCCAAACTCTAAATCAGCATTGGTTTCGCCTACTCAATTAATTCTAATCGATAACTTGAAAATCCTAAATCCAGAATCTATAAGAGAACTAGGGGAATATAAAACTAAGCATAATGAAACAAATATTGAAAAGTTATTAGAGTATGAACCAGAGTTAAGAAAAAAAGTTGAAGATACTTTACAAAATCACTACCATGTATTTTTACAAGCGTCCCTATTCACCAAAGGTACACGCTTTGACAAATATTTAGAAAGCTGTGAAAAAAAGATGAAGTTAAATGGTTCAAATTGTCAATTCGATGATATTGATATAGAAAGTTTTAGTTCACACGTTATTGCAAGTTTATTAGTTTTACCAACCGATTATAAACCAGACAACTTGATTTTAGAAGAGGACTCTAATTATATTATTGGCATCGATAATGATCAATCATTGGAAGCAAATGAAATTGAATTAATATCTGATGGAGCTGATGCATTGCCTAATTTAAAGAATGTTTTATACACATTAAAGCCATTGATGGTTCAACCAGTCAACGAAAGTGTGAAAAATGAAATCCTCAAAACCAATCAAGCTTTATTCATTTTAAAATGGCTTGAGACCTTATACAAGAAACAAAAAAATTATGAATCAATAATATCAATGCAAATAGAATCAAAAGGTTTGGAAGTGTCAAATGAATATATAGAAAAAAAAAAAGAAGAAATTAATTTACCATTGGAGTTTAAAAAAGGATGGGTTCATTTAATGGATAAAAGATTTAAAAAAATTAAACAAATATTACAATCAAATCAAACAGCAACTCATCAAGATTTATTCAGTCAAATCCATCCACTATCAAGTATTTATTATGAATATTTATCAAAAGTTTATAATGATCAACCCATAGATATCATTTCGGCCTTGTATAAGAAAACAAATAAACTATCTTTTCAAGATATTATAAAATCAGAAAACTCCCAATTTAACCAAGCACAGTTTCATGAATTATTACAAAACTCTTTAATATTAGAAAAATCTATTTCAATTTATGACGCAATCAAAGAGTATATATCAACTATAGAGTTTAGTTCATTAAGTCAATGTATAAAAACTGATGATGATTTAAATGAATGTGGTGAAAATTGTAAAATAACATGTAAAACAAGGAACATTGTTATTGAATTTCTTTCAACAATCTGCTCACTCTTTGATTACACGTTATTTCACCCATCATGGTATAAGGAAAAATTTAATATTTTTTCAAAATTATTAAGATATGGTGCATCGGTTGATGTACTTAATTTAATTATAAGAAATCTAAATATTATAATTAAAAATGAAGACTATAACACAATTATTAGAGAAAAGGAGGTGTTAACAAATCCTAATATTTGCAATCAAATAGAGTTTTTAATAGACCATTATAAACTAGATGTTGAAAGAGTAGAAAACAAATCAACCCTTCTAGATATAGTTTCAACACATAATCTTCCAAATTTGTTTATAAAGTTGTTAGAACTTGGTGCTGGCAAAAATTCAAATCCATCAGTTATCAGTAGATACTATCAAAATCTTTCAAATGACCAGAAATTAGAATTAAAGCCATATTTAATTAATTTGTTTTCAGTTAATCCCAAGATAAATTGGAGAATTGCAATTAATCAACTATTCCCATTACAAAATGAACAAACCAGAGACTCAACAAAGTTAATATCAGAAATCACTAACACTACAAAAAGAATTATTTCTGATGAATACTGGGACCAGTTATTTGATTCCCATGGACAACTAAGGAGATCAAACGAATACGGATCGAGAACAGTTACTTTAATCCAAGATAGCTTTGGTAATGGAATCTATTTAAAGTTTAAACCACAATTTCCTGGTACAGAAATAGCAGTAAATAAATTAAGTGAAATTATATTTGGCAACGGTTTAACTCCATATTGTGAATTAGCATCCATCAATGACTCACCAGTTTTATTAATTCAGCAAGTATATGGTGAACCTCTAGTTGACATTTTTAACGACTCACCAAATATAATTGGCCAACTGGAACCAATTAATATCTCTAAACAATTGATCCTATCAATGTTAATAAATAATGCAGATGGAAATTTAGGAAATTTTATTGTGTCAAAAACTTTAACTTCTAAAGATCAAAGATATGGATATAGACTTGTATCCATTGATAACGACCAATGTTTTATGCCATCAGTTTCGAAATCATTGGGTACATTTGAAAAATCATTACAAGTAGATACCGTTTTGTTTTTATTTAATCAAATGAATGATAAGGTGCATAAAGATGTAATAGACCGTATTAGCAAAATAGATGTGTATAAAGAATTGTTTAAATGGTTAGAAGCTTTAAAATATAACCATCAATCATCATTGGACCATTTTTCATCAAATAGAGAAAGATTAAAAAAAGAAAAAGAGACAGTTATTGGTGTATCTTTTAACAGAGGTATGATTTCACATATCTTTTCAAAACTAAAGAGACTACAGCAGCTTTTGAAAGAGAATACATCAGTCACTCACATAGAAGTTTTAGAATTCATAGAGCCATTAGTTTCAAATAGATATAGACCATTTTTAAATTTAGATGTCTCACTAAATGATAGATACTTAAAATTAAAAAACTTTAATACTTATTCAAAAACATTAGTTTCGTGCTCAAAACATCCATCAGCTCAAATTTTATTATCAAGAGATATCCCTAATGTTAAGGATATAATGGATCAACTATGGAGTGGAAAATATGGACCATCTCAATCACTTGAAGAATTAAATTCATTAGATAAAGATGTGAAAACACTAAATGATTTAATAAATCTTCTTGATAACAAAGCCATCAATTTAAATAACAAATTTTCAACTTATAATATAGAATGTTTGTTAAAATTCGACTTTATCAATATTCCAAAAGAAAAACAAAAAGCTTTATTCAATTTTTTAGCCAATATGGAAATTTCAATTGTTACTTTAAGAAATTGCAATTATTTCAATCAATCCTATTTAAATAATCTTCAAATTGACTCTATAGTTAGGTTAGATATATCATCCTGCAAAGATCTACTTTCTATTGGCAACGTTTTCAAATCTATGGTAAAAATATCAATAAAAGATTGTTCAAATCTAACCAATTTTAGAATCAAAGCACCAAACTTAAAAGCATTAACTATTATAAATTGCAGCCTAAAAAACTTCATATCCAAATCACCAGAACTTCAATTTCTAAATTTAAAAGGGTCAATTAAAAGTGTAGATATTAATATCTTCGAATTATCTCAAAGTTATAAAAATTTGGAATATTTAAATATTTCGGAATCTATATACGAGACTCTTCACATTAGATCAAATTTAAAAACTTTAGATTTCAGTTCAATGAAATTTTTATTTGAAATAACCTTGGAAGCCAGTTGTATAGAATCAATTAATTTCGAAGGTTGTGACATACTATATGAAATAAAAGGCTCTGGGGACTATTTCCAAAATATAAATTTGTGGAAATTATTAAATAATCCAAATAACAAACAAATAATTGAAGAAAAAAAAATGTATATCAATTTAAGAAATGACCTCCCCCTTCTTTTATTTTGGTCTAGAAGTACTATCCGTGGTGTTTCGTTTATATTAGAAAATCGTATAGTACCTCTAACAATTTTTATCCAACACCATATATACATGGGAGACTTAGGATCATTTATAAACAAATGTAAACTCCTTCCCAAAGAAACCGAATGTCTCTCTTTGTGTGATGACTTTGATGAAAACTTAGATTCACACTTCTTTCCAAAAAATCTAAGCTGCTTATACCTCGGAAACATCAAAAAAGAAATTTCAAAGGAAATATTACCACCAAAATTAAAACTATTATATTTAGGTAATGGTTATCAATTTAAATTATCAAACATTATCAGTCATACAATAGAATGTCTTTACTTAGAAGATATTAAGGAACCATTACAAGAAAATACAATTAGACCAATTATAAAAATTTTGGTATTATGCCCTGGGTTTAATCACCCAATCACTCCATCAGTTATTCCAAATACAGTAAAGCAACTCTCAATCATTTCAAAAAAAAAAGATATTGAAGTACCAACAAGTATAAAGATTTTAGAATTCTATGATGATGCCTATAGTCCAGAAATTATTAAACCATTTAATGTTAAAGATTTATTAATTGATAACGTGGATCATTTTTTAGGAGAAGTAAACTTTTATAATGGTCCAATGACATTAATTACAAGAATCTTTAAAGAAATTCCATTTTTTACTAAAGAAACTGAAAAAAATCGTTCTTTAAAGAATTTTACTACCGAAAATATCAAAATTTTTTATGATATCAAATCACTAAAAAGAAGTTCTAAAGTATTAGAATATTGGGACCCACCAACTCCAAGATTTATTAATGAAGTTGCAAGTAATATCAAAAATCTTTATTTAGGCCATCTCAACTATATCATTCCTCTTGAACATATCCCTCCAAATATTAAAAGATTAGAACTTTTAAATGGATTCAATCAAGCATTACTTCCACACCAACTACCAAATACAATCAAGCACCTTGTTATTGGAGGTATTAAAAAACCATTAGAAATTGGTTCAATTTCAAAAGCTACAACTCTAACATTGCTGAATGGATTTGATAAATCATTAAGACCTGGGTTCATAGGTGAATCAGTAACCAATCTATTTATTGATGAACTTAAGTATCAACTAAAACCCAATGTTATACCATCATCTGTGGTCAAATTAAGAATTTCAGATCATCAAATTCAATCCGATACTCTGCCTCTATCTGTAAGAGATGCCCATATAACATTAAATAGCAAGGCTTTGCCACCAAACTCTATTCCACCTAGTATTACAACATTAACAATTTCAATCAATAGTTTTAACCACTTAAATCACTCTTTAATACCAAACTCTGTTAAAAATTTATACATTATCAATAATAGCTCAAATTCAATACCAATTAATTTTGTGATACCAGATTCAGTTATATTGTTAGAATTGAGAGGGAACTTTGATTATATTCAACCTGGTATGATCCCAGATTCAATTAGAGAACTTTATATTGACAAAATCAAAATACCTTTAAAAAACAAATCAATTCCATATTCAGTTACCACACTCGAGTTTGGTAATGATTTTAACAATAGTTTACAGGCTGGAATAATTCCAGACTCTGTTACGGAGCTCTATATTGGCAAAATAAATTTACCAATTTTCAAAGCCGAATCAATTCCAAATAGTGTAAAGATCTTAAACTATTCTTTGCTAAGCAGACATATATTCGATTTAAGTTTTATACCAGATTCAGTTACCGATATTTACGTTTTCGAATCCCCCTATTTAATAGAAGATAATTTAGTTGGTGATTGTGTTCCATTTAATTATCATCCAAACTTTTATAAAAAAAGAGAAAAATCATATAATAATAAAAACTATTATATTTATGATTAAATTATACAAATAAAATTAATATAATAAAAAATTAATTAATTATATTTAAAATTAAATAACTAAATTAGAAAATAATAGAAAACCTAAACCTCTAATCAATTTTTATTTTAAAATAAAAATAAATTTTTTTAGCGCAATTATTAAAATTTCTTTTATTTAATTATTCATTTGATAAATAAATATAACTTTATTTATATTACAGATTATCCACTATTGGTATTTTTTATCTTATTTCCCGTTATAACCTTGTATATTTGTAGTTGGAATAATAACTAATACTTTGATCGGGGTTTGAAATGGAGTCGGGTTCTAAAGGATAGACCACATCCCCCATATTAATAGAAGTTAAGGAGTCAGGGATAATACCTTTTATAAAACGTTGAGAGAAGCCATTATCAAATGAAAGAATATTTAAATGGTTTGGAATTGAACCAGGTATTAATTGATACTTGATGTTATGCAAATTCAGCCTTTTTACTGTGGGTGGTATAAAATTAAGGGGTTGGTTAAAGCCATCAAGTAAAAATAAATGTATAACTGTTGCTGGAATTGAATCAGATATTAGTTGATATTTGATGTCTTGTAAATACAAATATATTACGGTGGGTGGTATAAAATTAAGTGGTTGATTAAAGCCATCTAGTAATAATAAATGTGTAACTGTTGCTGGAATAGTTTTGGGTAAACTTTGAATAGGTCCAATAGCAAGGTATCTAATATTTAAATCATTAATATAGCACCCTTCTTCGTAAATTGTATATTTAAAATTTAAAACTTTATTTAAAAGAATTAATTTAAGTATTATTAGTATAAAATAAATAGAATTTTAAATTTTAAAGTTAAAATTTACATTTTAGTGTTTTTAATTTTTTTTCAACCAAATAACATTTTGGTTTTAAATCTTCTTTAACTAAAGGATCATCAACTACTTTTAAATAGCAGTTTATTAGATCTTTGATTGAGTCGAGATTATTTTCTTGAATTATTAATTGAGTATCTTTATATTTTGGTAAGTTATTATTATTTATTTTTGATAAAAGATTGTTACATTGATGATTGTGTTTTAAAAGTTTAATAAATCCATTATCAATATAATTAATATTGTTAATATCATTATTATTAACATCATTATTACAATTAATATCATTATTATTAATATTATTATTAACATCATTATTATATTTAATAGCATTGTTATTGTTTTCTATTGTTGTTGTTATTATATTATTTAAATCTTTGTTTTCTTCAAATTTAGTTGTTAATAATCTTTTGATATCATTTTCTTTTGCATTGATAATATCTTTTAATTCTTTAAATATTTTTGAAGCTTTATTAAAATTATTATCATTGTTTTCTTTAATTTGTTTAAAGTGATTGTTTGATTCATCCAATATTATTTTATTATTTTCTAAATAGTTGTTTAGTTTTGATATTGTTTGATTATATTCTTGTTGTATTTGATTTCTTAAATTTATATCTTTTAATTTTTTAAAACTATGACCATTATGAATATCGGAAATACAATTAATACAGACAGGAGTGTTGTTTGGACAAGTTGAGCATATTAATTCTATATCTTTATTGGGATGATCTAAGCATTTGGTATCATATTGTTGATTGTTATTTGACATTATTTTGTATATTTATTTTTTTTGAATTTAAAATTTTAATTGATTAAAATAATTATAATTTATTTACTCTCTATAGCTATAACATCAACAAAGTTTATTTTTATAAATTTTTGCGCTGGTGCCACAAAATAAAATTAAAAATTCGAAAAATTTTTTTTAAATTTTTTTTTCAAATTGAATTAAGACTTAAAAAAATCAAAAAAAATGAAAAATTATGATAATTTCTTAAGTTTATTAAAAGAAATAATATTATATATCAAATCACCAACAACTTTAAAGACCTTAAATTATTCTATGTTAAGCAGACATATTTAATTTGATTTTGGTTTTATACTATCAATATTTAGATTTTCGAATCCCTCTATTTAATAGAAGATACTGCATAAACAAGCGAAAATATTTAGTGATGCATAAAATATTTATTACATATTGCTTTTTAAAATTAGGAAAAAATGTTTTTCCTTTTTATAATATTAGAGTATTGAATATTTCTTCCAGAAAGAGATTCTGGTATTGGATGATAATAAGAAGTTGGTAATTGTATTTTGGTAGCGGATTGTGGAATAGTATTTGAATTTAGAGGTTGATTGAAACCATGTCCAAATCTTAGTTTAGTGATTGATTCGGGCAATGAACCTACTTGAAGAGGATGGTCATATTTAGAGGACAAACTTAAATCTACTACTGAATTGGGTATTATACCGACTGGAAGAGGTTGTTCGAAATTAAATAGTTTTAATTTTTTAACTGATTGTGGGATTGAATTGGTTTGAATATTTGATGGTCCATAATGGAAAATAACTAAATGTGTAATTGATGGTGGTAAGTCATTTTCTAATAAATCGGTTTTATTTAATGATAAAAATAAAGTTTGAATTGAATTTGGAAATAAATTTTTATCAAGCTCATAACTATCTTTTTCTATTTCTAAATGTTGTACATTCGGTGGTATTACTTGTCGTTCTAGGGGTTGGTTATAAGATTTTAAGTTGAGTTTGAATATTGATAGTGGAAGTACATATGGCTCCAATACTCGTCGATATGTAGGTAGTTTTAATACTTCAATGGATGGGGGTAAAGTTTCCCTAGATATCTCTTGATTAAAATTTGATAGGCACAAATTTATAAGGCTCTTTAATGGTGATAAAACGTTTAAAAATGGCTGATCAAATGAAAACATTTGCAGTTTAGTGATTGATTCTGGAAGTGAACCTTGTTGTATAGGGCAATTAAATAATAAAGTCATAAAGATTTCTAAATGAGGTGGAAGAACATTTGGTTGAAGTGGTTGATTATATTGATGAAGAAAAAGGTTTTTGCAAGTTATTGGCAAATCACCAGTTTTCAAAGGTTTGTTAAAAGAAGAAAGCTCTAACTTTACAATTGAATTAAATAAACCAGGAGTAATACTTCTGTTAAAATTTTTCAATGCTAAACATTTTAATGAGTCTGGAAAAATACCAACACTAAACTTTGGAATCGCTTTTATTGCTATACTAGTAAGAGATGGTGGTAACATATTTGGTGTAAATGGTAGAATGTATTGAGGCAAAACTAATCTACTAACACTTGGTGGTATTACTGATTTGATATCGATTTGATAACTGTACCACATACTAAATTCCAACCTTGTAACTGTTGGAGGAATATCACCTATTTTAATTTCTTTATTGAATTTACCTATGAATTCTAATTCAGTTGTGCCATAAGGAATAACCTGACCGTGTGGTTCCAATGGTTCATTAACAGAGATAATAACTTTTGTTGCATATCTTCTATGTGGATGATATCTTAGTTGATTCATTGACCAGTCAATCATCATTACTTTATTTTCATTATATAATCTATGATGTCTTTGTATTTCCTTTAATAGAAACTTGTTCCTCCATATTGAAAAAAACAATTTATCATTATCATTATCACTATTCATTTTTTATTTATTTAAAATTTATATATTATTATTGACAGGAAAGTTTGTGTGTGTTAATATTAAAAATAAATTGATGGTAAATATTTTTTTTTTTTTTTTAAATTTTTATTTTTATTTTTTTTAAAAAATCAAAATCAAATATCTTATAAATTTTTATTATGTGAATAATAAAAGCAAAGTATCAAAAAATTTAAAACTTAGAAATTATAATAACAATATCTGTTAATATTTTTTAAATTTGATGTCTAAATTTCGGCTAGATAAAGAATCTGGTATTGGATGTGGATATAGATTATTTATTTTTATTTGAGTAACAGATTGGGGAATAGAAGTTGGATCTAGAGGCTGATTAAAACTAAAACCTAAATCTAATTTAGTGAGGGACTCTGGTAAAAAACCAACTGGAAGAGGATGATTAAAGAAATGAGGTAATGATAAATCTTCTACAGAGTTGGGAATTAAACCGACTGGAAGAGGTTCTTTGAAATGAAGTATACAGTTATATGATCCTATATCTATTTTCTTTACATTTGGTGGTATTACATGTGGTTCTAATTTATGTTTATAGTTTCTTAAAGTGAGTTTAGTTACTGATGGTGGAAGTTCATTTGGTTTTAAAACTTGATTAAATAAAGGTAATTCTAAAGTTTCAATAGATGGTAATGTTTTGATAGATATCTCTTGATTAAAGGAATTTAGGAACAGTTTTTTTAATGACTTTAATGGTGATAGAATGTTTGATAATGGTTTATTGAAATTAAACATATTAAGTTCAGTAATTGATTCTGGAAGTGAACCTTGTGGTATTGGTTGATTATAGTATACAATTTCAAGTGTTTCTAAATGAGGTGGAAGAATGTTTGGTTGAAGTGGATGATTGTAGCGACGAAGATAGAGTTTCTTGCATGTTATAGGCAAATCACCAGTTTTTAAAGGTTGGTCAAAAGAGAAAAGCTCCAACTCTACAATTGAATTAAATACACCAGGAGTAATACTTTGATTGAAATCAAACAACTTTAAAAACCTTAATGAGTTTGGAAGAGTACCAATTCTAAATTGTTGATCTGATCCTATGGTTAAACTAGTAAGAGATGGAGGAAATAAGTCTGATGTGATTTGTTGATCGAATTGGGCATAATACAATTTAGTGACACTTGGTGGTATAACTGATTTGATATCGATTTGATGAGTGTACCAATCACAAAATTCTATACTTGTCACTGTGGGAGGAATATCACCTACTCGAATTGGTTGATTGAAATCACCTGTAAATTCTAATTCTGTGGTTCCATAAGGTATAGCTTCGCCATATGGTTCTAATGGTTCATCAATATGAATTCTAATTTTGGTTGCATATCCTCTATGTGAATGATATAAAAGCTGATCCATTGACTCGTCAATCTCCATTACTCTATTTTCATTATATAACCTTTGATGCCTTTGTATTTCATTTAAAAGACATTTGTTCCTCCAAATTGAAAAAAATAATTTATCATTATTTCTATTTTTATTATCTTTATTATAAATAATATTATTTATTTTATTATTTTCATTATCTATATCTGTATTACTGTTACATGCAAAAAAATTTCTTTTTTTTATATTTTGCATACCATGATTATTCATAATTGATTAATTGGGAAAAAAAAAAAAAAAAAAAAAATAAAAAAAAAAGTTTTTAAAAATTTTTAATAAAATAAAAATAAAAAAATTAAATTTTAATCATTTTTTTCTTTAAATTATAAACAATAAGAATATTTTCAATTTATTTTAACAATTATATTTTTTAATTTTATCCTTTTTTTTTTTTTTTGATCTTTATTTATTTAATTATTTATTTGAATTTTTATTTATTTATTATTTTAATATATATTTTATATTAACCACCATTAGTATATCTTAGATAAAAATACTTAGATTATAATCTTGGATGTATGTATTCGGGATAAAAATTAATACTTTGCTTGGGGTTTGAAATGGAGTCAGGTTCTAAAGGATAGACCACATCTCCCATATAAATAGAAGTTATAGAGTCAGGGATAATACCTCTTGTAATACGTTGAGAGAAACCATTAGAAAATTCAAGATAAGCTAAATGATTTGGAATTGAATATATACATCAAGTATAATTATAATTTGAAGTTTAATTATTGCCAGTGTTATTTCTCCACATTTATGATTGATTTAATTATGGTTGTTTATTTCATTGAAAAAAAAAATAATTAAAATTTAAAAAAAAATTTAAATTTTTTTTTTTTTTAAATATTTTTTTATTTTTTTTTTTTTAAGAGGGATTTCATAAGTATATTTAATAAAATAATTAATTATAATAAATATATAATAAATAAAAAATGGATATAAATATGATGGATATTGAAAAACATATAGAAAAAATAAAAATATTTAAAGACGATGAAATGGATGAAATGACCGTTATATTGGATGATGATGACGAATATATATCAACCTATATTCAAGGTCAAAAAGACATACATCAGCTATTACCAACCCATGTAATTCAAGTTATATTTCAAATTGCATTGATGGATAATGGAAATATAGAATCAACTATAGAGACATGGGACTGTATGAATAGGGATAGATTAAATATAGAATTAGTTTGTAAAGATTGGTGCTCAATTATAAAATCATCATGCAACACACTATCACTCTCTTTAAATAATTTATTACCAGTTACAAATCAAATTTCAACATTTACAGCATTAAAGAAATTGGAAATCGTTTGTTTGAATAATGACTATTCGGATAGTGACGACAGCGACGATAGCGATACCGATACCGATAGTGAAAACGATGATGAACCCATTACAATTAGAAAAAATGAAAAAGAAAATAAAAATAAAATTATTGAAATCCATGATGACGATAGCGATGATGAAGAGCATGCATCACACAAATCTAATCAAGCATCTGATACCATCATCAAACATTTAATTACAATTATAGAATCCCAGCACCCAACACTAAGGATTTTAGACCTCTCAATGTTGGGTTTAAGAGAGTATCATATTGAAAAGCTGCTACCATATTTAAGCAAACACAGATACATTGAAGAGCTAATACTAGACAGCAACCCTATTGGGGATCAAGGTATCATATTTATTTCAGATTTATTAAAATCAAACTCTGTTTTAAAAGAATTAGATGTGCAGTGTATGTATTCTCCCAAAAATAACCTCAATGTGATTCTTATCATACTAACAGTACACTACTATAACTACTTTTAGCATCCAAAGCAGAAAATGGTTTAGAATATATCGGTGCTGCAATTGCTCAAAACAAAACCTTAAAGAAATTGATATGGTCATGTAGCTATCTATACTATGTATATATCATTTGTATAAACTATTGATATTAACTTTTTATTATTATTTAGATAACAAATCAAGTTACTCTAGCATAATCTATTTAAGCAATGGATTAAGGGTTAACAATATATTAGAATCATTGGTATTAAGAGGATGTAAAATAGAAGGTTGGGGAGCATACAGTTTAAGCGAAACTTTAGGTATTAACAAATCTTTAAAAGAATTAGATTTAGCACAGAATGAATTTGGTGATAGAGGAGGTTGTAGTATTGCAGAAAAACTAAATTTACATCCATCATTGACAACATTAGATATATCATGTAATTCAATTTCGACTGAAGCTTTCAATTCAATTTTTCAAGCTCTGGAATCAAACCATACACTAACATCATTAAATTTATCAAAAAATATAATCGATACCTCTATTCCAATGGAATCAGTTTTCTTTTCGCTGTCTCACAATAAAACCTTAACCTCTTTAAATCTATCAGAATGTTCATTACAAAATTACCACTTTGATTTAATTTCACAAGGTTTGGTAAATAATAATACATTATTAAAATTAGATTTATCAAGTAATTATTTAAAAATATTATTATTTTTATTTTTACAAAATATATTAATTTATTTTTTATATTTAATTTTAGGAAATAATATTAGTAGCATTGATCCATTTTTACAAGTACTTTGTAAAAATAAAACATTAAAGTCTATTAATCTTTCGAGTAAGTATAAAGATATATTACAGCCAACTTAAATGTCAATATCAATAGTAATATTAATTTTTATTTTTAGAACATAAAATTAAATTAAATGATATCAATATATTGCTTCACTATATAATCAAAAAGAATCAAGCCTGTAGATCAATTAAATTAAAAACCATTGTGCATCAAATCGAATTTATAAACTTATCACTTTCGCCAGAACCAGTAACAAGAGCAATTTATGATTTATTAAAAGAATACAGATCTAAATTAAACTATACAAAAATAAAAATTTAAAATAAAGGTTGTTGTTTATTTTATTTATATTTTTAAATTTATTTATATTATGCATATAATATAAAGTATTTTTTATTTTTCTTTTTTTTTTAAATTCCAGTTTACTATTTACTATTTACTATTTAATATTTACTATTTACTATTTACTAAAATAAAGGGGGTGTTTTATATACTATTTATTTATTTATGTACAAGATTAATTATTATTTTATTATTACTAATTTTAAATAAATTTAATTTATCATTTTGATAATGTTGCTAAATTTGGAGCACTAATAGAAGATACTGAAGGAGTTGTTGTGGTGGTTGTGGTGGTTGTAGTACTGGTAGTAGTTGATAATGAGGAAGAGGAGGATTGAGTGCTTAATGATCTTGGAGAGAATCTACCTATTGCTTGTTCTTCATATAAAGTTAAAAGTTTACCAATCTTTTTAATTTTTGAAACCAAAATATTAATTTCTTGAAGGGTATTGGATGTGTCTATAAGCTTTTCAATGTCCACAATTTTTTCAGATAATAAAAGTACTTGTTGTTGTCTTTTACTTGTTAAATTTGGTGATGAAGAAGCAGATGATGAAAGTGATGAGAGAACTGGGGATGAGGATTTTGGTGAAGATTTGTTTGTTAATATACCACCGTTGCTGCTACTATTAGAATAATCCTCTAAACCAAACTCTTGAAGAATATTAACTAAAAGGTTTTCTTCATTTAAGGTAACTGGTTGGGATTTAGTTGTTATTGATACATTAAAATATTGAAGTGATTGTTTTAATATTTGTTTAAGTGGTGTTACATAATCATAGGTTGATTTTAATTGTTCAATCTCTTTATTAATTTCGGAGTGGGTATCTGAAAGCAATTCACTGATATCGTTCGATTGAGCAAATGAAGCTATTTCCATAAAATCTAAAAACTTGTTCATTTCTTTTTCGATTGTGAATGTGATAGCAAAGAACTCTTGAAGTGGTGCTGTAAATTGGGAAGTTAAAATATTTGGTGGGAGACAATGGATTTGAGTGTTACTGAATAAATGAGTTGAAGCTTTGGTGAGGGTTGGTTTGCTGCCACTATTGCTAGTACCGCTGCTACCGTTATCTGCTGTATTGGTTGAGCTGTTGTTTGCTGATCCACTGCTGCCGCTACCACTAGCACTGCTACCCTTGTGCCAATCATTAAATGAAAGTTGTTTGGTTGATTTCTTTAGGATATCCAAAGTTCTCTTTATAAACTCTAAATCGATACACTCTGAGACAGTCTTAACGGTTTCGTTTAGAATTGAATGAATCATTTTAGTTGACTTGTTTGATGATTGTTTAAGTTGTTGAATTAATGTGTTTGCTGACGAATCCTTTTTGCTGCTGATTGAACTACGATTACCATGTGTAAGTGATCTTGATTTTCTACGAAGTACTTTTTCTTTTTCGGCTTGCTTCTTTTCGACCTCTTTTTCGATTGTAAGTTTTTCATCGAGATCATTAATGAATCTAGTTTTATAGATGATTGGATTCCAACTTTCGCTTCTATAAAGACAAATAAATGATGGCTTCTCTAAGAGTTCTAATAATTCGGTTCTTTTACCACTGGTTAGGAATTGGAATATCCACTTTAACATTTCAGAACGGCTCTTACCAAAATCGGTACCATAGTGTGAGAATACTTTTGGTAAAGAGATTTCCTTTTTCTTTATACAAATATCGATTTTTGAACTGCAAAATTCTTCGCCACATCTATGAAGATCCTCGACAATGGTTTCTGGTGAAAAAATTCTCATACATGGAATTGTGATATTGACAGCAAACAAGGCGAAATGAATTCTTGGATCCAATGTAGTAATAACAAAAGCTCTTCTTTTATCGCCACCTCTAATTTGACGTACTCTAGTTAACGAATTCTTTGGATTTGAACGGAGAATACCATGTTGAATGTCATTTAATGAATAATAGGCACCACTGACATTATAACGATAGGTAAAGTATTGCTTTCTTCTAACTTCAGAGTTTGGTGGTCCTATTAAAAAGTGAAGGTGTACCATCATTAAATTGAATATATTTATAAATACAGCTGTTAAATAATCTGGTTGCATTGATTCAAAATAAACTGATTGTAATTCATTACATTCACGTGAAAATGTTGCAAATTCTGGTGTTTGTTGAATAACTGTCCAATTTACTGGTTGACCATTCATCTTTAATGATTGGGTATCTGTTAATTTATTTGCTTTTAATAAATTTGAAATATTTCTTAATAAAGTACTAACAACTGTATGTGCTGGTCTTGATTTATCACTCCATTGAAATTCTTCATTTAAAATTTTCTATATAAAAAGAAAATAAAAAAAATAAAAAAAAAACAATTATTTATAAATTATTGATATTATTATTATTACATTATTATGATTATTATGATAATTAAAAAATATTTATAAAGAATGATAAAGTTTTATTATTAGTATTGGAAATAAAATTAATAATAAATTATAAAATAAAAATTTTATATTTACAATTTCTTCTTCTGGTGATTGATTTGAGGATGATGGTGATGAAGATGGAGCAGTATTTGATGATGATGAAGATGGATTTGATTTTTGAAGGGCATTTAATGCTGGGGTAATAACATTTTGTTTTGCTATTTTTAAATTCTTAGTGATACCTGCCCATTTTGGTTCCTTATCGGTAGTAGTTGTAGCTCTTTTCTTTTGCTGTGTTTGTTGTTCGCCCTTATTGCTGCCACTTGAACTATTTGAACCATTTGAATTTGATCTTGCTCTATTTAAAATTGTAGCTAAAGAAGAATTTGAAATTACAGCTCTCTTTGAAGCTTCAACAGCCTCCATAACCTTTTCAGGTTTTGGTTTATCGGATTGGCTTATACCAGTATTGGTTTCCAAAGCTTTAAATAGTTTTTCTTGATTTTTGTCGATAAATTGTTGAAGGTAAACAATACCTTCATGGAAAGATTCCTCGCTTACGTACATACCATCGATGGTTTGATCTTCGGTGGGTCTTGATGCACATTTCAAAAAGTAATCATCGAGTGTTGGTAAATTATTTTGAATGAAATCATTGATAGTCTCCATATATGGTTGATTGAATAATACTTGATTTGAAAGATTTTGAAGGCATTTGGCAACTAAAATTAAAGAACGTCTTTCTGTGATACCAACACGACCTGGACTAATAATACCTTGACCCTCTGGGGAAACACAAGCAGGACAAAACAATCTTAAAAATAAGAATCCACCAACTGCAGATTTCCAATGAGCTGGGAATTTTCTTGAGACGATCTTTTTAAAGTAGTAACAGATTTCAATGATTGATTTAGGACATGAATCGATGGATTGAATAATACGATCAAAGAATTTTTGTGATACGATTTTGAGGTTTTTAATATTTAACTCTATATCCTCGCCTGGTGATAATTTAACTGGGTCAACTTCTAATGATAATGGTGAGTTACAAAGGTCGACCACCAATGGTGTTAAAACCTGTTGAAGATATTGTTGAGCTGATTTTAAACCATAAGCTACTACCATTTTCATTGCAACACTATTACTACGGAACAAAGTACCGGGGTCGTGACATTGGGAAACTTCTTTCTTTATAAACGATTTGAGTAAATGTAATAACTTGTGGTGGGTGTGAAAAACATCAACTAGAGATTTTGCCAAAGTTTGAGATGCGGTAATATCGATAGAGTCGCAAATTGAATGTACTAATGCCAATTTTGATTGAACTACTAAATCTAGTAAATCCTTATGATATGCTTTAATACGTGCAAGATTGTGTATGTTGGATGGTTCATAGGAGATTTGTAATTGAATATCTGGTTCATCATTTGACATTGTTGACTCTGTTTCACTTGCGTTGCTTTGTAATCCTGCAAATGATGTATAGGAATTGGATTGTACCATGCCGCCAGTAGTATTTGTTGTACCTGCGATATTGTTATTGGATCCGCTTGATGTTAATCCACTATTATTACTACTTAATAAATTTAATTTGTACCATCTTAAACTTGGTTCTATACGAATTGGTGTCTCTGGATCTTCATTGTTATTAGTTGCTAATGTTGGCGACGATATGGATAATGATGCCGATATTGGTACGGTAGAAAAACGATTATTACTATTGTATCCAATAAAAGTTGGTGATCCTGATAACATTGCCTCTGATGGTGATGATGATGCTGATAAAAACATTGAATTTGGTGAACCTCCTAACATTGGTGAACTCTGATGGGATGATATATTATTTTGACTTGAATTTATATTAATTGGTAATGTTATTTGTTGTTTAGTTTCTTGTTCATTATTATTATTATTATTGTTATTTGTATTGGTGCTTCCTGTTGATTCGTTATTATTTTGTTCTGATGAGTTTTCTAATGATCTTGGTGAGGCTTGTAGGTTTGATAATGATTCAGTTGATTTTTGTTGTTGTAAAACAGGAGGCGAATTGTTACCAGAGGTAGAGTTGGCTGATGATAAGGATGGTGATGGTGGTGGATTTAATAACGAATTAAATGATGATCTTCTATTTAATGTTAATGATGAATATTGTAATGATACATTAACCTTTGCCAATGATATTTCATTATTATGGTTTTGTATTGATGCAGGAGTAGTGGTAGTGGTGGTGTTTGCTGATTCATTATTTTCAGAGGATTGTTGTTGTTGCAATGATTGTAAATGTTGTTGTTGTATTAATAGTTGTTGTTGTAAGTGTTGTTGTTGGCTTGGTCTGTTATTATATTTCTTTTTAAAAGTCAATGTGAATTTTGTGGTGGGTTGTGGTAAATTGAAAATAAATGTATTTTTTTGAATACCTGAACTTGACTTGGGTCTTCTTAAAACTATATCGAATGGTTGAAATTCTGTTGTACCGCCATCAATGACTAGATCACATACTAAAGCACCATCTGTACCACAAAGCAATTTAGTATTTCTAATACCAGCAACTTTAATAAATAAAATTTGGGGGTACTCCATAATTTTTTTATTTTATTTTATTTTATTATTATTTTATTTTATTTTTAGTATTTTATTATATATAGTAATTCTTTTTATAATTTATTATTATTATTATTATTATTATTATTTACTATATGTATATTAATTTATTTTTTAAATACTAATTATAATTTTGATGATACACACACTTTGTGTGTATTAAATTTTATTAAACTATATATTTGAGTTTGTGCGTATTTGTTTTTTATATATTTTGTCTAAATTTAGTAATTAGAGTGGTTGCTTTAAAAATGTGAATATAAAATAAATAAATAAAAAATAAAATATATATGTTAATAGGGTGATTTCTTTTTTTTTTTAAAAAAAATAATAATGAATAACTATTTAAAAATAATAATAATAATATTTTTATTTTTATTTTTATTTTAAATTATTTTTATTTTTAATTTAAAAATAAAATAAATAAAAATAAAAATAAAAATAGCAACACACACATATACACACACACACAGAAAATATGATTTGATTATGATTATGATTATGTTTTGATTATGTATATATCTTACTTTTTTTTTTTTTTTTTTTAATTTTATTTATTTATTTAATTTAATTATATATATCTTGGAAAAAAAATTTTAAAAAAAAAAGTATTTTCTTATCAACACGTAATACACAAAATGTATTATTTTTAGTGTTTATTTAAATAATGATATATCAAAAAAAAAAAAAAAAAAAAAAAGGATACAAATAAAATTATTGTTATTTATGAAAAAAAAAAAAAAATCAAAAAAAAAAAAAAAAAAATATTTATTTAAAAGTTTTACCATTTTTTTTTTTGCCAAAATTTTAATTTTTTTTTTATTTGTTTTTTTTATTTTTTTATTTCCTTTTTTTTTTTTTTTTTTTTTTTTTGGGGGGGGTTAAAAAAAAAAAAATTATTTTTAAAAAAAAAAAATTTTAAAAATAAAACTACTAATGCGTTTCTCTCTTTTTTTTTGATGATAAAAAAAGCCCACCATTCATTATCATAAAATTTGTTATGTTTATTTTTAAAAAAGGTTTAATGCTTTCAAATAAATTAGTTTACATATTACAAAAGATTTGTGCAAATATTATTTTTTTTTTCGAATTTTTTCATTTTACTTTTTTTTTATTTTCTATTATTGTAAAATGATCATAAACAAAACAACATCCATTTATTTTCAAATGATTTCCTTTTTTTTTTTTTTTTTTTTTTTTTTTTTTTTAAATTTATTTTATTTTATTTTATTTTGTTATTTGAAATTTAAAACAACAAATTAAATATTGGTAAAATTATAAACTTATTCATTTTTACTATTTTTTTTAAATCTAATAATAATTTTTTAAATCAACATCAATATCTTAATTTTTTGTATAAATAAATTTTTATTGGGGTGTGGTTTTTTTTTTATTTTATTTTTTTTTTTTCTACATTGAGCACTTTTTTCTCCTTTTTTTCTATTACTAGTTATAATAAGTAGTATAAGAAATCTGTGTTTGCTAATGTGGTAAAAATTTCATCATATATTTTAATTTATTTTTATTTTTATTTTTTTTAATATATTTTATTAATTAATTTATTTTATTTATTTATTATATTACCGAAAATAATCAATTCACTTAAATATATTTTTTGTTTTACTTTTTTTTTTCTTTTTGTATGTGCTCATTTTCCTTTTCCTTTTTTACAAATTTATTTTATTATTCAATTAATAAAAACAATACAAAAGATGAATTTATTTTTGATACTACATTACATATCTTTATTTAGATTACATCATTTTTATTATTAAAAGATTCATTGTAGGTATAAATATTTAAATTTATTATATTTTATTAATTTTATTTGTAGTTAAAATAACTTGTTGTAATGATTTCATATCAAACTCGTATTAATTGTTTTTTACTTTCCATTTTTATGTGTGTAATATAAAAAATATTTTATTTTATCTTCGAAGCATCATTATATGATATTAAAAATTTTTTATTTTTTTAAAATTATATAATTATTTATCAAATAAATAAATAAAAATAAAAAGAAGGAATAAATTGAGGTTTAATATTTATTTATTATAGTTTTGACCAATTTCATCAATTGGCACCAAGAAAATATTTAAATGGGTTAAATAAAAAGGTTTTAGGTTTGTTTTTATTTAAGTTTTTGATGAATCAATATTTTTGTCCTTTAAATTTGCTTTTCAGGAATATCAGATATTTTCATCAATTTTATTTAAATTTTTTTAATTTTTTTTTGGTTTCATCATTTTTTTTGTTATTTTTTTATCATATTGATAACTGTATCATATTAAATAAATAGTAAATAAAATGAATTTGTAAGTGTAGTAATCATTGGAAATAATAATAGTATTAATTAAGAATTTTAATTGTATACTAATTTCTTTTTTTATTTATTTTTTATTAAATTTTTTTATTTTTTTATTTTTTTAATTTAGAGATGGAGAATCAGATCCAAACAAATTATCTAATTACATTCAATCTTATTCTAAATATTCATTTTATCTTACCATTAAATTAGATTTATTAAAATATATTCAACAAAAAAAAAATAATGATGATTTGAAAAATTTTATTGACGAGAAAGTCATCGAACCAAATAGATTATTATCAACAGATATAAATGATAGAGTCACTTTTTTTGACAGTCCCTCACCAAATCATAATTTATTGCTGCCAATCCAAACTAGAATCAAATTATTGGAATCGTATAAAAACAAATACGATGAAAACCAAGAAGAGGGAGATACTTATCTAAAGAAGTGTTTTGAAGATTTAATTAAAGGTTATCAAGAGTCTATTAGATTCTATGTAGATGAAGCCATAAAATTAAGAAGCAGCGAAAAGAGAATGAACTTATATGATAGCAATGTCTATTTACTAAGTGAGGACCTGGAGTATAGAGAGGTTGCTTTGGACACGGCATATCAAATAGCATGCTATGATAAGCAAGAGTATGACTATGTTAGAAAAAATTTAAGAGGTCTTAGTATCAGTAGCCAACTAGGAGGTGTTTATTTTAAAGTGGATAATGGTTCTAGACTACTATCGCCGGCAAAAGAAGACGCTGTCTTTAGATTTTACAGTTTACTCTATGGTTTGGACCAACAATTGATATCACCAACTCAATTATTAATATTAAGTAAAATACCTATTTTACCATCAATTTTATCAGTGTCTCCAGAAAGAAAGTTAATGGCTAAAATTAAAAAGGAAAATGGTTTCAAATCTTCAAGAGATGTCTTTATCTTAGATCCAGAGTTGAAAGTTAGAGTGGATGCGGCCATGTTATTAGAAAGAACACTACCGATCCAAGGTAGTTTGTTTAAAGAGGGACAAACTTTTGAAGATTTTCTAGAGGGTATTGAGGCAAATCAAGCATCAGAATCATTACTGGGTACAATTAATGAGTATAGTTTCAGTAGTCATGTATTGGCAAGTTTGTTACTATTACCAACTGATTATAAACCGGAAAATTTAATTATTGACAATAAAATGAATATTATTGGAATCGACAATGATTGTTGTTTAGAGTCTGATGAAATTACAATAGTTAATGGAACTACATTTGTAAATGTTAAAAATATTCTTTATTTCATAGACCCATTGATGAACAAACAAGTTAACGAGCTATCAAGATCCCAGTTTACAAATCAACATCCTACACTTTTAATACTGGAATGGCTTTCACAATTACTTGAAAAAGAAAATGTTTATAACCAACTAGTAGAGAAATCGCTATCAACAATCTACCCACATGCACCAAAAGCAAATACATGTAATTTAATTAAAGAGAGCTTAAATTTACCTTTAAAGTTTCCAGTTGGATTCATTGACTCATTGGAAGAAAGATTTATAAAAATTCAAAAGATACTGATCGAGAAGCCAGAGACCACACATCAAGAACTTTTTAAACAAATTCACAGGTTTGCATCAGTTTATTATGATGCAGTATCAAAGATTTATAATAATCCATTAGATAGAATTGCATCTATAAAAAACAACAATAAAGATGAGAATCTCAAAGCTTACTTTTCAGAAAACTCTTCAAAATATCAATCATTTCAAACAGAAATGCTTCAAAATAAATTTCTTCCAACAACACCCACAATAACCATAAGAGAATCAATAGTTAACATTGTCAATAATTTAAAAGTAACAGATTTAATTTCACTAAAAGAAGAGGTTCTTTTTCAAATTATCAAATTGATTATTAAATTAATAAAAGAATCAAAAATTATATTTCAATTTAACAACTTATGGAGTGTATACTGTCAAGAATTATTAATAATGTTAATGAGAAATAATGCTAAAGAAGAAGTTATTCAAGATTTTTTAGTTTGTTTTGGTATTAATGCTAGCCAACTCAATAAAGATGAACATAGTAACCCAAAGTCATTGATTCATCAAATTATTTCAAAAATACAAACTGCTTCTTCAAAAATCAAATATATTCGAATGTTTGTATCAATGGGTCTTAATATAGATGTTACGGAATATAGTTTATCACCTTTAGATTTGGTTCTTTGTTCTGATAATAAATCTGAATACATAGAACTATTCATAGAATTGGTAAAGCTGGGTGCTGGTAAAACTTTAAATGAAAATAAAATATCTGAATTTTGTTTTTCATTAACAGAAAATGAACAAAAAGACCTTTTCGAGACTGTGAAATCTATCACAAATATAAATCCAAAAGTGGAGTGGTTGTTGGCACTTAATCATCTTTTTCCATTGGCTCCCATCGGTGCTAAAATAGACTCAGTCATTAGTGAAGGCCATGTATTTGCAACATCAACAAGGGGTACAAGAATTATAAGAGAAAAGCACTGGGGAGCAATATTTGATTTAAATAACAATCCGATAAGAATTAATAAGTATGGTAAAAGAACTGTGTCTTTTATTGAAGACCGTGGTTTTAAAATTTTTTTAAAATTTGAACCTCAATTTCCTGGTACAGAGCTAGCAGTTTCATTACTTGGTCAACAGTTGTTCGGAAATTACTCAACATATTCAGAATTAGCAGTCATTAATGGATTCGTCGTTTTATTGGTTCAGGCAGCTAAAGGGGAACCATTATATGAATTTGTAGAGAAAAATAATGGCATGTCGAGATTAAATTTATTAAACAAATCAAATATATCAAAACAATTGATAATGGAAATGTTGATTAATAATGGAGATGGTAACTTAGGAAACTATATTATTGAGGAAAAACAATGTGGTCATAGACAAAGCGAAGAGAATTCATATGAATATTTCATTGTCCCTATTGATAGCGATCAATCATTTATGCCACCAGTCACAAAAGAGATTAATGGATCATTTTTTGATAAAAAGAAACTATCTCTACAAGTAGATACCTGTCTATTCCTTTTAGATCAAATGAATGACAACGTTCATAAAGATGTTGTATTGTTCTTAAAAGATAGAGACTTTGCCACTGAATTAAAAAATTGGTTGGACTCACTAAGTTCGATGCATTATACATGGATTGGATTCTTTAAAAAGCTTAAAAACGAAAGTATCTTAGGGTCACAGTCAATTAATGATTCAACTATTGGTGTATTATTTGTACCAGGTCAAATCAAACATTTATATTCAAAAATGGTTAGGTTGCAAAATTTAATTAAAAAAGATATTACTCATATGGCATTATTAGAGTCATTAGAACCGCTAGTTGGAAAAAGATATAAATCGATTACTGCCCAATTGAAAACAATATCTTTTTTATATAGATGCAAACATTTTAAGAATACAAAAGATGAAAGTTTATTAACATCATCAGTCTATCTATCAGATATTGTATTGGAATCAAGAGATATACCAAATGTATCAATGATTCAGAATCAAATTAATTCAGGTATATATGGACCAAAACAAGCGATAGAAGAATTAAAAGAAATAAAAAGAGAACACCATATTATAGAGCAAATTATTAAAGATTTAAGTGATGTAGAAAATCCAAACACTGAACGAATAGATAACTCCATTAAATTAGAGTCCCTAGACAATAGCATCACCGATGTTTTATTAGAAAAAGTATTAAAGCAATCTAATCTAGAGAAACTAACACCGAGTCAGCAAAAATATTTATTCAAATTGATAGCAAAAAAAGAACCAATAAATATTTATATTAGAAGGACCAAAACATTAATATCATCCATACTACTAACATTCAACTTTAATAGTGTTGTAGTATTGGATTTATCACACTCGTATCAATTAACTTCAATCACCAATGGTATCATAATAAGTAGTCCAATCGAAATGCCCTGTTTAAAGAAAATTAAAATGGATCATTGTAATAAACTTTGTTACCTAAAATTAAAAGCAAATTGTTTAGAAGAACTAAGTGCCTCTTATTGCATATTCAAAGTATTCGAACTGGATGCCCCAGATATAACTTACATCAATTTATCAAATGGCTCCATTCAAAATACAGAAATTTTATTAAATGGTCTCAAAAAATTCGAAAATTTAGAATTGTTAAATATTAGGGAAAACAATTTTCAAGGTTTAGATCCTTCAGCGTATGTCACTGCAAAAAAAATATTATACTTGGATATAAAAGATGATGTAGAATATATACCACAGATACTATCATTTGGCTACTACGGCACAAATGCAGAATTAATTGGGCGAATTCTGTGCAAAAGTTCTCCAATAACTAATAGGCCATTTGTAGGAATCACTCTATCAAATATGGAGCTAGGTTATAATAATTCATGTAATATATATTTTATTACAGAGCTTTATGGTTATGGAAGGGAAAAAATGATTTTCTTCCACAAATATTATAAATTCTTGGCAACTATAATGTTTTTTGATCCATCAAATGCAAGTTTTTTCAATGTTGTTACAAATCACTATAAGTCGGCAAGGGGCATATTCGGTGATGAAACAAAGTATATTTTATTTGGTGCAACAATAGAATATAAAGAAGACTGCCAAGAGGTTTTAGACTTTCATAAAGACAATCCAAACATAAAATTAATATATTCAATAGGTGTGGATACAGTCGACAAAGAATTTAATTTAAAAAAAAAATTGCAGGATTATATTTTTAAAATAAACAATAAATAAAAAATTTTAATATCTTTTTAAATCAAAATAATTATTATTTCTTTTTTGGTAATTATTTTTTTTTTTTTTATATTTATTTTTATTTTTTTAAAATTATATAAAATTATTTATCAAATAAATAAAAAAAATAAAAAGAAGGAATAAATTGAGGATTTAGTATTTATTTATTATAATTTTGACCAATTTCATCAATTGGCACCGAGAAAATATTTTATTTGGTTTAATAAAAGGTTTTAAGTTTTTATTTTAAGTTTTTGATGAAATATTTTTTGTCTGTTAAATTTGGTTTTAATTTTCTCCCCTTTTTTTTCGTTGCTTTTTAGGATTAAGATTTTTTTTAACAATTTTATTTTAATTTTTTTATTTTAAATAAAATTTTTTTTTGATTTCATCATTTTTTTTTTAATTATTTTTTTATCACAATAATAACTGTATCATATTAAATAAAATAAATAAAATGAATTTGTAAGTATAGTAATTATTTGTAATAATAATAGTATTAATTAAGAATTTTAATAGTAATTATACACTAATTTTTATTTAAATAATTTAAATAAAATTTTTTTATTAAATTTTTTTATTTTTTATTTTTTTAATTTTTTAATTTAGAGATGGAGAATCAGATCCAAACAAATTATCTAATTACATTCAATCTTATTCTAAATATTCATTTTATCTTACCATTAAATTAGATTTATTAAAATATATTCAACAAAAAAAAAATAATGATGATTTGAAAAAATTTATTGACGAGAAAGTCATCGAACCAAATAGATTATTATCAACAGATATAAATAATAGAGTCACTTTTTTTGACAGTCCCTCACCAAATCATAATTTATTGCTGCCAATCCAAACAAGAATCAAATTATTGGAATCGTATAAAGACAAATACGATGAAAAATATAAAGAGGAAGATACTTATCTAAAGAAGCGTTTTGAAGATTTAATTAAAGGTTATCAAGAGTCAATTAGATTCTATGTAGACGAGGCTATAAAATTAAGAAACAGCGAAAAGAGAATGAACTTATACGATAGCAATGTCTATTTGCTAAGTGAGGACCTGGAGTATAGAGAGGTTGCTTTGGACACTGCATATCAAATAGCATGCTATGATAAGCAAGAGTACGACTATGTTAGAAAGAATTTAAGAGGTCTTAGTATCAGTAGCCAACTAGGAGGTGTTTATTTTAAAGTAGATAATGATTCCAGACTACTATCGCCGGCAAAAGAAGACGCTGTCTTTAGATTTTACAGTTTACTCTATGGTTTGGACCAACAATTGATATCACCAACTCAATTATTAATATTAAGTAAAATACCTATTTTACCATCAATTTTATCAGAGTCTCCAGAAAGAAAGTTAATGGCTAAAATTAAAAAGGAAAATGGTTTCAAATCTTCAAGAGATGTCTTTATCTTGGACCCAGAGTTGAAAGTTAAAGTAGATGCGGCCATGTTGTTTGAAAGAACATTACCAATTCAAGGTAGTTTGTTTAAAGAGGGACAAACTTTCGAAAAATTTCTAGAGGGTATTGAGGCAAATCAAGCATCAGAATCATTACTGGGTACAATTAATGAGTATAGTTTCAGTAGTCATGTATTGGCAAGTTTGTTACTATTACCAACTGATTATAAACCGGAAAATTTAATTATTGACAATAAAATGAATATTATTGGAATCGACAATGATTGTTGTTTAGAGTCTGATGAAATTACAATAGTTAATGGAACTACATTTGTAAATGTTAAAAATATTCTTTATTTCATAGACCCATTGATGAACAAACAAGTTAACGAGCTTTCAAGATCCCAGTTTATAAATCAACACCCTACACTTTTAATACTGGAATGGCTTTCGCAATTACTTGAAAAAGAAAATGTTTATAACCAACTAGTAGAGAAATCGCTATCAACAATCTACCCACATACACCAAAAGCAAATACATGTAATTTAATTAAAGAGAGCTTAAATTTACCTTTAAAGTTTCCAGTTGGATTCATTGACTCATTGAAAGAAAGATTTATAAAAATTCAAAAGATACTGATCGAGAAGCCAGAGACCACACATCAAGAACTTTTTAAACAAATTCACAGATTTGCATCAGTTTATTATGATGCAGTATCAAAGATTTATAATAATCCATTAGATAGAATTGCATCTATAAAAAACAACAATAAAGATGAGAATCTCAAAGCATACTTTTCAGAAAACTCTTCAAAATATCAATCATTTCAAACAGAAATGCTTCAAAATAAATTCCTTCCAACAACACCCACAATAACCATAAAAGAATCAATAGTTAACATTGTCAATAATTTAAAGGTAGCAGATTTAATTTCACTAAAAGAAGAGGTTTTTTTTCAAATTATCAAATTGGTTATTAAATTAATAAAAGAATCAAAAATTATATTTCAATTTAAAAACTTATGGAATGTATGCTGTCAAGAATTATTAATAATGTTAATGAGAAATAATGCTAAAGAAGAAGTTATTCAAGATTTTTTAGTTTGTTTTGGTATTAATGCTAGCCAACTCAATAAAGATGAACATGGTAAACCAAAGTCATTGATTCATCAAATTATTTCAAGAATACAAACTGCTTCTTCAAAAATTAAATATATTCGAATGTTTGTATCAATGGGACTTAATATAGATGTTACTGAAAATAGTTTATCACCTTTAGATTTGGTTCTTTGTTCTGATAATAAATCTGAATACATAGAACTATTCATAGAATTGGTAAAGCTGGGTGCTGGTAAAACTTTAAATGAAAATAAAATATCTAAATTTTATTTTTCATTAACAGAAAACGAACAAAAAGACCTTTTCAAGACTATGAAATCTATCACAAATATAAATCCAAAAGTGGGGTGGTTGTTGGCACTTAATCATCTTTTTCCATTGGCTCCCATCGGTGCCAATATAGACTCAGTCATTAGTGAAGGCCATGTATTTGCAACATCAACAAGGGGTACAAGAATTATAAGAGAAAAGCACTGGGGAACAATATTTGATTTAAATAACAATCCGATAAGAATTAATAAGTATGGTAAAAGAACTGTGCCTTTTATTGAAGACCGTGGCTTTAAAATTTATTTAAAATTTGAACCTCAATTTCCTGGTACAGAGCTAGCAGTTTCATTACTTGGTCAACAGTTGTTCGGAAATTACTCAACATATTCAGAATTAGCAGTCATTAATGGATTCGTCGTTTTATTGGTTCAGGCAGCTAAAGGGGAGCCATTATATGAATTTGTAGAGAAAAATAATGGCATGTCGAGATTAAATTTATTAAACAAATCAAATATATCAAAACAATTGATAATGGAAATGTTGATTAATAATGGAGATGGTAACTTAGGAAACTATATTATTGAGGAAAAACAATGTGGCCATAGACAAAGCGAAGAGAATTCATATGAATATTTCATTGTCCCTATTGATAGCGATCAATCATTTATGCCACCAGTCACAAAAGAGATTAATGGATCATTTTTTGATAAAAAGAAACTATCTCTACAAGTAGATACCTGTCTATTCCTTTTAGATCAAATGAATGACAACGTTCATAAAGATGTTGTGTTGTGCTTAAGAGATAGAGACTTTGCCACTGAATTAAAAAATTGGTTGGACTCACTAAGTTCGATGCATTATACATGGATTGGATTCTTTAAAAAGCTTAAAATCGAAGGTATCTTAGGATCACAGTCAATTATTGGTGTATTGTTTGTACCAGGTCAAATCAAACATTTATTTTCAAAAATGGTTAGGTTGCAAAATTTAATTAAAAAAGATATTACTCATATGGCATTATTAGAGTCATTAGAACCGCTAGTTGGAAAAAGATATAAACCAATTACCCAATTGAAAACAATATCTTTTTTATATAGATGCAAACATTTTAAGAATACAAAAGATGAAAGTTTATTAACATCATCTTCCTATTTATCAGATCTTGTATTGGAGTCAAGAGATATACCAAATGTATCAACGTTTAAGAATCAAATTAATTCAGGTAGATATGGACCAAAACAAGCGATAGAAGAATTAAATGAAATAAAAAGAGAACACCATAGTATAGAGCAAATTATTAAAGATTTAAGTGATGTAGAAAATCCAAACACTGAACGAATAGATAATTCCATTAAATTAGAGTCCCTAGACAATAGCATCACCGATGTTTTATTAGAGAAAGTATTAAAGCAATCCAATCTAGAGAAACTAACACCAAGTCAGCAAAAGCATTTATTCAAATTGATAGCAAAAAAAGAACCAATAAATATTTATATTAGAAGGACCAAAACATTAATATCATCCATACTACTAACATTCAACTTTAATAGTGTTGTAGTATTGGATTTATCATACTCGTATCAATTAACTTCAATCGCCAATGGTATCATAATAAGTAGTCCAATCGAAATGCCCTGTTTAAAGAAAATAAAAATGGATCATTGTAATAAACTTTACTACCTAAAATTAAAAGCAACTTGTTTAGAAGAACTAAGTGCCTCTTATTGCATATTCAAAATATTCGAACTAGATGCCCCAGATATAACTTATATGAATTTATCAAATGGCTCCATTCAAAATATAGAAATTTTAATTAATGGTCTCAAAAAATTTGAAAATTTAGAATTGTTAAATATTAGGGAAAACAATTTTCAAGGTTTAGATCCTTCAGCGTATGTCACTGCAAAAAAAATACTATACTTGGATATAAAAGAAGATGATGTAGAAAATATACCACAGATACTATCATTTGGTTACTATGGCACAAATGCAGAATTAATTGGGCGAATTCTGTGCAAAAGTTCTCCAATAACTAATAGTCCAGTTATAGGCTTTACACTAGCACATATGGAACTAGGTTATAAAAATTCATGTAATATATATTTTATTACAGAGCTTTATGGTTATGGAAGGGAAAAAATGATTTCCTTCCACAAATATTATAAATTCTTGGCAACTATAATGTTTTTTGATCCATCAAATGCAAATTTTTTCAATATTGTTACAAATCACTATAAGTCGGCAAGGGACATATTCGGAGATGAAACAAAGTATATTTTATTTGGTGCAACAATAGAACATAAAGAAGACTGCCAAGAGGTTTTAGATTTTCATAAAGACAATCCAAACATAAAATTAATATATTCAATAGGTGTGGATACAGCCGACAAAGAATTTAATTTAAAAAAAGAATTACAAGATTATATTTTTAAAATAAACTATAAATAAAAAAAATTTTAATATCTTATTAATAAAAATAATTATTATTTCTTTTTTGGTAATTATTTATTTTTACTTTTATTTTTATTTTTATTTTATTTTTTTTTAAAATTATATATAATTATTATTTCAAATAAATATATATTAAAAGAAGGAATAAATTTAGGATTTAATATTTATTTATTATAATTTTGACCAATTTCATAAATTGGCATTAAGAAAATATTTATATGGGTTAAAAAAAGGTTAAGTTTTTTTTTATTTTAAGTTTTGATGAAAAATATTTTTTTGTCTTTTATATTTGGTATCAATTATCTCCCTTTTTTTTCGTTACTTTCTAGGATTAAGATATTTTTTTTTAATAATTTTATTTTAATTTTTTTATTTTAAAATTTTTTTTTGGTTTGACTATTTTTTTTATTATTTTTTTTTTATATCACATTAATAACTGTATCATATTAAATAAAAAGTAAATAAAATGAATTTGTAAGTGCAGTAATCATTGGAAATAATAATAGTATTAATTAAGAATTTTAATAGTTATTGTACTGATTTCTTTTTTATTTTTATTTAAATTTTTTTTTTTTTTATATTTTAATTTTTTAATTTAGAGATGGAGAATCAGATCCAAACAAATTATCTAATTACATTCAATCTTATTCTAAATATTCATTTTATCTTACCATTAAATTAGATTTATTAAAATATATTCAACAAAAAAAAAATAATGATGATTTGAAAAAATTTATTGACGAGAAAGTCATCGAACCAAATAGATTATTATCAACAGATATAAATGATAGAGTCACTTTTTTTGACAGTCCCTCACCAAATCATAATTTATTGCTGCCAATCCAAACTAGAATCAAATTATTGGAATTGTATAAAGACAAATACGATGAAAAACATATTTATCTAAAGAAGCGTATTGAAGATTTAATTAAAGGTTATCAAGAGTCAATTAGATTCTATGTAGACGAGGCTATAAAATTAAGAAACAGCGAAAAGAGAATGAACTTATACGATAGCAATGTCTATTTGCTAAGTGAGGACCTGGAGTATAGAGAGGTTGCTTTGGACACGGCATATCAAATAGCATGCTATGATAAGCAAGAGTACGACTATGTTAGAAAGAATTTAAGAGGTCTTAGTATCAGTAGCCAACTAGGAGGTGTTTATTTTAAAGTAGATAGTGGTTCTAGACTACTATCGCCGGCAAAAGAAGACGCTGTCTTTAGATTTTACAGTTTACTCTATGGTTTGGACCAACAATTGATATCACCAACTCAATTATTAATATTAAGTAAATTACCTATTTTACCATCAATTTTATCAGAGTCTCCAGAAAGAAAGTTAATGGCTAAAATTAAAAAGGAAAATGGTTTCAAATCTTCAAGAGATGTCTTTCTCTTTGATCCAGAGTTGAAAGTTAGAGTGGATGCGGCCATGTTATTAGAAAGAACATTACCAATTCAAGGTAGTTTGTTTAAAGAGGGACAAACTTTCGAAAAATTTCTAAAGGGTATTGAGGCAAATCAAGCATCAGAATCATTACTGGGTACAATTAATGAGTATAGTTTCAGTAGTCATGTATTGGCAAGTTTGTTACTATTACCAACTGATTATAAACCGGAAAATTTAATTATTGACAATAAAATGAATATTATTGGGAATCGACAATGATTGTTGTTTAGAGTCTGATGAAATTACAATAGTTAATGGAACTACATTTGTAAATGTTAAAAATATTCTTTATTTCATAGACCCATTGATGAACAAACAAGTTAACGAGCTTTCAAGATCCCAGTTTATAAATCAACACCCTACACTTTTAATACTGGAATGGCTTTCGCAATTACTTGAAAAAGAAAATGTTTATAACCAACTAGTAGAGAAATCGCTGTCAACAATCTACCCACATACACCAAAAGCAAATACATGTAATTTAATTAAAGAGAGCTTAAATTTACCTTTAAAGTTTCCAGTTGGATTCATTGACTCATTGAAAGAAAGATTTATAAAAATTCAAAAGATACTGATCGAGAAGCCAGAGACCACACATCAAGAACTTTTTAAACAAATTCACAGATTTGCATCAGTTTATTATGATGCGGTATCAAAGATTTATAATAATCCATTAGATAGAATTGCATCTATAAAAAACAACAATAAAGATGAGAATCTCAAAGCTTACTTTTCAGAAAACTCTTCATTTCAAACAGAAATTCTTCAAAATAAATTCCTTTCAACAACATCCACAATAACCATAAGAGAATCAATAGTTAACATTGTCAATAATTTAAAAGTAACAGATTTAATTTCACTAAAAGAAGAGGTTTTTTTTCAAATTATCAAATTGATTATTAAATTAATAAAAGAATCAAAAATTATATTTCAATTTAAAAACTTATGGAATGTATACTGTCAAGAATTATTAATAATGTTAATGAGAAATAATGCTAAAGAAGATGTTATTCATGATTTTTTAGGTTGTTTTAGTATTAATGATAGCCAACTCAATAAAGATGAACATGGTAAACCAAAGTCATTGATTCATCAAATTATTTCAAGAATACAAACTGCTTCTTCAAAAATTAAATATATTCGAATGTTTGTATCACTGGGTTTAGATATAAATGTTACGGAATATAGTTTATCACCTTTAGATTTGGCTCTTTGTTCTGATAATAAATCTGAATACATAGAACTATTCATAGAATTGGTAAAGCTGGGTGCTGGTAAAACTTTAAATGAAAATACAATATCTGAATTTTATTTTTCATTAACAGAAAACGAACAAAAATACCTTTTCAAGACTATGAAATCTATCACAAATATAAACCCAAAAGTGGAGTGGTTGTTGGCACTTAATCATCTTTTTCCATTGGCTCCCATCGGTGCCAATATAGACTCAGTCATTAGTGAAGGCCATGTATTTGAAACATCAACAAGGGGTACAAGAATTATAAGAGAAAAGCACTGGGGAACAATATTTGATTTAAATAACAATCCGATAAGAATGAATAAGTATGGTAAAAGAACTGTGCCTTTTATTGAAGACCGTGGCTTTAAAATTTATTTAAAATTTGAACCTCAATTTCCTGGTACAGAGCTAGCAGTTTCATTACTTGGTCAACAGTTGTTCGGAAATTACTCAACATATTCAGAATTAGCAGTCATTAATGGATTCATCGTTTTATTGGTTCAAGCAGCTAAGGGGGGATCATTACATGAATTTGTGGAGAAAAATAATGGCATGTCGAGATTAAATTTATTAAACAAATCAAATATATCAAAACAATTGATAATGGAAATGTTGATTAATAATGGAGATGGTAACTTAGGAAACTATATTATTGAGGAAAAACAATGTGGTCATAGACAAAGCGAGGAGAATTCATGTGAATATTTCATTGTCCCTATTGATAGCGATCAATCATTTATGCCACCAGTCACAAAAGAGATTAATGGATCATTTTTTGATAAAAAGAAACTATCTCTACAAGTAGATACCTGTCTATTCCTTTTAGATCAAATGAATGACAACATTCATAAAGATGTTGTATTGTGCTTAAGAGATAGAGACTTTGCCACTGAATTAAAAAATTGGTTGGACTCACTAAGTTCGATGCATTATACATGGATTGGATTCTTTAAAAAGCTTAAAAACAAAGGTATCTTAGGGTCACAGTCAATTAATGATTCAACTATTGGTGTATTATTTGTACCAGGTCAAATCAAACATTTATATTCAAAAATGGTTAGGTTGCAAAATTTAATTAAAAAAGATATTACTCATATGGCATTATTAGAGTCATTAGAACCGCTAGTTGGAAAAAGATATAAATCAATTATTGCCCAATCGAAAACAATGTCTTTTTTATATAGATATCAACATTTTAAGAATACAAAAGATGCAAGTTTATTAACATCATCTGCCTATCTATCAGATCTTGCATTGGAATCAAGAGATATACCAAATGTATCAATGATTCAGAATCAGATTAATTCAGGTAGTTATGGACCAAAACAAGCGATAGAAGAATTAAATGAAATAAAAAGAGAACACCATAGTATAGAGCAAATTATTAAAGATTTAAGTGATGTAGAAAACTCGAACACTGAACGAATAGATAACTCCATTAAATTAGAGTCCCTAAACAATAATAGCATCACTGATGTTTTATTAGAGAAAGTATTAAAGCAATCCAATCTAGAGAAACTAACACAGGACCAAGAAAAAAATTTATTCAAATTGATAGCAAAAAAAGAACTAATAAATATTTATATTAGAGGGACCAAAACATTAACATCATCCACACTAAAATTCAACTTTAATAGTGTTGTAGTATTGGATTTATCATACTCGTATCAATTAACTTCAATCGCCAATGGTATCATAATAAGTAGTCCAATCGAAATGCCCTGTTTAAAGAAAATAAAAATGGATCATTGTAATAAACTTGATTACCTAAAATTAAAAGCAAATTGTTTAAAAGAACTAAGTGCCTCTTTTTGCATATTCAAAGTATTCGAACTAGATGCCCCAGATATAACTTATATGAATTTATCAAATGGCTCCATTCAAAATATAGAAATTTTATTAAATGGTCTCAAAAAATTCCATAATTTAGAATTGTTAAATATTAGCAAAAACAATTTTCAAGGTTTAGATCCTTCGGCTTATGTCACCGCGAAAAAGTTAATATACTTGGATATAAAAGATAATGTTGAAAATAAACTACAAATACTCTCATTTGGACACTACGGCACAAATTCAGAATTAATTGGGCGAATTCTGTGCAAAAGTTCTCCAATAACTAAACCAGTTTTATGTTACACAGAAGGAAATATGGAACTAGATTATAATGATTCATGTAATATATATTTTATTACAGAAGTTGAATATTATGGAAGGGGCAAAATGGATTTATTCCACAAATATTATAAATTCTTTGTAACTATAATGTTTTTTGATCCATCAAATGCAAATTTTTTCAATATTGTTACAACTCACTATAAGTCGGCAAGGGGCATATTCGGAGATGAAACAAAGTATATTTTATTTGGTGCAACAAAAGAATATAAAGAGGACTGCCAAGAGGTTTTAGACTTTCATAAAGACAATCCAAACATAAAATTAATATATTCAATAGGTGTGGATACAGCCGACAAAGAATTTAATTTAAAAAAACAACTACAGGATTATATTAAATTTTTAAAATAAACTATAAATAAAAAAAATTTTAATATCTTTTTAAATCAAAATAATTATTATTTCTTTTTGGTAAATTATTTAATTTTTATTTTTTTTAATTTTATTTTTACTTTTTTTTTTTACCCCATTTTTCAAAAATAAAATTATTTTATTCACATTATTTATTTTAAATTTTTTTTTTTATACTTTATTGATTCATTTTTATAAAAAATGAAAATACTATTACTATTAATATATTTTATAGGTTTGGTTTATTGTAAAAATGTTAAAGACTTACTGAATCAATATTCAGAATTTAAATTAGAAGCTAATATAGATCATTTAAATGAAGATGATAAAAAGATGCTCAACTATTTATTTAAAGTATCAGATATAATGGATGATATATTTTGGCTGGAATCCATTGGGGAAAAAAGTGATTTTTTAAAATCGATAAAAAGCAAAGATGAAAAAGAGTATGCAAAAATTAACTATGGTCCATGGGATAAATTTACTGAAAAACCTTTTATTAATGGCTATGGTAAAAAACCCAAGGGTGCAAAATTTTATCCAGATGATATTACAGAAAAAGAGTTTGATCAATTGAAAAATAAAGAAAAGGATAGTTGGTATACCCTTTTAAAAAGAAATAAGCATGGTCAATTATACACAAAATGGTATCATGAAGGTAATATTTATTTAAAATTTTAAAAAAACTATTATATCATTAATTTTTTATATTTAATATAAAATTTATAGAGTTTGCTGATCAAATAAAAAAAGCTGCATCACTTTTAGAAAGTGCATCTAAATATTCAACAAATCAAAGTTTTAAAAACTACCTAAAATTAAGAGCCAAGGCACTTCGTACTGATGAGTACTATGAGAGTGATATTGCATGGATGGATCTAACTAACAATACAATTGATTTTATTGTTGGTCCAATTGAAAGTTATGCTGATGGATTCAAAGGAATAAAAGCTGCTCACAGTGCCCAAATATTAATAAAAGATTTAGACTGGAGTAAAAGAATAGAAAAGTACAATGGAATGCTACCCCAGCTTCAAGAGAATTTACCAGTAAGCAGCTTATACAAACAAGATCAAACCTCAAAGGGCGATATGTATGTGTATTATTTGGTTTATTGTAGAGGTGATTACAATTGGGGTTCAAAAAACATTGCTATCAACTTACCAAATGATCCAAATGTGCAAAAAGTAAAAGGAACCAGAAAGCTTCAATTAAAGAATGCAATGCAAGCTAAATATGAAAGAATTCTAATACCAATGGCCAATATTCTAGTTGATGAATCACAACTTAAACATGTTGTATTTGACGACGGTTTCTTTCAAAATACTATGTTCCATGAAGTTGCCCATGGTTTTGGTGTTAAATTTGTTGTTACCAATAGTAGCATCTCTGTAAGGAAAGCATTAGAAGAAACCTATAGTTCATTAGAAGAAGCCAAAGCTGATATTACTGGTATTTTCTTTATTCAGTATCTTGTAAATAAAGGTGAATTAAAATTAGACATTATGGATTGCTATACATCTTATTTGGCTGGTGTTCTTCGTTCCATCCGTTTTGGTGAATCCACTGCACATGGATTAGCAAATATGATTAGTTATAACTTTATTACTGAAATGGGTGGTTTCAATAAAACAGAATTAGGAAAATATAGAGTTGATAAAGACAAAATGGAAAAAGCAGTTTCTGAATTGGTAAAAAGAATTATAACTATTCAAGGTGATGGAAATAAAAAAGTTGCTCAAAAATTTATAGAAAAGTATGGTTATATTAAAGATGAATTAAAAGAACATTTAGACACTATCTCAAAAGCCGGTATACCAAAAGATATTGTATTTGATCAAGATAAAAAAAATATTGGTATTTAAAAAAATAAATAAATAAATATAAAACAAAAAAACCAAAATTATCCATTTAATTTACATTTTTATTTTATTTTACATACTAATATTATTATTGTAGTTATTACTATTTTTTTCTTTTAATATTTCCATCTTTATATTAAAAGTATTGTTTAATAATAACTCTATATTGAAATTGTTTGGAATAGGTTCGAATATTATTTTTGATAATGCATAGCTATCAATACTTTTATCATACTCTATAGCTGCATTTGATCCCAAAAATAATTTTAACTGATCCATTAATGTAAATCTATTAATTTTTTCACTTGCATACGCCAACATTAATAAATTAAAATGGTTTTGAATTTTGGTCTGTTGGGTTGGTGTTAGGTTGTTTAAATCAATTTCTTGTGATTGAAGTTGGTATTGTTGCTGTTGTTCGATTTGCGCTAGTTTTTGTAAAATTTGAAATCTTTGTTGATTTAGTTCTTGTTGTTTATTAAAGAGAGAGTTATATGTTATTTGATCCCGTTGATTATAATTTTGCATAGATGCCTCTATTCCATTTTGAGAGTTTATTAATGCCTGTAATTGAGAGGTTAGAATTCGTTTTTGTTGTTCAATGGTTAAATTATTAGCTTGATCTGAGAATGAATGTGGTATATGTAGTTGTGCTTGATGTTTTATTTGTGGTTGTGATTGCTGTAATTGCTGTGGTTGTTGTGGTTGTTGCTGTTGCTGTGGTTGTTGTGGTTGTAGCTGAGCTTGATGTTCTATTTGTATTTGTAGTTGTTGTGATTGTGGCTGTTGAACATTTTTCTCTAAATCTTGTTGTATTTGATTTTTCTTTAGTTTTTGAATTGCTTCATTTAAATATTGAAACGTTTCAAAATGACGATTAAATTTTAAAGTTAATTTTTGTGATAGGTTTGAAATTTTAAAAACTTGATGAATTTTATATTCAATATTTAAAAGTTCATCTAATGTGAATGTTTCTGGTTGGTTCTTTTTAATAAAAATACAAGCTGGTAGTTTGCTTCTTCTTGAGGTGCTTGAAAATGACAAGTAATCAAAGTAATAAGATCCTAGACGACCTTCTATAAACTTTTTTTTAGTGTTATCTGGTGTATAGCAGTTATATTCTACTCGAGATTTATCTGCTAGAAAACTATTTAAGTTTTTACAAGTTTCACAATTACGTTCGCAGTGGATAGGATCTAAAGAATAACCTTTAATTAATACTAGTTTCGGTCTAATGTATCTAATTATAGTCAAGTCATATAATTCTGATAAACTGTTAATATTAACCAATTCTTCATCTATTTGCTGTAAACGTTTTCGGTGTTGTTGCTCTTGTTGGTCACCTCGATTACCCGTATCGCTAATTATATTGCTTAATATTTCCAACATAAATTCAAATACTATTTCAGATTTAACTTTTTTGTCTAAAATGGCATTGAATAATATTTTCTGTACATTTCTAGTGTCACCCTGTGTTTGTGTTATTTGATACCAAAGCTTAATTAATTCAATGCACGATGACTCTGCAGTGATTCTTGATGGTATTATGTTTCTATTCTTTGCAATATCACTCAATATCCTATGTTCATATTTATCTTTAATTTCTTTATTTAGATACTCTCCATAATATTTTACAAGCTCACCAATCTCTTGAAGATCGCTTCTTGATAGCCTTGGGTCTGATAAAAGATTACTGATAGCTGGCTGAAAACTATACATAACAAATTCTTGATAATGATCAAATAAAATTGGGAAAACCGGTTTTATTTCAATTAAATTGGAATGAAGTTTACCCTCTATAATTCTTGGTGTTAAAAATGTTGAGTGTGATTTTATAAAATCGTGAATCGCTTGTATATTGGGTGTACTATTTGGTTTATATTTAACTAAAGATTCAAACTCTTGTTTGATCTTTTTCTCTTCAGGAGTATCTGTTAGAATAATTGGAGTTGATACTTTTTCTAAAACCAGATATTTTTCTTTTTGTGCCTTATTTTGGACAGAATTGTTGTCAGAGAGTGAATTTTCCACTTTAAACAACGCTTCGTTTCCCATGGATGATTGTTCAAAAAATTGATAACCCTCCTCTAAAGAAACGTTTGTTGGTTCTGTTTTTCTTTGTAGTATTGGAGCAGATAAACCATCATAACCATTTAAATAATTATTATTTAATATTTGTGCACTATCAAACTCTAAATGTTGAACTGGTGTTATTTCATTAGAGTCTGCAAGTAAATCTATTTGCTTTATCTCATTATTCATTTGATGAATATCTAACTTTGATGAATGTGCTCTTTGTTCGGATTCATAAAATGGTTGTAAAGTTCTTTTACCTGTCTTGAATAAATTGAATATTAGACATACTCTATAACCACTTGTAATAGGTTTAAATTCAAAGTTACAGTATTGGAGGAATGCTGAATAGTTTATTTCATCTGGTAATGTCTCTAAATTTAATAATAAGGGCCTGTAGTCACCATATTTGATTTCTAATTCACCTCCTTTGTGTTCACTGGGCAATACTAAACAGATTGTACCAACTAAATTTTGATTTATTTGTTGTGGTATTTCGACTTTGCCACTTTCGCTGCTACATATTAAAAGCCTACTTAGATTTAATTGAAACTTTTCTTCATCTTGAAAACCCAGTCCATTTTTACACTTTTCTTTAATATTCTCTATAATTTTCAACCACCTTGGATCATTGCTAGTGTTATTTAATCTACTACCCAATTTGACCATCTCTGCCGATATTAAGCATACTTTACTTGCATCTCCATATAATTCAACCACACTTTTTAACTGTTCTTGACAAAATGGAAATTTGAATACTATTTCATTACCTCTAACTCGGTCTTCTATTCCTAATTCAAAGTTTGCTTTTAATTTACCCTGAAAATGATAATTTGATTTAGACTCTTGGTATTCTTCTATAAAGTTCTCTAAAAACAATATTGATTCATTGAAACCAACACTGTCATAACCATTAAATATTTCATTGTTGTTTGTTACCCCCATATTTATTATTTTAATATTAATATAATCATATTATAACTTGGAACTTTATGATTATTTAAAAAAAATAATATTAAAATAAAAAAAACTATTTATAAATTTTATAATAAATATAAAATAAAAAATTAATATTTTAGATTTTCGAGATTTATATTTACATAAATAAATACCTACCCTTGGTAATAATACTTTATGTTTTTTGGTTTTTTTTTTTTTTTTTTTTTTTTTTTTTTTTTGTTTTTTTTTTTGATTGCAAAGTCGAAAGATCAAATAATAAAGAAAAAAAAAATTTTTAAAAAAAAAAATTTTAAAAAAAATTTAAAAAAAAATAAAATAAATTTTCATTTAAATCCAATCATCAAAATAATATCTTCTTTGTTCTAAAAATATTTGTAATTAATTAATTATTATTTGATTCCTTTAAAACTATTTAACTATTAATAATAATAATATATTTTTAATTTTTTAATTTTTTTTTATGATTATTAAAGAATAAAGAATTAGTTTGCTTTAATATATTAAATAATAATATATCTTTATTTACTTTTTTTTTTTTTTTTTTTTTTTTCAATAAAAATAATTTTATGAAAAAGAGTAAATTTCTTGTTACATTGAAAAGATTATTTCCTAAACAAGAATATACTCTTGTGACAAATTAAATTGTGATGTAGTTGAAAATACATCTCTGTTTATTAAAAGTGATTTTTAATTGCATCTTTAGAAAATTACTATTTTTTGATTGAAATTTATTCTGGTTATTTAGATTCAAGAAATATGTTTATAGATAATAAAAAAAAAAACTATGTTATAAATATATGTCCATTAATTGTAATTAAAAAAAAATTAAAAAATATAAAAAAAATAAAAAATATAAAAAAATGAAACAAAACTAAAAATTAAAAAAAATTAAATTTAATTTTTTTTCTGAATTCACTTTTTTTTTTTTATAAAAATGGTTACATATATTTTACTAAATATATGTATTATTTTTTTTATTATAATAATGTATTAAAAACCTTTTCAGAAAGAAAGAGTTTTTTTCATTTAAATTGGTGCACACACAGCCGTCGCCACCGCTGCCCACATAACACACTTTCAAAGAGTTTTCGAAATCATTTTCAAACTTCACTATAATGGCGTCAACCCACAAAACTCTGTATTATCATAAAAATTTCAAATATATATGCATCTAATCTTTTTTTTTTTTATGGGTTACATCTTGATTATTGAACGAAAAACTTGTGTGTATCAATCAATTTTTTTTTTTCTTTTTTTTCTTTTTTCCCATCCATTTTTGATTTTAAAAATTTTTTTTTTTTTTTCGTAAAAAAAAAAAAATATCTTTATTTTTTTTATTTTTTTTTTTATATGTATCATTTTATTATCAAAAAAAAACCAAAAAAAAAAAAAACCAAATAATAAAAAATAAATAATTAAATCATGATATTGTGATTTTGAAATATCAAAAAATTCTTAACTTTATCCAATAGTATTTAAAAAAAAAAAAAAAAAAAAATACATATAAATTTATTCATTCAAGCATTAGCAAAACTAAATATCTTCAAACTATAGCTTATTGTATTTAAGTGGTCTATTTTTTCTCGCCCATTAACACCCCTAAATCTCAAAGAATATTTTTTTAAAAAAATTTTTTTTTAAAAAAGCAACACCTGTTTTTTTTTCTCTATTTTATTTTATTTTTTTTTATTTTTATTTTTTTTATGTTTTTCTTCGCTAACATATTGTATTTTTTATAAAAAAAACAAAAAAAAAAAAATAATTAAATAGTTTAAAAAGAATAATGATGGAAGATGAAGAAGGTGTAGTTGTAAATATACCCAAATAAAAATAACGAAAAAAAAAAATTATCAAAACTATAATCTCTAACATTCATATTTATTTTTTACAAATAGACTCAAGAAAAAAAACTTGAAATAAATGGTATATTAGCAAATCTTAAATACAATGAAAATAATAAAGAGATGGTCTATTCGTCAATCAAGAGACTAAGAAAAATTCTTTGCCTTGAAACGGAAAACCTTCCAGCAACAATTTCGTATATTTTTGTTATTGGTTTGATTCCATTTTTAATCGATTTATTAAAAAAATACAGCAAAAAAAGTGTGGATCGAGATGAAAAGGAGGTCGAGGTTATACTAAGTTTCGACTACTACAAAAAAGAGAACCAATATCACGATTTAACCTATAAAGATTATATCATCGTTTTAGAAACGAAAATACTATATGAAATTGTATGGTCAATGGCAAATATAGCATCAGGTTCGACCGATGAGTGTTTGTACTTGGCGAGGAGAGGCGTTATACCACCTTTGGTTAGTCTATTAAAAAAATCGAATGTTGGTATCATCGAAAATTGCTTGTGGGCTATTTGTAATTTGGCTGGTGATAATGGCTTGTCCAGAAAAAATATCCTCGATACCGATGCTCTTGAGACTATAGTCGAAATTTTTTATAAAATCAATTCATTAGAAAATATTGAAGATAAATCATTATTAAAACATATATGTTGGGCTTGTTAGTATTTTATTTAATATTTATTAATCAAACTAATCAAACTAATCAAAATGAATATTAATTTTTTTTTTTTTTTAATTTATAAATTATTAACCTTCTAGTCCAACAAATGTTTTCAATATTGGATATAAGTATGGAAAGAATTATTTTGCTATTACCAGTATTCGATAAAACATTAGATCTATTAATGCAAGTAATGGAAAACTTGGACGTGGAGGAGGCAATTATAAACATATGTCGCCCATTGGTTAATTTAGCATCAAGTTTCAACCCTCAAATTTTTTCATATATCCGATCTTTTAATTTTGTTGATAAGATGATTCAATTGTTATATCATAAAACCAATGATTGTTTAATTAATAACCTGGCCCTAATTTTTATTGGTCATATATTTCAACAGTACCAAGAAGATGATATACTAAGAATCCTCAATAGAAATAAAGGTTTTTTAAAGTATATTTTAAAAAATGTAAATCTTTTAAGTAAGAATAATGAGAGTCTTAATGATTTAGTATGGATCATTGGTAATATAGTCTTAAATGCCCCCTCTATTCAGCTACTAATCGACAGTGGTATAGTCAAAAAACTTTGTAATATTAGCACCGAACACTTTGAACGCAGAATATCGCTCAAACCCAGAGATGATAGAGATATCATCTTTACAATCTGTAAAATAATTCTAAATAGTTCTCCAGATCAAGTGTTATATATGGTAGATTTAGGTTGTATCCATTATTTTTCTAATTACTTGTTTGAAATGAAAAATTTACATAATAGAACTATCGGGATTATGTTGGATTGTTTGGTTGTATTTTTAGAAAGGGGTAAATCTTTTATGGACATAAACGAAGATAATAATGGTGACGGTAACGATAATAATAATAATAAAGATCATAACCCAATGGCTCAATTTTTTAAAAATGAAAACCTTCTTTCTCGAATGATTAAATTTAAAGAAATTTATCTTTTTACACCAGAAGTTGATTTAATCATTAATTCATTAATAAATCAAATTAAAAACTAAAAAAAAAAAATAAAAAAAATAGAATAATTTCTATGTATTTTTAAATAACCATAAATTGTTAAATATATCTTAATGATTGTTTATTGTTTTATTATTTCTATTAATATAATCGTTTCTGAATGTTAGTTGTTGTTAAAATTTAATGATAATATTATTCGATTAAAAACAGGTTTCCATTTAATCTATATATGAAATAAAGTTATATGAATTATATATTTTAAAATTTTAAATAATGATAATATTGTTTTTGCCTACTTTAACATTTCCATTTTATATATAATTTAACAAAATTTTTATTATTTATATAAACAACCATTTGATTTTGATAAATAAAAATTTTTATTAAAAAAAATTAAAAATATATTTTTATAAAATTATTATAAATAGGTTTTTTAATATATGTATTAAAATAAATTTATTTTTAAAGATATATTAAAATAAAAATGAAACTAAAAATAAAATTTATAAATGTGCTTAAAAATTATATAAATAAAAAAATTATATTTATTATTTTTTTATTTTTTATTTTTTTTTATCAATATAAAATTTTTATTTGAGTTTTTTTTATATTTTATTTAAATAATTTTTATATATTATTTATCTGTAAATAATAATATGAATGTATATATTATAATAATAAAAAGTTTACTATATTATTAAAAATAATCTAACAATATTTTTTTTTTTTAGAAAAATTTAAAAAAAATTAAAAAATTGGAAAACGAAGATATATTAGAGACTATCAGAGATATCATAGAAACTGACAATGTTCCAATTTTTATAAACTACCTTTATATATGTAAAGGAGGGGTTAATTGCAGTCCAAATGACTCAATGGATTTGTGCTGGGTATTCTCTAAAATAATCTGTAAATTAACAAGTATTCAGTGTGAACAATACTTTAGAATTAAGGAGATCAATCATATAATTAGATTTTTGGACCATCCAAATGTCAGAGTTAAGGAATGTGGAATCTCAGTACTTGGGAATTTAGCATCAAATAACATTCAAACAAGGGAGCTAATTGTAAGCAACGAAAAATTATTTTCAAAGGTTCTTTCTTTATTTCAATCAGACTACAATACTTCATTCTATAGGTCATTGCTTTGGCTATGTAAATATCAACTATTCATATTTTTAATATTATATTTAATCTAATTTTAATGTTTTGTTTAACAGTGAAAACATTTTGCATCACTCCGCCCCAACAACTCAATGTAGCAATCGAAATAATAGAAATAGGATCAGTGTGTTTAGAAATTTTTAATGATGAAAAAATTATAATAATCATATGTAAATTAATTTATTCATTGCTATCATTTGGAGAAAATGTGTTTTTCAATTTCTATGTTGATAATATCATTGAAAATGGGTATATTAATAAATTTAAAGATCTTTTATATCACGAGGACCACTCGATTCAGCTTTTATCTTTGAAGTGTCTAAGAGTGCTAATGGACGGACTAAACCGAGACCAATTCAGAACACTAATTTATCATGAGAATATAATCACCAGAATCCTGCTCAACACTGTCGAGAATGACTTTAAAAAAATTAGAAAAGAATCCACCAAAATCCTATGCAATATATTTAACAACCCTTCTTTTTTCATAGTCGAGGTTTTTCTTAAAGATGGTTGGTTATTCGAATTTATCTCAACTGCCGTTGACCATATTTATCATTTATATAGAGACCAGTTTGTTATCAATAGATTAATAGTATCATATTGCAGAGCTGTTCATTATAACAATAACATGAAATATATTTCATTGTTAATCGAGTCTGGTATAATTCAATTTCTATCTAAATATCTATTAAACATTTATCTAAAGCCATATACAAGAAAAATCATCATAACATTTTTAGAGTACATTCTAACATCAAGCTTTTTAATTTTAAAAAATAAAAACCGTTTATCGAATCCGGTCATATTAATATTTGAAGAAGAGGATTTATTTACAACTATTAAATCATTATCAAAGAAAAATAAATATAATTTAAATAATAAATACATTTAAAATAAACTTTAACATTAATACTATCCAAATTAAAATTTTTATTTATTTGCTATTTGAAACACAATCTATAAATTGTGGGCCTTCTTCAATTCCTCTATACTTTTTCTTGCATAGATGTTGGTCCATTCAAGTGCGTTTTTATTGTACTTTTGGGTATCATCTCTGAATAGGTCTGATTTTTCCTCATCAAATGAGCTGCTGTAAATAATTATAAAGTTAATAAATGAATTAAAGTTAATTTGATAAATTTTAAATACTTACTTTGGATTTGGTGTAATTAGTAATGATAAAACCGATTCCAATACATTTTTGACACTGTATGAGGTATTTCTGTTTAATATCTCCAAACAAACTTCACCACTATTGTCATTGACATTAAAGTGGTAGATTTTGGTCAAGAAAACCAAAGACATTGGTCTATAAGGGTAGTCCTCTGGAAAAGTTAAAGAGAGTGCGAATAAACCATCCTCATAAGGAGAATTTGATGGACCTTTGAGAATTACCTTCCATTTAGTTAAATTGTTGTCATACATGTATACCCTGTATGGTAGTGTTGGATTATTATCCATTTCTTCAATTAGGTCACTATATTCTTTTAAAATACGTTTACGAGCAAGAGTCTTGACCTTATTTGTTGATACATCATTAAGTAATGGTGTGCCTTCAGCAACTGGTTTAACAACACATCCTCCTATAGTACTATTTGGTGTTTGTTCTTTATTTATGCTGTGGGAACTTGTATTTACAAGGATTGAACTATTATTATTGTTATTATCAATATTTTCTAATATTAAATTACTCTTATCCTTAACACCAAGCTTCTCTAAGGTATCATTACTATTAAGTTTAATATTATTGTAAAGTAGAGTGTATGATGCAAGAATTGGTAGACCTGATTCTTTACATATTGACTCTACTAACTCTCCTACAGTTAAAGAGCTATCATAAGGAACAATAATTTTTTTATTATTAATAAAAAGTGGCATTTTATTATTACTATTTTAACTATTACTATACTATTAATTTTGTTTTTTGAAATGAATCATTTTTATTACTTTAACCTATTTATACATTATTTTTTAATATTGAAAATGTAAATTAAAAAAACAATAATGAAAAAAAAAAAAAAAAAATTTTGAAAAAATTAAAAATTCATTTTGAATCATCGTGTGTCAGTGGTGACTGTAAAAAAAAAAAAAATTATTAATAAAAAGAAAAAGATATTATAATGTTTAAATTTATTAATATTTTTTTAAATGTTTTTTTTTTATTATTTATTTTTTTTTGTTTCTTTTATTTTTTTTTTTTTTAAAAATATTAATAAATATAATATTTATAAATAAATTTGATGAACATCAGTTTCAGCGAAAGCTCTATTACAACTTGGACATCTTCTTTTTCTAGTATCTATATTTGAGTATATACATTCTCTGCAAAAAACGTGAAAACATTTAGCAATGACATAATTCTTTTGTCTATCGTTACAAATGGTGCATCTTAAACGTTGGTTTACCATTTTCAACTCTTCTTCGGATGAGGATGAAGAAGAAGTAGAGATAGTTGTAGCTTTTTCTAATTTTCTCTTTAATAATTGTTTCTCTTCATCTAATCTTTTGGCCTTATCGATTTCTCTTTCCAATGCGAAAATGGAATCGTCGGCTTTCTTTTTCAATTCGAGATTTAAATTATTGAGATGATCCAATTGAGTTTTTAGCTCTGTAGAGTGGGCACCGTTTTCACGTACGAATCTCTTGTGCTTTTCTAAATCGAAATTACAAATGTGGAAATCCTCTGTGACCTTTGATAATTGTTTTTGGAGTATATTTGATTTCTCTTCAATTTTTTGCATCAACTCTGCTTGAGCTTTAAGTTTGTCTTCGTTACGAACGAGTTTCTCTTCCATTGCCAATTGTTGTTCTTTAGAGAGACGGATGGTTTGTTGGGATTTAATATTCTCTGCTGTTAAATGGGCATGAGTATCTTCTTTATCTGATAATTGTTTTGTAAGTTTGGTGTTTTGCTCCAACATTTGCTCGTAGGCTTTACCCATTGAATCAATCTCCATAATTAATGCTTCAATTTCTTGACGTTGTGATTCTTGTGTAGCTTTACATTGTGAAATGGTGATGTCCCTTTCCTTGATTTGATTCTTATATTTCTCTTCGATTAAAGAGATTTCACTATTATAATTTTCTTTTAATTTGCCAAGTTCTTTTAATTCACTTTTAGTTTTCTCCAATTCTTCTTGAAGTTTTAATTCATTTAATTTTAATTTATAAATTTCTTGATTTTCTAAATTATTTATATCTATATTATTATTATTATTATTTGTATTTATATTATTTATCGGTATATCATTTATATTATTTGGTTTTTCTAAAACCTCTTCTTGTTGTTGCAATGTTAAACTATTAGTTGCTGATGTAGTAGTGGTAGGTGTTGTTAAAGAATTTATTGGTTCTTCTTTATTTTCTGTATTTGTATTTATATTATTATTATCTGTATTTGTATCTGTAATTATATTTGTAGTTGTATTTGTATTTGTATTATTATTATTATTATTTATATTATTTATTTGATCTTTTAAAATATTAATTTGTATTATTAATTCCTTCTCTTTATCTCTTAATTTATTTTCTTGTAATTTTAATTCGTCGTTTTGTTTTGTAAAAACTGAAAGTTTGTCTAACAACTCTTTAATTTCAATATTTTTTGCTTCAACATCTCTTTGTACAACTTGTTTAATACGTTCGATCTCTTCTTTTGGTTCTTTA